TGGGTCCAAGCGCGGGTCTTCACATGACCGTATTCCGCTTCTGACAGAGAGTCACGCCGGCGGCCAAGTTCAGAAATTCTGAAGAATCCGCGATATTGACGAGCTGTTGCCAAGACAAATACTTTCGCGGTGGAATTATTTGCAATTTGAGTTCAGCGAGATTGAAATACTAGTCTGAGAGCTCGACCGTTCCGACTACGCTAGCTTGACAACGATCCTCGCGAGTTTGATAGCTGGAGGAAGAAGAAATAGCCTAATCCGCGGTCCCCTGGAAAGGGTTCTGAGCAAAACCCAAGTATATCAGGACAACGAGGTTGCTGTGCGATCCCTTCTCTAAGCAGTTCAGCCTTCGGAGATTCTGTGTGGTTCGTGGGTGATCTTTGAGCAGCGTATCGTGCTGCACATACAAATCGCCAATCTCCCGCGAGGGCTTTCGATCATATGTACATAGGAACGAGAGGCCTATCCGCCGAAACGAAGAAAGGCGGTGCGGAGGGACCTGAGTTCGGCTTGCAGAACAGTCGCCGACGGCTCGAGGATTCACCATGTGACAACAATAGCTACGGGAACGACTTAAAATTAGGTACAGTGTACGGAAGCCATGACGTCCAAGGATAATAGAGATCGAGTCTCTATATTTACTTATTGTGAATGGTAGTGTAGCGATGACGTACACGCAGACGACAGGAGTGGGGAGCAGTATCGACTGCGCGCCCTCGGCAGGATGAGGATTCGTGAAGGAGCCTCACGTTGTGTCCAGCCGCTGATGTGCCCTTCCTCTCGAGTACGCTGATCGATCTTAATGAGCACCGAGCGCCTCACGCACTCCCCTGATCCCAGGTTGAGACGAGACTCGGGTTTATCAGTTTTTGGCGCGACTTGTTAGCTCTTGACCTTTTTCTCGAGCCGTGAAAACTTTCGTATTCACGATGTGGGAGCCCCCTCCTAAAAGAACAGAGCTGACGAATAAATAGGTATACGATAATAAATAAAATATGACGATCGATTGCTTCTCTTCGTGACGGGGGAAGGAGACTCTCGCCCAGCCACACGGCCTCCCACCCCGCCGATCGGTCAGTCTCACGGAAACGAGTTCTGTTGCTCCGAGTCTCAGACGGTGCTCTAGTGCACGGAGAGCACGCGTCGAGTTCACGTCGCACTATCAAGCGCTCGTGAGTCATCCTGTTCTGCTAGAGGACAAAAGTCTGCTTACAGACCTACGTGAATCGTGCGTGACCTGTTCGACGTCGGTCGGACGACCACCAGGACTGGGTCAGGTTGTCGAGATCACAGTTTTGTCGAGAGAGTCTCGACGCACGGTTTCAGTTCACGAGTCGCAATCTTCCACGAGGAGGATTGCCCCCGGCTCTTAAATGGCCTGGAGATGCGGGAACTGTTGCAAAATAGACGTCCAAGATTGTGTACGACGCATTTCTGCCGGTCGAGAGAACCGGCGAACCCGCGATATGCCTTCGAACGCCTTCACCTTCAGTGAAATTGAGCGTCGACGGCAGTCTACGACGAGTTCGAAAATTGAAAATATTGAAACGAAACATGAGGCTGTCGGTAAGTCATATTAGGTAGCTTGCGGCACGAACATCGAGCACGGTCTGTTATGAGTGGTTATACCCATCCGCAGTCCGAAGTCTCTGTAGGCCTGTTTTGAAAATTTCCCCAAGCCCGTCGCCGCTTCCGCGGAAGAGAGCGCCTACGACTTCCTCTACTCTTCGATATTGTTTAGCGACCCCTCTACAGATTGAACGCGGCCGATTACATTCGTAGCCTGATCTTCCGTTTGGACGCTTGTGAGACTGACACGTCAATTTCGATTTCCGCTGACCGAAAGATCGGTGGCTTGAGGATCCTAACAACAAGCCCCCGCTTTTGGGGCAGTGCTCAGAGTGTGAAATCACGGATTGGAGTCCTCACGGAGAGAGCAGCCAAATATCGAATGGAACCACGGAATTCGGCCCCGGACAGCCGCCATGTTTTTGCAAAGAAAGTCACGATGCTCTAATTCTCCTGGCATGTTCCATTGAAACATCACCAGGAGTCCTCGAACCAATTCTTACCCATCAGGTAAATTCACTTCGGAAATCTCCAGGATTTATCCCCATCCAGATGTCTCCTCTGGGTGTTTCCGACCGTTCCGATCAGCTCCGGATTTCCCCTAGGAGCGGGCGTGAGATTCCGTAATGGGCTGTTTCTATGAGCTTGGCTTCCTGAGACATTCCAACGAAGCCGCCGATCGTTAGAGACCCGAGGGGGGATCCATTCGCCACTTTGCGCCCCGGTGAACGCCGTGAACCCATGTGGGGAAAGTCCGCTCGCTTAGTCTGGTGTCCGAGATGTCAACAACGCCACCGCACCCGGGAGCCCAGGAGTTTCGGCCTAACGATACTTTGATGCACCGACAAACTTGCTCATCGGAAAAGCACGCTATTCGTCCTCTTTCCATCCTCTTCGTTCCTCCCCCAAACCAGAAAACCTTTTCACTTCAAGACAGTGGAGGCTCTCACCTTCGCGGATTTTGTAGCTCGCCTTGAGCCCAATTACTGAGATCCGTAGAAAATTTCCCGAGGCTCATCCCGCGTACGTGGTGTATATACGCCGTTTGACAAGACGGATTTCCGAACATTGAAACAAAGCCCCGGCTAAGCTCCCGACCTGTCTCTGGTGAACTCATCGAGGGCGAGTGTTCAATTCGCCAGCGAGATTCAGGGAGCGGGATATCCAGGGGGCTTGATCGATTCGAGTGTCAAGCCGAATATGAGCGGAACACTATTCGTCCCAATCGGCTCTCGGCTTTTGGCGTAGACGTGAGACGAGCTCTATCGCTGGTGGCGACAACTTCATCATCATGTGCGGCCCTCCCTGCAGGAGCCTATCCTTCAAGCAGGCAGCGACTATCATCATGGGAGTCCCCCGAGGACTTCCGACCTCGATGACGTTGCTCGCAAGAAGACAAAGAACGAGAACACTTCTCATACAGACTTTGCTCTTGCTCGCTTCTCCGCGACCTCCGCTCCAGCTTCCTACACGACACTCCCACCGGCTCGGAGTATTTTCCATTTTCCCGCTTTTCTCTCCCATGGAATTCCGGAAAATCGGAACGGTCTTCTTTGGGAAGCATCTCCCTATCACGGGTTGGCTCAGAATCGGCAACGAGCAGAAGCTCTCTGAGGGAACGCGAAGCTTGTCCAATGCATGACTGAAGGGTCCCGGGGAAGAAGCGCCGTGGATACGATCATAGCTCGAAAGTAGGTTAATGTCGGTGGGGGAAGCCAATGTATTTATGACTATCCTCCTCACGGGACCTGGGCGCACATACAATCAAAAGTTCCATCCCCGATGCAGTCATATCCGCTCGAATTGGAGAAAAATCTCCCCGGCTCCACCGCGGTCGCTGACGGCACGAATTTTTACAATGCATACTTTCCTTGGTCTGCTCCCTCGTTCCTCAAGCGATGCTGAAGTGATCATCTCGAGTGGATTCCGATGGTGAGTCTCACCTCGGAATCATTGGCTCCGCCGATGCTTGATGGTGAAAGGGCAGCCAGGGAATATATGATTCGAGCCAAAGACTGGCCAGATCATCTCCGTCGTCAGGGGGGAGCATAAGGCTCGGAGTGTAGATATCCTCCGCTACTGTATCCTCAATCAAATGAAGGAAAATTGTAGCGGACTTGTCGCTGAGATCACGGGTAGACGTCGGCGTCGCGACTTCTAGGTCCGTGCCGCAGATGTTTCCCCCCGCGGAGACTTGCAATTCAAGTGAAGTATTTTTCGGTACGCTCCGTGCCCGGAGGGCTTTCTGCTGATATGGTGATGCCTTCTCACCGGAATCATGATCACAATGTTCACGATCGAGTTGAGGTAGTGTCTTCGAACGGGGACCATGATATTCTCATCTTGAATGTTCACTACGCTCAATCAAGCTGACAGCGAGGTTCATTATTCAGTTTCCGGTACATATGTTACCAGCTCGTGCAGAGTAATGTCTCATTTACCAAGGAACGCTTTAATGTGAAATGATGGAGGACCTTGAACACCGCCCTTTTCGTGGCTCCGAAGCTAGGCCGTGCCCGCCAACTTTCCCGACTTGATTCGCCTCCCTCGAAGTCCTTGTTCTACTCGGAGTTAAGACACGATGTCGGGATCCGCGGGATGTCTCATCGATTCGAAACGTCGACTTCGCGGTCGATGGCAGCAACCTAGACTTTCAGGTTTTTGCGGACCCACGCAAGACTTGCCGGAATCGAGATCATTCTGATCCATCCCACAGGCATTCCCTTATCGGGGAACGCTTCCAGGCCGAAATGTGGACGGCGGGTAGTTTTTCCGAAATTGGAGAATTCGCCTCCGTCCGCTTCGAGCCTTGGCCGGCGATGCGCCAATACCCGATGACCCGATTCCAGTCCCGTTTGGAGCCTGACGGTAGGACGTTCAAATGATTCCGGTGTCCTCAGACCGAGCGCAATGTAATTCGTTCTTCTCGTTCCACGGAGTTCTTCTTCCTACAACATAGAGACTTGTCTCTGGGCTCAAGGGACTGGAAAACCTTGTTATTCACAGGTGCGAACGCACTACAAGTCCTCGGATGCGGAAAGGAAAAAACGTGTTTACGTGCGGAGGAGCTCCGAACTTCGAGACGGAGGAAGTGAAATTAAGAGTTCCAAGGGAATAAGCCGCGAGTGACCTCGCCATTTGTCTCGGGGACATCTTGCCGATTTTCAAATACAAAAGTCCCAGCTTCGAATATAGCTGAAAATATTTCATGCCGTAGAACGCTATCGTTCAGATCAATAACCAGAATCGATATCGACTTGAGGTACATCGTATTTGAGATAGGACGAAATTCACCTCGCGCTGCACCACAGCAAATCCTTGACGCCCACAGTGAGATGAACAATTGTCCCTTTGACATTTTCTACAGGCGGAAAACGCTCGGTTGACATTAAGGACGAGCTCGTTCTAAAAATAGGTGCCATTCGTTACAGCCATGAAAGCCGCGCTCCTTATTCAGAGATGGTATCGGAGATACTTGGCGAGGCAGGAAATCCGCAAACGATGCTCTTGGAACATCTTCCAAAGCCTGGAATACGCCGGAGAACAGGATCAGATGAAGGTAAGCGCTTGAACTTTTCCTCCTTCTAGAGGGCCTGCATTCGGGACTGAATGTTTGGTCGCAAAAGCACTCTCGGTACAGATTTCGAATACGAGCGGGTCCCAATTATTGATTCCACACAGTATTCGATAATATATATCATATATGTATATCGATATCCCGCCGAACATCATGAGCTTTGCGACTACTAGATTGATTTCCGAAGGGTCATGCTCAAGCGAACAGGTGAAAAGATGCGGCGTCACGTTCGGTAAACCCACGTGATCGGGTCACCCGGTCGAGATTTAACTCCCGAGGGAGCGTAACGATAATGATTTAGTGACTCCTCCCGCTCCAAACTAGCCGTGAGATCCTGCCGCAAGGTCGCAACGCTCCAATGAGAGCCTAGAGAACAGGCTCGAGTGGGACGGACTCGCGGTGGGAGTCTCCACTTTTGATGAATCGCATTTGTACAGGTTCGGTGATCCCGTGATCCGAACAAATAATACTATTCATGAGCTTAGTGCATCTGCGCGCCGCATCATCCTCCCTGGCGCGACCCCTGCGAAAGATCCGATTGCGGTCCGCCTGCAGTACCCTCCGTCATTCAGTTCACTTCGTCGAAGTCGGCTTTATTGCGAACGCCACCGACCGAGCTCAACTTCTCAGGGTCTTTCCATCCTTTCGTCTGCAGTGACTATCGCACTCAGAGAAATTGTGCGTGAATTATGAGCTCGGCGGCACCCACGAGATCTAATGACTGCGTTTTTACGAGAGGATTCCATAGCTCACGTTTAATTCGAGGACGACTGGAGGTCCACTTCAAACATAAATTACTTACTGCTTCCTAGAATGACGCGGCGAAATATCGCGGTCGCATCTCCTCGCGTGCACGTATGAAACTCTGCTGATTAACGCCCACTCGAATGCGTACGTGCACGCGTCCGCAATCCCTCCATCCAACCGGGTTTAGTCCGACGCAGCGGAGTCGATGGGACTCTTTTCCAGCCGTTGGATTTCATCTGCTGAGTTCACCGATTTCGGCGGGTCCCTCATCCACTCTCTGGATTCTCCGGCTGGTGCCATTATCACGGTCTCGTTGGCGATTCCCGTGAAGAGAGGAGTTTTGAGAGAGACGACGGAAGGAGAAAACCGCTCCACAAATAAGAGGATTCTTGAAATTCCGAGCGGCATCCCGCCGTGAGGGACCATTGGACTCTGAGCGGTGGGTCTCACTCAGTACTCCCTTTACGTAGCCAGGGTATTGACTTCGAGTCGGCCGGAAATTTCTCGACGACTCTGTCCACTGAGCGGACCTTCGGGCACGTCTAAGCAAGGGAGCTAAGACCGTGATGTACATACATGGAACGCGAGGCCGGCTGGAAATAATCCGAAAAACGTCGGATCCCATGCGCTATGGCATTTTCTGCTCTTCCAATCAGAAACTAATCAGGATTAAGAGCTTTGCCGGAAGGCGTCCTCAAGTTCTCCGCCAACAACGTGGACAACGTTGTTTAAATGCAAAGCAACTTCTCTAGGGATTGCGATAAGGAACGAATGAGCCGCGTTTCTTCTTTTAGAAAGAACTAGTGCCACTACTTTCCAGTCAGGCAGCTGGTCGGCCGAGCGTCACACGCGAAGGAACTGACGGATGTATCACCAAGAGAGTCCTCAAAGGTCCTGCTCGGGAAGGATTTATTCAAATAAATCCTACGGCTACTGCATGTGTTTCCACCGGAGGGTCCCTGGACGAGAAAGCTGCCTTCCTGTCGTTCGCAGCTCGGTGAATATCCTCAGCGGTGCGATCGACGTCTCGTGAGAGCGAAGCCCGCTCGGAGTGCTTCGGCGTTCGACACCTCTGGCACGGAATAATCTCGATCCGAGAGGCTAGGGCTGTTGCATTAACCCCAAATGAAGAAGTTGGAACAGTCCTAATGGTGAACGACACGTGTTTTTCGTTGGATACATAACGAGCCAGTGCCAGGAAATGGATACAAGAAATAAAAGGCGAAATATAAACGGAAGATCACCTCGCGCAAATCTTCGACCTGACTCGGGCAGGCCTGGTTGGCTCTTGAGGATCTGGTGCGACACCGCCTCCTCCGGTCCGAGAATTTTCCGAGAGCATAGAACTGGAACGATTGAGGCTCGATCCATCGTCGAGGTCTCCCGTCGCGAAATTCTCGCTCCCCACGCCGAGCTCCATCCGAGTCGGAATGGCTCGTTGCTCTGAGCGGGGCTTTTTCCAGAAGGATGATCACCATGAGCGAAATTCGTGGCCGATCTGGGGCGCTCGCTCGCGCGCCGCATAGTGGCTCCAGGCAGCGCTTCGCGGCCAGGAGTGAATCACTGGCCATCAGAATGGAAGCGCAAGGGAGGAAATGAACGAAACTCATCGTGGATCGGACATATGGAACACGCGCAAAGCTCAGGCAATTTCACTACGAGCGGCGACCCATTGACTCTAACGCTTACGCGCTCCTGCGATCATATTCGCACTTCAGGAAGCCCTCCACCATGCTGCATGAATTTGTGGATCGGACACCGGAGCGGAAATTCAGTCATATCTGAGCCCGGGCACCGAAGAGAGAAGGAGACGCGAACGGGACGTCGAGCGATTTGCGTCGGTCGGCTTCCCGAAGCTATGACAATGACTCCTCGTTTAGAGCTCTTCGGAGTACACCGTTAGCGAGAAGAGAAAGGAAGGCAAACGAGGAGACTTAGCAAACAATCTGATGTGGATTCTACGGAGCGAGCGAACACAACGAATTCAAACACCGAACTCGGTTCGCGCCCAAGGGCTGCGACGGCTGGCTTTGTGACGGCATTTTTTCCTCATGTCAGGCACGTTTCCTCTCGATTCCGGCAATGGCACGATTCATAGTCATCGCCTAGTGCTCCATCGAGCTCCGATGATGCCCTGAACTCGGAGGGGGCGACCGTGTCTTGAGGACGGCGAATAAAATCGTACCCTCGCTCGGGGAATTCTGAGCCTCAGACGAGTTCGTGTTGAGCGATCGTCGCTTTAAGAGCATCTAATGTCTCTCCTTCGATTCCCTGAAGTATCAGTACTCGATGGATTTTGAGTGGTTGCGTTACACCCCTCGAAAGCGGTGCGTGACAGAGAGCATAAGTGAGTGCCGGTCGTTTTAATCCCATCATCACTGTTACGATCGAGTCGCAGACGAGTCTCTCCCGTCGAACGAGTCGCGGACGGTAGTTGATCGTGCACGATAATTCTTTTCTGCTCCGTGTCTCGGCGTTCCGGCACCGGCCACGAGACTCTCGAGAGTCGAGAGAACAATATCGCACATCCTGAGTGTCCTGATCACTCGGTTTCTCTCAAATTATAGTCTGGATGGATCATGCACGGAGACGCAATTCGTGAGGGTGGTCGACTCGGGAGCGTCAGATTCATTGGCACTCCGACGCATTGGTCAGACACCGATCAGGGTGGCAAGAGTTCTCCAGGAAAAATCCATCGTCGCGGCCCCGCGGATCGTTCGTGGCCCGCTTCTAAAATTAACCGTTCCCCGAGGTGAATCGGAAAACCTCGACCTCCGAACGTCTGGCTCCAGAGTTCGGGTCGCGGCGCGGCCAAATGTTCCCACAAGCAGCCCTTTCGAATTTAGATGGTCCGCTCTCGAATGACCTTTTCATCAATGAACGCGGGGTGAGCGATGCGATCCAGTCGTCGCTTCGCAGCGAGGCCATTACGTTTGAGCGGCGCTGAACTATCTGTCCCCCCATCAGTGATACGGTGATAGCTCTCTGGTTCGTTCGTTCGTTCAATCATTCGGTCGTCCGCCCGGTGACGGGTCGGGGTTTACCATCTGACGTTCAGCATAATGCTACGTGTTGCCGACTCTGCTCGGAGCTTCCATATGCAGGGATCCTCTCTCACGAGCTACTGTAGTATCAGGAACATTTCCGACGATTCCGTCCGTCGAGGAGCTCGTGAATGGGAAGGTTACTGCGTCGTAAGCGGTTCCAGTTCGGAGATCCCTGGCAGCTCGTTCGAAAACCTCCGACCGAGTTCGGGCATTCAGGCGTTCCCCCATAGCCCACTCCCGTCAATCGAAAATTCAGGAATCGCGGATGGTGTCGAAATACTCTCCGAGCATCGATCAGGACTCAAGACTCGGGAGATGCTGTCGTCAAGAGTTCTTGGATCCCTATTCCCGCGTTCAGCATCATCATCATCAGTTCGATCCTGGAGCAGTGCTCTCCGTGAGCAGACCCTCGGAGAATGAGGAGAATAAATCGCTCCTAAATCGGATAAATGTATTCGTGGTTGCCCGCAGCGGGAGCGATTCAAAGAAACGTGGCGCATGCTCTCCCCCGTTCCTGGGAAGACCAATGTGAACATCCATACAGACACTGGATCGTTGACGCATGCGATGACGCAGCGAGGCCGTGCCGACCGCAACCCGTCTGATTGACGTTGATGAAGACGTCGAAGCGTCCTTCTAGAAGGACTTGAGAGGACATCGAGGGGGGAGGGGGGCTCGACTGAAACTCGCCTAGCTATCGAATACGTCAGATCGGAGCATCGATGGATAATAATAAAACAAAGTCGCGAGAACAGACCAGGAATCGCGCGTGCCGAGGAAATTAGGCGAAGCGCGACTTCAGCTTCTCTGAGAGGAGGAGACAGCGCATCAGAAGAAAGGGTTCGCACGAGAGCAACAATAACAAAGCCTACGACTACAACAAGTGACGAGAGAGCTCGCCCCGTAACTCCTCGCTGTAAATCATGGTAAACTGGCAAGCTGCTTGTCGGTTAGACCCTCGGTTGGGTCGACGAGTGGCGGGCCGCTCGCGGACCGAGCGACGACGCCGACGGTGGCCGCTAGAGGCGGCTTTCTGTTATGGTCCGGCTAGTCGCGGATGAAGATAAAGTAGAAGTAGTCGAGCGGCCGAGCTATAATAAATTCTTATTGGATCATCTTTATTACTTCATTACTGTCCGCGTGTGTATTTGCGCGGGCGAATGTGCGGCTTGTGAGCGGGCCACTCTCCGCTCGTTGGCGCCGTCGCCTTCGCGTCGCGCACCGACTCCGGCCATCTATCTATCCGTCGAGTCGTTCCGATACTCTCCTTGTTTTTCTCTGGCTCCCCGTCAGGAGATAATCTCGGTCCAAAGCAGCCCCCGATGAAGCCGTCTGCGATGCCTCAAGGCTCTGAAGTTTTTTTTTTTCATTTTATTTCTCCCCCCGTCCTTCTGTGATGGGCTCACCGTAATTAGGGGAGAAAATGGGAGGCGGAGACGGCCGCGTTCGGACAGACGAGCCGACCGACGAACGGACAGGCGAACTTATTTCGCGCCGATAGCGAAGACTCGATGACATTTTCCTCTTCCGGGAGGGGGAAGGGGAGGGTAAACATTTCCGATGGGACGCGGAGAAAAAAAGAGACGTACGATCTCCGAAAATACATCTGATGAGAGGAAATCAAGACAGAAGGTCACCTTGCTCGTTTGTTCCTGGACCGTCCGCGAATTCGTCGGGAAATATATTTCTAGATATTTGTGCGGACAGCCCATTTCGACACGGGCGTTTCGCAATCGCTGATTGATCTCTTCCCTCCACAGCTGCAAAACTTCTTCCACGATCTCCTCACACATCTGTCCAATGTGAAGCCCTCCGTAGCTGCTGCCATCTCCAATAGTCCAGCTGCTTCGCTCAGAGGTGAGTTCCGCATCCACTAGTAGTAGGTAGATGCTCTCTGGCGGAGAAGAGGCATCATCGCTAGCTCGAAGGCGGGCTCGGCAAGATAAACAATCAAGAAGTCACTTTACGAACCGTTCGACTGATTGACCACAAAATGGAATGCACGAGAAGCGCGGGCTTTTTGGAAGAGTTCCAAAAGCCGGATGGATGGTCGCGTCGTTCGAGCCATCGCAAGCCGAACAACGATGATGGACATTTCAGCTCGACATTCGATTGCCATTGTCTGTCGTGTACCCTGTCCGACTTATTTGCGCAGAGCCTGATAACCCTCTTGGCATCACGCATCGATCAGCGATATACGTCCACTTTAGCGTTCCATGTTGCGTCTTTCGAGCGCGGCGGAGCCGATAGGCGCAGCCCCAAGGCGGAGCCGCACCGCATGCCCGGAGCGCATTTTCCTGCGTCGATTCTCAGGGACGTCCTCCTCCGCTTCTCAAAACAGTTGACCCCATCACAGTCGTCCGCCTCGTTTTCTTCCCTGCGAAAGTGCGTTCCTTCGTTGCAGTAAGCTCAGAGTGAACGGATATCAGGAACTTTTAATGGCTGAGTGCCGATGGAATTCCCAGCAGAGGATAATGGGCAGGAGAAAACTCCTCGGCATTATATTATTTACCCATGTTGCGAAATCGACAACTTCGGAAGGCGGATGACCGTACGATGGCGGCGTCCGCGTCAACGAACGATTGAAATTTGCTCGTCCAACTTTCGAACGATTTCCGGCCTGACCTTGTTCTGTATTCTTGAGTTCCGGAGCCCATGATCCTCCACACGCTTTGACGCAATCGCTAAGAATGTGCTCTTTCGCCGTTGCGCAATCAGCACCTGCAGCTGGTCTGGATCGCTCAATCCCTCGTTTCGACTCTTTTCTTACGAAACGGTCGACTGAAGCCGATCTTCGGCTCCCCCATCAGCCCGAAGTCGTCAGGACACGGACGTTTATCCGGTTTCATGGCCGAAGTTTTGATCGATTGCGAAGAGAATCACGAGCGTGTCCCCATGCTCCCTGGTCGCCGCAACCGGCAAGGGCTTGAAACTTGGCCTGGTGTAGAAGTCGGCGTCGTCGTTGACGTTCACTCGGTCATGATCCCTCGGCTCCTCCTAAGCGGCGACTTGAAAGGCAGCTGTTGGTGTAACTGAGCCGGTCGCTTAGCTTTCTGTGTCGGTCAGCTGGCTCACTTGCTGCTCAGTCGGTCTACCATCCATCCGACCGTCTGGCTGGCTGGCCGTCTGTCTGTCCGCCCCTCTCCATCCGTCTGTGCGGCGAGGCGGCGGTTGTCCACTGATATTAAAGAGTTGACCTTTCCGGCGCCGTTGCGGCTTTACTCCCCGATGCGGCTGCAAGCGTTGTTGTCGTTGCTGGCGGCGGTGCTAACATTGCCGTTAGTGAGCGACCACCTCCGAGTCTGTCGCTGAGTTTGCTCAATAGCTAACCAACGAGTTCACTGCGAGCTCTGCTTGCCAACATGTTGACAAAACCAGCGCATGGGTGGAGAGTCTCGGTCGTAACTCGGGTATCGGCTATGAGCGGAAATTTATGTGAAAGTCAAAATGAAGGCTCCCTCCGCCTGAGTGCGGCGAGTGCGCAGCGCTCGAGGGGACCTTCACGACCGGAGAGTGGAAAGGAGCGATGAAAGACTCGCTCCCCACGAAAACTCGATCTTCTCACGGGGCGAACAGACGCCGGGTAGCTCGATTCCAGGAAAAGGACAACCTGTCCAAGTTGAGGGTTGAGCTTTGATTTCGATTGCGTGACGCGTCGTTGGCCAAGCTCCGAAGCCAATAGCGCGGAAGCGATGGCTGATCGACTTTCCTCTCGAGAACCTTTGAAGCCTGTGTCGAGCCCGAGAGCGTCTCGCCCTCGAGCCGACGAGCGGGCTCTTCGGGAGCCAGCTCGCCTCTTCATTGTCACCAAGCACCTCACGATATCGATTCCGGTAGACGGGGATTTTCGGTCCGGTAAACTGCTCTGGGCATCCACGTAAGCCCCCTCAGCCACCTGCCCACCGTGTCGTTTGAGCTGTACAAATCCCTCTTTTCCACATCCCTTCACCCGCACGTCTCGGTCGGCCTGCTCGACTCACATGCACGCATCTATCAAGAGGCGAAACGACTGCGCGTCTGACGCTCTGATAGCAATCCGCAGTACGGCCGGACCTACATACGTACGTGGGTACGCACGCAGAAACGAGATACGGCTACCGTATCAAGAGAGAAAGGACCCATAGACAGTCAACAGAATACTTTTGCCCTGATGCAAATTGGATCTTTACCTGACTGTCTTTCGCTGCCGGGACGAAATTGGTCGTGACGTCCTCTCGGGATTAACTTGCTCCGCTCCCTATAACCAGCCCCCGCTCTTCGCAACCCGCGCCGCTGCCGTGCGTCGCCGTAACCGACCAAGCTTGTTTGTCCGGCACCAAATTGCTTGGAGAACTTCAGTAAACCTCTGGAAAACTGTTCCCAAGTGGAACTCTAGATTGCCGTCAGGCTGTCCAAAATGTTCCTGCCCTTCTGCGCCGTGTGAGAGACGCAGAGAGGTTTCTCGGAGTCGCTGTCTCGGCCGAAGGTTTTCGCGTAAAAGAAGATTTTTTGAAAGCGGTGCCCGCTGAAAGACAAGATTCGATCCGAATCATTGTGTTATGCGAGGCATTCCGAATGAGCTCCCGACAAAACTCGCCGCGGTCAGGATTCGCTGATTGATGGACTAATGATCCTTTTTCTCTTTCATTGAAACAGGACTGGAGCCCCTGCCGAAAGATCAGCTCCGCCTCGCCGCTGCCGAAGCCGAACTCTATCGCAATACTGACCCCGCTGAAATTTTCGTCGAGGAGACTTACAGGTGGGTTGACCGAAAGTTCGCGTTGCCGGGCGTTTCAACTTGCTGTGCAAGCGAATTAATTCCTCTGCTGGCGGCTCCAAAGCGCGCGTGGTATGCGTCGGTACAGTCGGTTAACTTATCGCTGTCTTTCAGGGGAGCCGAGCTCATTCCACCTTTCAATACGGAACATGTGAACCGTTTAATCCAGTCTTTTAAAGAGCGTAGGGTGAGTGGAAAGCATTTAGACTCAAGTCTTTAATTATTTGGTTGGTAGCCTATAAAGAAAAAAGCCTTCGAGCTGGATCCAACTGGGGAGGCGAACGGCGCCTGTTGTTCTCATCTGTGGTGGAGTTTCGTATGACTGCGCGAGTAACGTCAAAGTCTGAGACCACGGATTAAACGAGCAGAGAGCCGGGCTTTCAGCAAAACGTCATCATTCACGCCAACGCCGGTTTAACCTTCAGGATTACGCACGTCGACCGCAGGCCGTCTTTCGTGAAGGACTCGTTGGAGGTCGTCGCCATTGATGGGAACAATAATTCCCCAAGTTTCAGGAAAGCGTGTCTCTAGCTTCTGAAGTTCTGTTTTGAACGCGCTCTTCCCTCCGGAAAAACAAGTTGTGGCCGGAAGATAGACCGAACCGAGACGGAGCGGAAAGCATCGCTGCTTACTCGCAGCGCGTGCTTGATCTTTAGTGTTATCGTTCCTAGCGAATCCTCCTTGCTGGGAATCTGGCCAAACTACGTACTTCTGCGACGAGTACATTCTCCCGCATGTATGCATATGTATGTCGTGTTTGTTTATGCTCGTGTCTATATGTTTGCAGCACGCAAGCGTCGCTGTATGTAGAACTCCGAATGGTCTTCGAGGAACAAATGTCATGGTAGGCGACGCGGTACTCACAACTGCTACGTCCTTGCATCAAGTCAGGAGAGAATATGACGAGTCGCCTGTGGAAAATTCGAACGCGAAGCGTCTTCAATTCCTCCCGCCCGGTTCCGCTCGTATCCTCTTCGTGCTCAATGAATGGCGGCAAGACGACGACGGCGATTCATAAGTATGACGAAATTCCCGAAAAATGTCATGGACGTGTTTGCTTTCCGCTGCGTTCTCAGACAGACAGCCGATGCATAAGAATCCAGTTTATATTTTTCCCTCGGTGCTGCAATGGTCCAACCTCTCGATAGCCTGTTGTGCTTCCCGTGGATCATATTCACTCGCGTGGCTCCGATCGAGCCCCCGAGCAAGACAGGCGTTTTTTTTTACTGCAAAACGAAATTGTAAACGCTCGGCGGGACAGGAGAAAAAAGAGCATGTGAATTATCGGCCGAATATCGGTCGCTATCTGGTTGAAGAAGCTCCTGGCCGACAAAACGGGAAAGCGATCGATAGCGTGTGCGAGCTCCGACGACGTCCACAACGAGGAGAAGGGTTCTCCAGGATCGGACGGTTGGGGAACTTGATGCGAAGGGGGTGCTTAGCTGAATATCTGCTCTGTTTAGTAGGTGAATTATGGGTTCCCGAGCCGCGGGGTATTTCGGATTCTCTCTCTTCCTAAAATGTTATCGATTTCCGCTAGAGACCTTGACTCACATCGGACGAACTTTTCCTTGAATAGCATGGATCACAGATGCTGGGAAGGTCCGACATCGGAGTCGAAATCGACCGACGCCGGAAACGGATCCAGCGCTCAGAAGAGCAGTGGCAAGGAAGTCGATCTCCCGTTCTGAGCGAGCCGAACCCTCTCGAAAACTCCAATTAACTTTGTTTTACCGCTTCTTCCTTTCAGACATTGCACGCCAAGTACGTATTGACGGTGATACATGAGGCTCGGCATTATCTCAAACATTTGCCGAACATTTCGGTAGCATCGACCGCTTTCGCAAAGCAAATCACAGTTGTAGGAGACCTTCACGGGAAGCTTGATGATCTGCTCACTGTGTTCTACAAGGTTGGTTCCTTATGAATGTATATGGATCGATGCCGCACCAGGCATGCTCCAATACATTAGGTCTCCTTCGGAGGCGCTTTTGCAAAATATTCCATCTCCGATTTCTGGCGATTTTGTTTTTCGAATGCCTTCATTCCAATCCGAAGGATTCTCAGGGGCGCGCCATCCTCGGATATGGTCCCTGGAGGAATGAGAAGGAAGTCGAGATTGGTTTATCCGAGAATGTTCTTTGTAATGCGGGGAATATCGCTCGATTCCCCATGCGCGTCGATGACGCGTGGAGGGGGGTGCCTGCGACTGACTGAGTGAGACTTTCGAATTTCGCTTCTGGGTATAGTAGCTCCCCATGCTCTAGCTGCGGTCAAAGCATTACTGAAAACTCCGCATCGTGGAAGCAGGTGATCCTATTTGCGGATGGAACTGTAGCCGCATCGCTTTTGAGGCCTGCTCCCCGTAAATACGAGGGTTCGAAGCCTCATTGAATTGCTGATTGCATTGGCTCGAGCGATAGCGTTCGATATGTCAGCACTTGTTGCGGGATCTTTTGGAGTTTCGAGCTCTTCGGGAACAAGCGGCCTTGGTCGGCTCGAAAACGAGACAGGCCCGCTCAACTCGGCTCGGTTCGGAATCATATTGTGAAATGGGAGGCAACCGATCCATCGGTCCTCCGAGTAGGGGTTGACGTCCGAACGCTACCTCTCCCTCTCTCGGAAAAATTGAGTCGAATTATTCGCCTGTAAGCCGACTCGTGACGCCCCTTGCGATATCGGCTAAAATATCATTCATTAGGGATCCCATCCTTCAGAATGGACGCGAGTCGATTCGCTCGTCTGGATCTTGATATGCACGATTCCTCACCGGGAAATCTCCTAGTTTCCACTCCACAAGTGCTCCTAGATGTTGTTCCCGCTCAAAATCACCGCTCAGTCACTTGATCAGTCAGTCGAAAAAGGACCAAAACAAGGTGCTCGAAGATGGGCGGACGGACGGACCGACGGACGGACAAAAGAACGAAAGGAGTTCGACCAAGAAAACCTGATCAATGAACGGAACGATTTGATGCGGTACCCTCGCGACACGAGTCGAGTGAGCGAGAGAGGCGTTTGAAGAAGGCAACGATGACCACGTTCGCGGAGGATGATTGTTGGTGGACTGTGCACACAATAAATGTTTTCCAAGCACGGCGACTGTATTGGACCGGGATGGATTTAGCCGACACAGGCCAGTCTTTGTTTGTTTGTCCGGTTGTTTGTTCCGTCGCAGAAAGTCCCCGCGTCAGTTTGCTCCTCGGAGCGCGAAACGCCTCCTTTGAGCTCGCGAGTGTGGTCGCTCATCGCGGCTACGACACAGAGATCGTCGATTCGATACAGAGCGTCCCATTGCGTCTTTTTTACGGAAGGATCCTGAGATAGCATCATGCCTATTCTTACCTCTCATTTGGAGTGAGTGAGGGAGCGAGCGAGCCGAGCCGGAGGATGACAAAAATCGTCCCTCGTTAGGCTGACAGCATTCAAAGAGTGTCTGCGGCGGATCATCGGACCGAGGCGAGGAAATATCTCTGATCGACTGAAGCCCGTTGAGAAATGCAACTTTATCCAATCAACGTCAGCGGGTCCTCGCACACACACGCGGCTTCCGGTGGAACGGAATCAATCCGGAGCTTGTCAGTAGAAGCTGATTGGAATTTTTCGCCCAACCCGGGCTCGCGGTCCTGTCATTTTTCCCTCGCTAACATTGAGCCCGACCGTGAGAAGCTCCCCCGCCGCTTCTTCGCCAATCGCGGTCTCCCGCGAAGGAGCTCGGTCGGAACCAGTAAACCTCGTCATTTCTCCGAATGGGTTCCTGATATTGTTCTTTCCACCTCACATGAGTCGCACCGATCGCCGTGGGTCTTCGTCGTCTTCGTCGTGTCGTCCGACTACCGACAGCCACATCAGATCTCATTGTGCGTGGATGATCCACGGAAACGGGGCAGCAGAGACGATTCTTCCCCACTGGCGTTGGCGGCAAATGAAGCGAAAGTATTCATTGTCGTGGGCGAGGAACGGACCAAGGAAAAATAACTTGCTCGGATCACGTTCATTAACGGAGCGATTCCAGTCATCGTTCTCCTTTAAGCCGTTGGTGATCCTCGTGCTGAACTGATACAGCGAAAGCAGCCGCAGCACCAACAGCGCCGGCGACGATGACGACAACGACGATCACGAGCAGACGGATGAATACTAATCTTCGTGCAGCTTTGCATATAATTAACTCGCCGCGCACTCTGTTCCGTGGAGTCCGAACGAGCTTGCGTGCGGGAATCAAAACAAGATGAACTCGACATCTGTTGGGGCGAGAGATATATTGCCCAACCGGAAAATAATTCCGACTCGCTTGCATGACATGCCTCTGATCTACCGGGAAGGCTGCATTCCTCTTCTTCAGAAGGCAGCGGCAAGCCCAGAAAGTCACTCTCGGCTCACGCTGGAGCTCGGTGGGGCTCCTTGGAGGGAAGCGACGTTGAAAGCAACATCCAAAGCGGTCACGCGATCGCTTGCGATGCCGACCGACCCCTGTCGAGTTTCCCTTCTCGGATTACAAAGTGTGCTCCCGATGTTCATGAGTTAACATTATCGTGCAAACCCCCCGCAAGAGTGTCGCAATTCGATCAGGGCGTCTGTTGTTGTGAGGACCTGATTTTGACTCTCGCATATTTTCCTCAATTTCTTCCTATCCAATGCTACGGGCTGGAGACGGTCTATTCCATCGAGTAAATTCCTGCCGACCGCTTGCCTCTTTTTGAACTGCTTCCGATCGAACACACCGACTTGAGATTTTTCTGGGACTGTCTGAGGAAGTTTGCCGAGTCCTCACGAGGGAGAGGAAAGGTGAACAACGGTCTAACAACTTTACGAGCCATTTGCGTTTGCTGATTAAGACGAACTTTTGAGCGGGGGAAGCTCCTTCCTCCCAACCTCCCCTGCCCGTTTGCTCACTAGCGGGTGCCGTTGTGTTCGGTACGATTCGACTTGCCTGCCTTGCTGATCCTAGAATTTGAACATTTTTTTCAGAACGGACTTCCTTCAAAAGACAATCCGTACGTCTTCAATGGTGATTTTGTGGATCGCGGAATTCACTCTGTTGAAGTTCTTATGCTTCTGCTTCTCTGCATGCTCGTTTGGAAAGACTCAGTCTTCTTGAACCGAGGAAACCACGAGGATTTTAACGTGAACCTGAGGTAAGTAATCCCATTACCGAAAACAATGTAACAGAAACTCTCGCTCAGAAAAGTTTTTTTGGGCGATCGACACAGTAAATTCTCGCAAAGTGCAACGCGAATCGTAGCGCCACGTCGATTGAAGAAGATCGGAAGGCAAAGACGTTTGCTGAACGATTCTTTTGCGACTGAGACATCGCAGATAAGGGAGAACGTTGTCGACGTCGACGGGAAGTCACATGTGTGCCGATATGATTCGTGTATTCGCCTCCATCCAAGCAACTTCGTATCCGAAGCATTGATTATGTCTTGCCGCGTTCGCTCCTTTCGTTGCACCAACGATATCTCCGTGTATATTTGTCCCGCTTTCCTCGTTGGAATTGCGACGGGACAGCTGAGAGTGAAAATTCCCAGGGAGCAACGAGTAGGGTGGCCTCGTGATACGAGTCGCTGACTTCAATCACTACCGTTTGGGGAGGCCGTCGGATCCATATGCTGACTACTCACAGACGATGTTTTCATTGTTCCTCCAACTCCGGCCGATATGTAGGTAATAGCTTCATGGGGCCGAATTCGGCGCAAGAGCCGCGGGATGTCGTTCGGGAATTTCACGTAAGCTGAGAGCAGCAGACTGGAGGACCGCTGGAAGAGCGACCGAAGACCCGACATGGCATCGATCCGCTAAGAGGAAATCGCATCTGAGCAAAAAGCGAATAGTGTAGTTTTCCAATCATGTGGGCCATTCCAGACTCGTGCGAGTTTCACGCGGGTCGCGTATAGCTATATCGGTTAACAAAACATACACGATCGTGTTTCATATCGAATTCGAAAAGGGACCTTGCGTCTCTGTTTTCAGCTGACCGCCCCCGTCCGACGTGGTCCTCGATATTGTTTTCTCTACGGACCGATGGAATACAGGCGGTACTAGGGACACATTGAAACGGCTTGAGCACACAAGCCCACTCTCACACATTCAAATACAATATAGTCGGAGCTCCGCATAACAAAAACCCCCACGGAAAGGGGTCGAGCGGCAGACCTGCAGTGTAATTGGAAAAAGAGAGAAACACTAGCTAGGTGCAAACCGACAAGGAATATGACCACGAGCGATGCTTCGGTCGAACAGGAGCGGAATAAGTACGTTTCCCTCCTCTGAGAGCTCCACTCCGCTCCACAATGGCTGCGGAATCCATTCAGCGATGCTGAACATGTACTAGAAAACATGACGGTGATGCCTTCTTGCATACGTCCTAACAGGACTCAGGCGACATTGTCAAAGAGCCCGCCGCCAGCTGAGTGGGGTCGGCGGGCAGTCGCTGCTTGAGGCCGCGAACGTCCGTTGTCGTCCAGCTCTACGCGTAAAACGTCTCACGGGTTTTTATCGAACATTCACCCTTAGTATCAGAAGTGGACTTGACCGCCGGCAGAGCCTATCTGGGCATCTCGGCTTCTGTCTCGACTATCAGAGGGCCAGAGAATGAACATTTGCATGATCGGCTCGTCGAGGTCCGCGGTGGGCTTCGACACTGCTATTGCTTTGCTCACCTCGGCGATGCTCGTACAAAGCATCTGTTCAACCGGAGTCGGATCGGCTCTTGAGCGACCCACTCGTCAGATTTTAGCGTAGGAGCCTGATGAGGCGCGAGGTGGACTTGCGAGACGAAGTTCTTCCAATGTCTCTCGGTGTGCTTATCCTTCTGCTCCAATGATTAATTATGCCGTCGCAGAAGTTTTTTCGGAAGCCCCAACGACAATCAGAGTGTCTAGCGACGCCGGACCCTCGCTATACATATGGAGTGCGGAAAGTATTCGGAGTCGCGGTGGGTCAATTATTCGTTCTCGAGTCTCGAAACCGTGCAACGAATGGGAACGATAGCGCGATTTCCTCCATGCCGGTCCACGAAGAGTACGTTCATGGGGGAGGGATAAGAATCATACCGCCTAAGTCGTGTCCTCGGCGTTCGATCCTCCCCTGAAGAGATCCCAATTTCCCCATGTAGAATACCCAAGCGATGCCGTGAATAGCATGGAACAGTGCTGGGCCTTACGACGCGCGAATGGAGAGCAGCAACGACTCGAGGCCGCGTCACCAATCAGAGCGTTCTCGGTGCAATCCAAATCGGTTCCTCATGGATCCAGCCGGGAGCCCGATTCTCAGCAATGCAGCTTCTGATTGAATCAGAGCAAGGTTTACATCTCCAACTCGACACATATCCGGGAAGAGGAGGCAGCCTTTCATATTGACGAAGATGTGCGCCTACGGCACCAGGCGCCAGAACTACGGCTACGATTAATGGTGATATGAGCCGCTCGACACCGTAGACAAACACTCGAGACGAGATAGCTCAGCGAGCGAGTATTCGCCAATCGTATCTGCCATTGAGCTCGATAGCTGTCATGGACAAGGCATCAACAGATCTTTTGGCTACTCTGTTTGTATTAGCGTCCTCCTCATCCTACACCCCCTTGAGCCTCTATGCACTCGTGTATGCATTCGGAAAATATGATCTCTCGACGTAGCTACACCAGCCAACGTGCCATGCCAAAGGGCAGTGTAGCTGACCTCAGCGTGCCTGTTGTGACAGCCGACCGGGCCCACTCGCCTTAGCCAAAGTCCATGCGAAGGCTTTCAACACGAGGGCATTGTCGTTCGCTCACGCTCCGGCCTTCTGGGGAAAAGCGGAGCCTCTTCCGGCAATATCGTCGAAACGGAAACCGAAGAGAAGATCCAACTCCCCGCTGGTAAATACACACCCAGACTGTGCACACATATTCCCGAGCCGTTCGGGCCGGCATCGACCCTCACTAACCGACTGATTTGGCGGTTTCGACTTGGTGAATATATTCCCAGTTAGATCAAAGTGTGAGCCGTACCGCCGGCTAAGTTTGCTTGTATATTTATGTGGGGCGACCTGGAAGTAATTTACCCGATGCGATCGACGTATTTATTAACGCGGAGTGCATAATGCATCGAGGGAGGCAGGCCAGTCGCCGAAGGTGTTGGATTCGACGCAACGATGAGCTATCCCCATCCCTTCTTCTCTTCCTCTGATCTGGATGGATACTCCCTTTCTGACGTCCCATCCCGGGGATTTTGTCATACACGGATCGAGGAACCAAATTTACGAATTCCTCATAAGCTGAACTTCCGCGCTACGATCGCCCGTAATGATATTTTTCGCGAAACCTCGCTCCTTCATCGACTTTGTGGCTCCACCATTTAAGGAGGAAATTCCCAGGCTGTCGGACCATGGCTCGGGAGGGAAGAAGCGAGAGAAACTCTCCGGTTCCCCTCGGTGGGCTCGTTAGTCTCAGCTCATTGCGAATGAGTGACTGACTCACTGACCGAATTTAGCGAGGAGCCTTGTAACGAGGAATACCGTTTCCGGTCGAATCGACTACTGAAGGTATCACCGCGTACTGCGGAGGAAACGGAACGGCTCTGCTCATTCCCAAAGGTCACAGGTGGACTCTTACCAAATGGCATTGAACCTCATGTTCAGCTTCTTCCGCTCTCCAGAAGGCGATCGACTCCGTCATTCTCGGCGAACTTTTCCGAGAACGAAGTCGTCGATATAAACAGGAGTCTCGTTCCTCTCCTTCTGTCCAAGATTCAATCGCACCCGCTCCGAAGAGATCATTCCCAGAACGGCCGGAGCAGGTCGAATGAGGAGCTCTGCATGCGGAGCGGCACGTACCGCTCTGCGGGTCTCGGCGAGATCTTGTTCCTTCCTTCACTTGGAGGAGAATTTTCCTAGCTGTGTGACGCTAATGTTGCAGGTTTACTTAGTCAGGCCAAAGCCTCGCAGAAAGAACCATGCCAACTCCAACTTGGGAGATTCTCGGAGGTGAACTTATACTCGTCGGGTTTACCCCACTCCCGATACCTATGATGCTATTCCGCGACGAATACGCCTCCAGAGCGATAAATTTTCGAAGTACATGACTTTCATTCGACCGAGAGGACTGCAGTCAACGCGTTCCCCCCTGGGAATCCTCACCCTTTAGAATCCCAGATCGATCGTCGTCTTGAACGTGAATTTTGCGTGTTTCAATCCGGAGCAGGATCCATCAGCGGACTCCTCGAAGCATGCACCTAAAATTCGGGACGCTCGATGAGGGTATCTGGTACACGCCCATGTTCGTGACGGAACGAACGCAGACCCGGTGGATGGGAGCCCTCCGCGGAGAGATAACGCGCTGGTTTCTTCCGGAGCATGGGGATTTTTTTTCGCAAGGGAATTAAATTATTCTTCTCGGTCTTCCAATCGATCTCCGAGAAATGTACATAGCGAGAAATTCATTACGTTATGATTCCATGCGAGCAGATCGAGTGGATGAAGAGAGATCAGTCGATAAAGCCTCGCGTTTGTCGAGATATCCGGTCGAGAGTCCGAGAGGAGCTCTCAAGCAGTGAATTATTTAAGGACGTATGACGAGAAGTGCTTGTAAGTGAATACATTGGGGTCGATAAAACGTTTAGCCGTACCATTTGCAATTGTAATTCCCCTTGCGACGGGGCCTGGGCCGCCAACGCCGAAACTTGACAGAGCTCTCCCTAACATGGATATCTCCGGGAAGAATCTGAGAATACTCCCGAGAGGGATTGGGAGCCCCGATTCGGGACCACGTCGTCCTCTGGATTCGATCACAATCGTCCGACACACTCCGAGACGACAATGTTGATCTTTCGAAGACTCTTCCGAGTGATCGAAGAGCGCAGAAAGCAGGACGATGGTCTGAGAAATATTGAGGTCAAGACTCAATCGGCCCCAGAAGAGCTTTACGACTAAGTAAGCTTCAATGGCTCCCTCGAGGAAAAAATGAAGAGGGTGCGATAGCCGACTTAACTCCATAGGGGATTTCATCTGGTTTGATTGATCGATTTAGAAAAGTCGCTCCTTCCAGACTTCAATTATCAGCTGTAGCGTATTCTGCTGACGGAGATCTATACTTCATTCATCACGCCTGTAAGAGGCCCGGGGCGCGTAGAATGATATCGCAGATCCTTCAATCTAATTCCGGCAGTCGTCTCCATGATATACCCAATGAAGCTTCCGACTCGCACGCACTGAGTACACCGTCATCTCTGGAGATATAATTATCCGCCATCGTTACGCAACTTTCGCAGCTTTCGAAACTCTTGATGAGGTGGCGGAGTTCTGCTCGTGGCGTTCTGATATATATCCGTGACGAGCCGAAATGAAATGAGGCGCCTCGAGACTGAGCCGAGCGCCGTCCACGTCGGTCGCGCGAAGATATGGACCGTGACATTTTTCGTCTAAAAAATAATATTTTCCCCCCACAGATACGGCTTTTTGAAAGAGATCATGTATAAGTATACGGTAAGTGCTCTGAATCTGTTTCGCTGTGTTCGAATACAGATCTGGTCTTTTCCCAGCCAGCTGAAAATACTTCAGCGGAATTTTCGACCTGGGGGTCGAATGATAAAATGTTTTCCTCTTGTAGCGACAAGCGCCTAAAATCATACAAGCCACGGAGGATCTGTATAGCTGGTTACCTTTCGCAACCTTGATCGACAACAAGATATTCGTGGTTCACGGGGGAGTGTCGTCGACCACGGACCTTAAGACCATCGCTGCCATCGATAGGCATCAATTCGCCACCGTTCTTCAGCCACCTGGACAACACTCCAACTACACGTATAAGGAATGGCGGCAGGTGAGCTCAACCTTCAAATCCTCGTGCAGCTAGTTCAATGCGTCGTGGCGGGCTCCCATCGAGCGTGAGTACCTTGCGTGATAGTTCACGCGCTGCGAGGAGTCGAATCAGGCGGGGGGTCCGCCCCGGGCATCGATGCTCTAATTTCTTTGTCACCACCACAGCTACAGCAAGAGAGAGTATCAGCGTCGTCGCTATTCTTGCTCTTGGTATCTAACTTTGGAACGTAGTCGAGCCGCAGTATGATCGGAGCCAAACCTAGATTCTAGAACTCAATTATCGCCAGAAATATCGATGCTACACTCGATTCAAACTCTCACAACAGCGTTTCGCTCGAGCTTCTCGCGAGAGCAAATTCGAAACGTTCCGCAGCTGAGCCTCTAACAGCGAGGACTCGTAAAAAACGCGATAGAGATTTGTGCTACTCGAGCAAGCTGCATCCGTGACTGGAATTGAAAGGGCGGAAACTCTCCGCGACAAATCTGTTGCTTAATATTCCGTCGGTTTTCCGGAGTCCTCGAATTTTCCGATGATTCAATGAAGTTGTCTCGGTGCATTTCCGATTCTGCACCAGCGCCGTTCCGATGAGTCGGAGTGCGATGCGATATACGGGCAATAAAGCCCGCTCAACGCGAGAGCTTCCCGACCCGCCGAAAATAAACATGGTAGCGGTGTGACAACGAGATCCATTCTTTCGCGACTACAGTCCGGGCCGATGATTCCGAAGGCTCTGCTGGAACGTGGAGCGCTGTTTCCAAACATGTGAAATCTCCAGAGGCAACAAAGTTCGTCCGTGCCGCCGAATCAGCTGATCGGAAATTCAGTCGGCTCCCAAAAGGAGGATAGTGTCTATCATGTTGGCTCTAGGCGGAGAGCGGAGCTTTTCAGCGAAGTCTCAAATTCGGGAGCTTCTTTTTGTGAGCGTGTGACGACGTCTTCGCTAATTAGATATCATCATGCCCGTACATGACTCGGTCAGACGAGCCGTCAACTCCCCTCGTACCACTGTGGCTATTGGAATGTTACCTCACGACGAAATCATAGCTTGCTGGAAAGAAGCTTCAAGTAATGACATCCCCGACGGAACGTCTGACTGAGAGCCTATTTCCTCGTCGAATCATGACGAGTTCCGTTCGGCTGTTGCACGCATCCCGTCTGAGAGGGACACCCCGTGATTATTGAGAATCAGAAACATGGAATCCGACATTGTTGGCGGGAATTATTCCCTTCTCCAGCTGCGGTGCCGAGCACCGACCCCGCCGAGGAATCTGACGGACCGGCGTCCTTCGTCACTAGAGCGGAGCCCTCCGGATATCCTTGAGTAAACTCCGCGGGGTAGTCTCCAGGAGGTCAACGAGGATTCCCCACCTGGAAGGAAACGATCCGGTATGGAGCTGTTGGCGGATACTAATACAGAGAACAACATCCGGACCATCTTGACGGGGGATGAGCCCGTCGGTGTTCCTCGGCACATTCACTTCTCGATCAATCTGTGGCGAGTTCCACACCTTCCCTTGCAGCTGCTGCTGCTGCCGCCGGTTCTTCTGTTTTTCGTCCTCTCCCACTCAATAGGATGAAACTTATTGAGAACTCGGCCCCGATTCGAGCCGGCCTCGATTTGACCGATCATGGCGGTGGTGAGAGTACAGACTTACCGCCGGCAGAAGCGACCGCCTATGATGAGAATTGCTGCCGGCAACAAGGATGTCGAACCAATGTTTTTCTGCACGACCGGTCGCTGGAGAGCGAAGGCTCCTAGAGGAGTTCCAATGCTTCCTGCTATTGATTAAGAGGCATTCACTTATTATTAGCAACCGTGGAATTAGAGCGTCATTAGGAAGAAGTGAACGAGCAAGCGAATCGAAGAAGACGGCAACGACGTTGTAAGAATGTTCCTCCCCAAATGAATGGCGAGCCTAATTCCGGATTCCAGTCACGGCATTCTTCGCCGCATCGTATTGCTCACCTTACGAGAAGTCTCTTGCCTTTGTCCGATTCCCCCCACTCCGATCTAATGGATATTTGAGTAGCGTACGAGAGTTAGCGCATAGCCGCCGGATGGTTTCAGATGATACCGAAATGGAAGTCGAGCAAGACAGGAATCCAAGGACACAATGGAATCCTTCCTCCTTTGTCTGGAAGGGTCCGGTCCTGTTTCTCTCTTGGGAGTCTTTACGTAGTATTCATTCGGAAGGCCTTCTCCCGGATTTCCGTCTTCAATCGAGTTTGGACAAGTGAACTGCAGCTGTTCCATAGGATACAAGCGGATGGGAACGGTGTTCCGCCTGACTTGGGATTGGGCTCGTTTCGCTTCGGAGGAACCAACAAATATCTGGCGAGGGAGGTTTTATTCGTCATCGACTATATTTGAGACCTGAATTTCGTCAACCTATACCTTTCCCGCGCTGTCCCATAATTACATGAGGATGGATGAGTTTCCGGTCATCAGAAATTGAAGGAATGTTCAGCCCAAAGCCTCGGTACTTCGGGATGGGGCAATCCCGACGGAAAAGGCGAGAATCGCTCTCCCCGGATTCAGAATTTCGCCGAAGTGAAGGGATGCCCCCGTCGATTTCCCGAAGTTTTCCGATGAAGAAATGGGTAGCCTGAATCGGATCATCGACTCTCCGCGCTAGACAGCGCGAGTGGGGTCATCGCGAATTTTCCCGGTATATGGAGGCCTCAACCTTTCGGCTATCCGTCGATGTAGTCGCCATCTTGCGTCGACGGTCCTCTGCGCCCGGGCTCCTTACACCGACTGTGCAACTTGTTCCGCCTGGGGACGAATGAGTTCGAGTGATATTTCCTCCGATCAGAACTTCTGGGCTACATATGCATCTTGAGGCTACGTCGCCGGCGCCAGTGAACTTCGAGAGACTACTCCAAAGGTCACCTGGGCACTCAGGAACTCTTATCGATAGAAGAGAGAGGGACTTCGGGAGAGTCTTTGCGTGCGCGGGTGCCGATCGCTTCCAGATGTCTGTCAATGAGGCTTCTGCCGTGTTAATAGGTCCATTCATCCTCTCGGAAACAAAGCGATGCTCAGAGGTCTGACTGTTTTCAAGCTTCGACCGTGCTTGTCAACTCGTCACTCACGGCTACCGCTGCTATTGAGACTGCACAGCGGCGACGCTCGCCGGCTTGCTGACTCTCCCTGCGGCATCTCCACAAAGGCCAGCTACGCTTGACCTCGTTTCCGCGCTATCACACGACTTCTATACCCGACGCAGCAAGCCCAATCGATGAGAGCAGCTTGAGCAGCTCCGCTTGAGCTTACTTCGCTGTTCCGAGCGTCATCGATCACCTGGCAAGTTCGGAACTCGGAGGCTTTCCAGACTCGAGCGGGGTGCGACAAGGCGGGAGAATAGAAAGGCAACCAACAATGCGCTAGAAGCAGTCGGTCACTAGGTCCGAATGTTTCTTCGCATTCGATTCGGCCGGAGTCCCTTGCGAAAGACTCCTGGACGACCTTGAGATTCTCAGCACGCTGACATTGAACATTGCCAAATCCTTTCACGTGTCCGCGGAGAAGACAGTGGGAGACCTTTCTAATCGAGTCCGAATACTCTCTCGAATTGAGTAAGCTGCCCAAATCCGAAAAGCAATCTCAATTCGTGGTGACCGGGCTCCTGGACCGGCTTCTGTGCGAGTCATCAGTACGAAACCGGAGCTGAGTTGGCGCCAAGCCGCAATCTCAGCCAATTCGTTTCTGCCTCCCGCAGATCACTTCTGCGGTCTCGGAAAATTAATCTATCTTTCCTTTTAGGTGGTCGATCTACTGTGGTCGGATCCGAGGTCGCTGAACGGATGTCAACCAAACAACATGCGGGGAGGGGGTTCATTTTTCGGACCCGATGTCACAGAGGCCTTCTTGAAGAAATACGACCTCTCACTCATTATCAGATCTCACGAATGTAAAGTGGATGGCTATGAATTCACCCATAACAAGAAGGTACGCTGAAATTCTCTCATTCGCGGAACTCATCTCGCTCGAATGTTTCTTCTTCGAGCTGCGATTTCTCGTGCATGCGGAAGACGGACCGAGATTGATAATAATGAGCAGCTTCGGTCTCTCGGGGGATGGCCCAGTCGGATGGGAGCTCCGAGAAATCTCCTCCGTAACCGGGTCGAAAATGGAGAGATGCAGCTAGGCCGGAAGAAGCGTCTGCTAGTTCGGTCTCCGAGATTGGATGTGATTCGAGACGACGACGGGAGGTCCCCTGGAAGCTTATACGACCCTTTCCCGAGGTCAAAACTCTGGGAGAATGATGATATTCAAGCTTTTCTCTTTACTATTCGGGATGAGTTGAAGCGAATGTCCTCCCGCCGTCGTTGACTTCGCCCTCTGAGGTCATCTCATAACTGGCAAGCGCGCGGGCGGAAACGAGGGGAAACACCGGGGAATCCGGCTTGGAAGGCAAAGACTGCACTCCCCGCGGCTCAAACCGGCAGTGGATTTCGGTCGGGGCTAATTTTCTTCTTTGAACTCTCCATCGGGGTCGTCGTCGTCGTCGACGACGTTGTTGCTGCTGCTTCTGGCGCCGAGGTTGGTCCCCGCCGGAGCTCCGCAAAACGGATCCATTGTTTTCACTTTGCTGTTGAGGCATCAGAAGAACGAGCTCGGCGAGAACCCGACTCGACTTCATCTACTTTTGCTTCTCAATCTCCGGTCTCATTTCCACAGCTGACAGTCTTATTCTCCGAGACGGGGAAAGACCGCCAATAAACTATTCGAGCGGCCACGTCGCGTCGTTTGTGGTTCTCGGGCTGGTTGGAAGACCCTATTGGGATCAGGAGTCGGATTTACTCTCTGTCAGCCGTATGGGCACGTCCCGAGAGATTTATCTAAATATATATTTACCCGGCGAATGAGCTGAATTCGCGCGCTTCTCTGCCAACTCGGACTTGGTCGCAACGAATCGGATTCGAGCAATAGCGAATGGGAGAGGTCCGAGTGCGCGTTCGATCAGCATGGCGGTTGGTTTTTCGAAGGGGAGTGGGGGACTCCGATTGAAAATCAGAAAGAAATCCTCCAAATGACGACTGACTCCAGAGCGGGCGTAGAGAGTGGTCGGCGCGTGTGAGGCGTCGATTGAGGTCATCGGGTAACTCGAGAGAGCGTTCTGAATCATCACTATGGTCGAAGCGTTCCACTTCGAGCAGAAAAGAGTGCAACCCGAGCTAAGAAATATTTCCAACACGAGGGAATTTTCTCCAGGTGTTGACGATGTTCTCCGCGTCCAACTACTACGACGTTGGGAGCAACCGAGGAGCGTACGTGAGACTCGACGGTCCCACCCTAAATCCCCACATCGTCATGTACGTGAGCACCGCTCAAACTCGGAAGGCGACCATTCAGCAGAGGCAAGTGTCTCCCGATCTGTTTTGAAGAGAGAAATAACAAAACCAGGATGAAGATGGAACACACTCTTGCAGCGTTCCTCTCTGAGTGAGCTCACTCCATTCTCAGGGTGCCTCCACCTGCATTTACAATGCTCGCTTCATGTGCTCACAGTCACTTTGATTTCAGGAGCGGTTTAATGGAACATAGCGCGTTGCGGGAGCTGAAACACCATATATTCGCCTGTCAATCCCTTCTCAAGAAAGAGTTCTTGCTGATCGATCCCTCAAATTCCGGTGAGCAAGCAGCACGGATCGCTCGCCTATCTGCGAGCTATGTATTTCTAAGAGAAGGAAGTGGGGGGGGGGCGGGGAATTGTCTCTCGCGTTTTTTCGGGCTGCGGGGCCCACGAAGAGAGAAGAGACCATGGACTCTCGATCTTCTCTCGAACAGTCGGGAAAGCTCGTATTTGATGACATTTGACCCCGGTGAGGGGCATGAGGGCGGGAGCGCTGAAACAGGAGGCGAAAATCTCTTCGTTCATGGTTCCGCGGAGTTGCCGCGCGTTGCGGGAATTACGTCCTCCCCGAGCTGATTTCCTCTCTATGTCTCCGGATTCCCTCGATCCGCTCTCTCTCTCTCTCGTCCGCTCCAGGCGGAGGAAAGTCGTCAGAGTGCTAAACCCATTATAAGAGTCATTCCGGCAACGTGATTATGATGAAGAATTTCCCTCTCTCGTCGCAGGCACTGTGAAAATAAGCGACTGGTGCAATATCATGGAGCGGACTGTTGGCCTGAAGGTGACCTGGAGGATGCTCTGTCCCAAGATCGCGCAGGTTGACCATCAGAAGGGCCTGGTCCACTATGAGAGCACCTTCGACGAGTACTACATGACCAATGCGCTCGCACAAAACGGGCCTTCCTTCCTTGAGAGTCTCTACCGAAACAAAGAGGCCTTGGAAACCATCTTTCGGATCATGGATAAAGATGGCTCCGGTGAGTCTGGCGTCTGATGAACTTTTCCCGTATCCAATGCGATCAGCCGATGCCTTGTCGGAAGTCGGATTCCGATGTATTCCCCTGAGTTCGTTCCTCCTCCGGGCCATCGACGACACGCCCCGATAACATATTGTCCCACTCTCTGCAGGCCTCATCTCCATGCAAGAGTTTCAAGATGCGTGCGATCTTCTCGGACAACACGCGGAGCAACCCATGAGCAAAGACCAGATAGAGCAGCTGGCCAAATCAATTGACATCAATAAAGACGGCTTCATAGACTTCAATGAATTTCTCGAAGCTTTCCGGCTTGCCGACAAGACGCCTTCGCTCGAAGAGAAATCACCGGAACAGGAAGACTATGCAACATTCGATCAGAATCTCGACCAGGACGTGGAGATTACCAGGTTATAGATTAGACAAAGCTGGTATATTTATACGTCCAAGTGCTATTGAATCACGCCGAGTTTCTGGATGAATTCTCACAAATCCAACCAGTGCATAATTGTGATCATGGTAGAACGGACTCGGATGAGCTTGAGATCCATCCTCGAGGTGTCTCGTGGAATCATCCGACGCCGTGCACGTCTGTGGCTTAGGTGGCTGAGAAGTCGAACTGTGAGATGAATCGACCCATAGAACACGGAATAATTACCCGGAGGCAAAAGGACCAAATCTTGAATACATGATCGAAGTCTGAAATAATTCTGATCACAAATACTATCCGTCACCGTATGCCCTTAATTTCTCTAATCACTCTCATCGAGTTGATCCAATCGGGTGTCGGACTCATAAGGTCGATCTCCCAAACTCTCACCGTTTACAAAAGAGCTGGAATAAATTCACGTCGCTACTCGATAGAGGACCGTGGATGGATCAACTCGTTCTGACGAAGAATTGCCCTCAAGAATCTTTCGATTGGCGAACTACACACCATGAGGGTTCCTCCAGCAGTGAACGCAATGTATACGCCTTTGGCTCCATGCTTCTGTTTTCTGCGCAAGGAATCCTCCATTCTCTCGGAGATATTCTTCTGCACACGGAGCTCGGCTACACAGTATTATTAATCAACGTGATTCTATCCCCGGCTGCAGCTTTAATGTGCCATGTACGCCACGTCTAAACCTCACACGTTCCGCTGGCTTGACCAACTTGCTGTGAAAGGTCTCCCGACTCGTGGCTTGAGGGAGACCGTTCCCTCATGCGTTTCCAGATGAGAAGAAATTCCCAGATGAGCCAGAAACACAAAGCTCCTAACTCCTATCAAGGCTGAGAAATTCCGCTCCAATGAAAATGAGGATCTTCACTTGAGGCTGTCACGCGGAACGTTGCACTTGTCACCTGATCGAAAGGCTGTGTGACACGGGGCGAGCTCGAACCGTGATACGGCTGTATTGTACTATTGAATCGAGAGCAGACAGTGGGACGTCGAACAGGTTTATCATGAGTCGTATAGAAGACTTTATGTGTGGACAAGTTCGATAGGTTACAACTTTGACACTTTCGCTATTGGAGGCTTTCGGGCCAGCTGATTGACGTGTGAACGTTGTTGCGCGCGGGAGATAAGCAAGCCGATAATAACCGAACAGATCAACTGGAAAGTCACTATGATCCTAGCGCGTGGGATCGGAATGCATTTTTTTTCTCCGCTGCTCATCTTTCCCTTCCCATTCCATCGCTCGACTATTTGCCATAATTCCTGTTCTGACTTCGAATCAATCCTTATATTATACTCGTCTCCCTACAATAGTATTTCTCTGATCAGCTCCGTTTTATTCCTTGAAAGCACGCCATTGGATACCTACGCACCGCCGACACGTTCATTATTATCTCCGTTCTAACTTTTAGCGAATCAATAATGACGTTCAGCTTGCCTACGATAGTTTTAGGCTGGAACAGAGGGGCCAATTAGTTTCCAATCTACATACATGAGATACGTTTCAGCGAATTAGCAATGAATCTTCAGAGGAAATATACTGTGCTTCACTGAATCGACCATTGATCGACGGATCTGCCGATCGATCCCACACCCACTCACTCACTCACTCACTCACTCACTCATCAATTCTAACATATTGCTGATAATCAATTATCGACTGCAGTTCCGTGGCTGCCGTGAGACGCAGTTTAGGTGATCGGTAGAGGTAGGGTCAGAGAGCTTATTGGGTGGCCTACTTGCTCGCTTGGCGTTCGTTACTTAAGCCGACCGGGCAGCGGGCGGGCTCGGACTCACCCTCTTCTCGCTTAGGTACACTTAGTCCAAGGAACACATGTCCAGAAAAGTGGGTAGGCAAACAGCATCGCTTGCATCTACGTTCACCTGATGCAGAACCTTAGTGTTCTCTTTTTGCTTCTTGTGCTTGTTCGCCTCTGTTTCTCGTTTCTCCCGGAGGGTAGTGTTTCCATCTCTGCTTAGAACACTTAAACGGTCCACAGAACTCGCAATCAGTCGAGCTTGAGGGAACAAATCGTCCTGCTGCCGAGGATTTCCCCTGGTATTATTGTTCTGCGGATTCTTGCTTCCCTTAAGGAAACGGGAGTAACACGGTATCTCGTACCATAGAGTGTCGATCGCAGTTCAGCTGCTGCTTTCCAATCTCACATCCGGAATACTCGGAACATTTCTCACAATCGCAGTTATTGATTCGTTCTTCGGTGACGACCTCGATGGTGATCCACTTCCTCAGTCTATCACAATTGAAATGAATTATCTTAATCGTTCTCGCTATGTATACGACGACAACTGACCCCTTGACACCGCCGCGTTTGTACCTTGTAAAATAGTTAAGGTTTGAAATCATACGGATTGATAGTGAGCGAAAAATGATCAAGGACTATTCGGACCTCATCATCCGAGGTCATCGGATCGAATATGTGAGAAAGTGATGTTGAACTTTCACGTTGACAATGATGAAGCCGTTGATGGGAATACGGCGTTGACAATGATGAACAAATTAGGACGTGCCCCTAAATCGCCGGGGGAAGGGAAAGATCAATAATAAACATTACTATACGCTGATTATTAAAGCTGCAATGGCTGTAACCGTTCCTTCTTCGATCCATATTTTTTTTGATCAGGATTTCCGGGGTTCCCATCAGTGGAGAAATCGCAGTCCGCCCTCCGGTGAAATCGCTGATCCCTGCTGCCGGCTAGATATTCCTCACAAAATTCCCAAACGGAAGAGCAGGTACTCGACCTCGATCCCCTCGCTTCACTCGTTCTCTGTATCCGTCCTCGGACCAATGTGAGCAACAAGGCCCGGGCTCTAGAGCTCTGGCTGCGTAGTCCATCCCGAAAAGGTGTTGTTTTCTAAATCGCTACGCTCATACCAGCCTCCATCACGGAACTACGGCACTTCTCGGCGACCGGGTAGTCGGGTAGCGATGTGTAGACGAACCGTATCTCCACCTGAAGTTTAAGTGCGCCTTCGATTCCTCCTTCTTGGCCCCCCGCGGCACCGAGGTAGCGCTCGGATGTGTAAGAAGATTAACATAGACCCCGGCACCCCGTCCAGTTCTCCCCTCTCGGGAATTTCCGGGCACGCCTTCGACCTCGACTTGTGGACAACCACGGGGGTCCGCCCTCCCGAATTAGTCCGAGCATTCGACTCCTAAGTTGCTATCTCCTGACTTGACGTTGACATCGATAGCTCGTCTCACCATCGCGCGGTACGCGGGCGTCGTTTTATGGTATCGAGCCTCGCACAACTTCGGATGGCGATCGGGGTGTCAATTGATGATTTCTCCCCTCTCGTAGACGGTGGAGTCGAGTTCACTTTCTATAGCGACCCCAAGCTCTGGCCGCTATGGAAAAGAACTCTTTCCCCTTGTATAATTCTTCCACCGTGCAGAACGACTCACGATACTCCCTGCGGGATGTGGAAGACAGGGGAGACTTGCTCGGAGCAGCGGTTGGCTGGATGAATTTCCTCGTGGTCCTCCTTGGGTCAGGTTTTCAAATTGGGTCCTGATTCCGCGATGGCTGAGCCCATATGATACTGAAGACATGTAGACCTCATGACCTGAGAAATAGAGGACCCAGGCGTGGAGTCTCTCCTATCGTGGGAGAACGGTGAGAGCTCGTGCATCCGACGACCGGCGTCGTCCGACTCGATTGATGGAGTGGCTGAACTGGCTCATAAGGATGAAGGGGATATTTCTGCACGATATCAAGGGAGAAAACGACTAGACTCAGTATTTTCCTTATTCGATTGTATTTTCAATCTTTTCCCCGTGTGTTCACCCGGTCGGATTCGCCGATCGCATTGAGATCTGATATCAGCGCTTGAGCTCGGGGAAACATGGATTCCTTCCACAATGAAGTGACAAAAGAGTATTTCCATCAAGGAAGTATGTATCACTCACAATCCATATGCATCAATGCGATCATGCTTCTCTCTGGGATAAAATAACAGTCAGTCGGCTTTAATTAAAAAATAATGTAGAGGCTTGCTTCGGAGAATTGTTCTCATATATACATCCGAACCAAAAGGACTCGCATCGGCGTTTTGGGATAGACAATGCGAAACAACTAGTTTGGTGGACAACAGACTGAATCAAGCTAGGAAACAAGTGACTGAGATAGGAGCCCTCCTGCTCGTCAAACAGTAAACGCTGTCCATTTTGGAAGAGGCTGTCCGGCACATACTGACAGTGCTCTAATGACCCCCTCGGTGAACTGCCAACGATTGATCTATGTTCGTACGTCGCTCGTGAAAATCTTCGTTCTCGGAGTGACTGCACAGACCTATCAACTAACACGCTAAATGTGGACCTTACCAGCTCGTACAGCTAGGTATTCTGAAAGACTTGCCACGATTGCGTTCGGAAAGACTTTCGCTAAATCTAATTCAGGAAGACACTCTGGCCTTCGATAACCACTCCGAGGTCCTATGACGCCACGTCACTCAGGACGAGTTCGAGTACGAGATTTTCACTTATACTCCTTCATGAACTTCTGGTGGAACTCCTTGAATAGATTCAACATCTCTTTGAGTTGATCCGTGGGGGGCAATATCGTTGTTCTGGAAAAAATGCGGAACGATTAGAGCACAAACCGGAGTTTCTGATCGTCAGCTCTCGATAGTGTCGTCGAATCAGTTACGTTAAGGATCTTGGATCGTGTGGGCCAATTAAGGATAAGGAGGTGATTGAGCTCACCTGAAATGGTACGTTCCTGGTCTCTGACCAAAACCGGAGCCTGGAACAACGCAGACGCCGGTCTCTTCGAGCAGCTGCTTCACGTAGAAGAAATCCGCTTCTTGCCCGAGCGACTTCGCTTTTTCGATAGCCTTCTGCGGAATCGTCAGACGTGGGAATGCGTACATCGCGCCGGCTACAGCGTTACATTTGAAACCTTCGAAAGTGTTGAAGGTGTCCGCGACCATCCGAGCTTTAGTGCGCAACTGCTCGAGAACTTCGGTTCGTTCTTTCATGAAGAGATCATAGGATTCCTCTCCTTTGGCGGGTGGCCTCACGACGCAATCCATCGCGATCTGGCCCAGTATGGTGGAGCAAAGCTTGGCCGATATCGCTTTCAAGAGCGTGGCCTTCACTTGGGGATCAAAATTCACGATCTCCATGTAACCACCGCGAAGACCGCATCTGGAATCGCGAATATTTACTCGAATGTCATACGGTTTGATGTTCCTCCCCGAGAAGCCGGCCCAACGTTTGAATCGATTGCATGCTATTGCCATCCACAACTTACTCTCCCATGAATCCTTTCGAAGCGGACATGAACGACACCAGCTCCAGCGTGTTGTACGGAGCACCGAGTTCCGCTTGCACCTTGCGGAACGAGAAGAACTTTCCGATGTAGACGTTATGCTGATAAACTTCGTCCGCCAACAACATCAGATTGTGATCGTATGCGAACTTGATTATGTCTTTGATGTTCTGCTCGGAAAGAACCGAACCTGGAATAATGAATGGTCAGCATCTTTTCGGTTTTCGATGGTCTCGCTCCTTGCAGCGATCGGCATCTTCAGAGGAGCGCACTGTCAGAGGGGATCTCACCTGTGGGATTTCCAGGATTGATGATGCATATTGCTCTCGGGTGAATTTTGTTCTTCTTAGCCTCCAGGAAAGCCCGTTCGAGCTCAGGAATGTCCAGAGCCCAGTTGTTGTCCTCGTCGAGATAGTAGGGGACTTGACCCATGTTGTACTCGGCGAGGGTAGCTGAATACAACGGATACTGAGGGATCGGAATCATGACTCCGGGTCTTTGTCCGTCCACTGGCTCGTTCAACAGCGAGAGGATCGACTTGAAATGGAATGAAAATTTAAATTATCAAGAATGATGGTGGTAGCTTCAGAAGCGGCGCGGCTGTGACTGCTCTCTGGGTATTCCTTACCCTGACAGCCTCACTGGCTCCTCCTTGGAGGATGACGTTCTCCGGCAAGGTTTTCACACCATCCCGCTGTGAAATGTACTCCGCGACGTGGTTCCTGATGACGGCAACGCCAGCGCTATCGCTGTAGGCGCCCACGGATTGACCTCCGCAGGATTTCAGAATTTCTTCCGCTCGAGCGCGTACGTCAGAGGGGAAGACATCCGATTGGAGGAACATGTCTGGCATCGTCGATGTAGCAAGAACCTGATGGAAAATCGGAAATTTCTCGAGGGGTCGCACATCGATGATAATATTTTCGGTAATCGGAATCGATCAGATCGAATACGAAGGGAGCTCGATGCGGCGTCTTATCGCCGCTATTTCCCCAGAATAGGTACGGACGAGTTCAGAGGGGGAGCCGCTAGCTTGAAAGATCTTCAAGAATAAGAGGGGGTGGTGCGCCGGAGCTCTCGATGATTAATAACTTTTCGGAGCCTGACAGTCCGGAGGGAGATAACCCGAGCTGCAGATAGCCACTTTTCTGATCCTCGTAGCTCGAAGTATCTTGGAGCGGCGATAATGATGGTATCGTGAGATACTCAGATGATTTTCAGGAATGCGGAAATTTCGATGAAATACGGAAGGAAATCTCCAAGCCTTTGACGTCATACCTGACGGATGAACGTTATTGGTTTCTGCCCAGTCGCGTGGCAATCGCCGATGTTGCTTCGAATTACTCGCTTGAACGGGAGTGAACCAGGCTGGAATTAGGAAAACTTCTGTTTACATCCCGCGTGGTCAATACAACGCTGTAGTATGTTCTGCTCTCACAACGGACGTGACAACTGCATTCTAGATCTGAATAATGCCCCCATTCCGACGCAACGGGAATTCAGGCGTGCTATCCTCGAGTCGGATCCTCAGTTCGGACAGCAGCTCGTGCCATTTCGTGTTCTTAGCGATTCCGTGTCGGTATCACTCGAACAATCTTGATGTAATCATCCGGCTATTTATCCACCGCTGTCCACAGGTCGTTTTGCAGGACGTCTTTTATTGCGGTGAGGGATTCACAAAGTCGGATTCACCAAATGACAAGCTCTATGGACTCCGCAAAAACAGGCAAAGGGAAGCCCGGCGGGGAAAAGGAGCACATCAATGCTGTTTCAAAGCGATATTCTCGATTAATCTATTTCCCAAGATGCTGTGACTCTTTCAAAATCGTGTCCTTGGTCTCATTCAATGTCATTTCCCGGGCACGACATATTCAGAGAGAATTGACTTCAAGAGAGCCACAATTCGATATACCTCGCTGAACGTCGAGTCGATCTGGAAGAGTTCCAGACGTTCGACTAAACTCTGAGGAATACCACTTTCAGAAGCGAGATTATTCACCTCGAGAAGGCGATGAACGAGACGCTTTGTTCCCTCTTACGGTTCTATCTGAGCTCAAATAGAGGTTGTGAGAGTGAATCAACGCTCGGCGGCACTTGCCAAGAGCTTCATTCCAAACCGAACAGTGAGCGCGTCGCGTCGTGATCTCGAACTCCTCAACATCATCTCTTGGATTGATCTCGCGCAGGGATTGCATCTCCACGCTATCGAGGATCTGTGAACGGTCGCACGACTCGAGGCTATCAGTCGTCATCGGCGATTGGTAATCAGTCGAGGAGGCGGCAGGCTGTCCGGTCCTTACCTTGTCTTTTAGTTGCTTCTCTATTTCACCAGCTCGGATGACGATGGGTCCTCTGACGGCGTACTCCATCACACGCATGTTGCGGTTGGTGTTCTCCACTAGGATGACTTTACCGTCCATTTTCGCAGCAGTGGTATGGATCGGACGGCGATGACTTCCGATCTGAACGACTCCTACGTTGGTAGGATGGGCAGCGGCTGTGACGGCGGATATTCTTCCGTCAATGGAGAGGCTCCTCTTCGCCAGCTGACTGCTGCTGCTGCTACTACTGTTCAGTCCCAGACCAATAAGTGACGTCACGAGGCGCGATGTCATGGCGGGTAAGGGCGAACGACGGACGCGCACGTAGACGTAGACGCTCGCTCTGCGGATAAAGAGGCGCTCCGGAGTAGGCGCTTGCACGCTAGCCCGTGCGCTTCCGAGTGGCTACGAGTCTACGGCAAGAATGCTCTTATCGTCTGGAGCCCCTCGCTTCGCTTCTCGAAAACCACCACTAACCGGTGTGCTCTCGATAGAGAGGAGAACGGGCTGTACTCTAGAAAGGGAGGACCCCGCGCGCTGACGCCGAGGCGCCAAATTCGAATTCGGGAGCAAGCCGTCCACGAGCTACGGCTCAGAAATTTTGTTCCGTCTAACGGGACTCCCCGAAACCCAGACGAGGCTCGGGAGCTCCAAGGATATCACCGTGGAAGACTTTTCCCGGCCTTGGAGATGAGACTGATTGTGAATGGCAGGAAATAGTCGATTTGGATCGATTGTGGAGAAAACTCGAGGTAGCCGACAGAAACGTCGAACTGCCTGAGATTACCGGAACATTCGAATCACTCCTTTCTGTATCTCTCCGACTAAATACTCTCGACTTTTCTTAGAAAAAATGTGCTCTAGATATACATTTATTTCCTTGTACGCGTTTCTACTACAAAAATTCACGGTCAGCGATAGTTTGTCAAATTCCCCAGCAGAAGGAAAGCATCTCCCTCCCCTCATTGACCGGCATTTTTCAACTAAGTCGCTCACTTTCATCTTAAATGTACTTTTCTGCATATCGACGCATTCTAACCACTCGATCGTTGAACTCACGCAGGCTTGGAACCGACAGCGCTTCTGGAACCCTATTGGCGACAGACCGATTAATCCAAATACTTCGTCACGAAATCAATTCCACAGTCAACCTCGCATCAGGTTTCTTCTCTTGAACGAGATCCAGAAGTCGGCCGACAGAGCGTGAGAAATGCTCTCGCTCCTCCGCTCTCACACACCGATCTAGTTTTTCTCGACTCCACGAGACACACTTTTGGGTTCCGCATCGAGCCACCAATCAACAATAGTTTTGTTCGATCTCCATTTGTCTTTAGCAGACAGAATCGATTTAACCAATTATGAGACCCAAGCCGATGCGTGAGGATCCCTTCACGTGATTCAACATGGCCGACATACAGAAGGTGAACGGCAGAGGGGCCAATCTTTTCTCCATTACGGCTCCCACCGTCCAGGTGGAATCTACCATGCCTCGGAATACCATATTTCCCTGGAAAGAAATGTCGAGTTCATAGTAGTGCAGGTCTATGGGAGAGCATAAGATAAGCCGCGAGATCTGGTACGGCTCGAGTTCGTGATCATAGAGTACGAGAAAGAAATCTAAGGTCACGATCAGAATTCGTCGGGAAGCCCCCCCCCTTTTCCCCGCCCGACATCGGTCGGAAATCTCGCACATACCTTTGGCAGATCCATTTGATAGGCGAGCGTCGCCACGCTGTCTCCGATACGATAGTTCGTTTCGACCTCAACCCCAACTTGTGTGCTTGAGTTAGTTCGGAGATAGTACGATGCGTGAGCTGAAACCATACCCAAAGTGCCAGCGATGACACACTGCTCGCCGGTGTATCTGCCGGCCAGGGATAGAACCGAAACTCCGCCACCTGCACGAAATAAGATTCCGATGAGGGAAAAATTAAGGGAGGAGAAGGATTAGTATCCAATTAGGGTGAAATTTTCTCGTGGAATTCGGTCGCGCGACGTCGATCAACACATGGGGAGGGAGGACCGAAAAGTTCGATCTCGCTCGTGAGTCCATCCCGAGATTCTTCGACGACAATTTCGCTCAATAGATCCGCTCGGTTCCTTACCTGGTATCTGCGGTGCGTACTGGTAAGCGTACTCGGCACCAAGAGCGACTCTCGGCTGGATATTTTGTAGGTACTGAGCAACCAGAACCCCTGACCGCGACTTGAAATCAAGGTTACCGGCCGAGAGTGTCGCCGTATAATTTATTCCCGTGTACTCGCCGGAGAATTGCGTGGTCACGAATTTATTATCCTGTAAGCAGATAAATTTATTATCGAATAATAAATTTAATGAAGAATAAATTTATTGAAGAATAAATTTAATGAAGAATAAATTTATTATCCTGTAAATCTGTTAGCAGATCTGGATCACGTCGGATCTCGATCGAGGGCTTCCGTTCTGCTTCCGGACTGTGAATAGTTAGTTTCGAAGAAAATAACTCACTTGGACCTGAGCGACCATCTTCCCTCGCAGTCTCCGAGATAATTGAGATACGCACTGGGCATTGAGATTTCCCGATGGATCGATGTCACCCATGAGGATCGGGGAAGCGTCCTCCGGCGTATAATGGGTCTTGCCGACATAAGTCGCTCCGAATCGATAGCCTTTCGGCGTCAAATTACTCATGTTCAAGGTGTGCGACACTTGGAAGTTGTTGCTGAGTCCCTTATTCACAATAACTCGAGCGCCTTCGAAACATATCGGCATCAAGTCCTTGACTTTCTTGTGAAGGTCCTCTAGGGAGCCCGGGTTCTCTGGCAGGTCTTGAACGATCGCATCCTGTAAAATGAATTCGCGCAACCTGAAGTATTCTCGACTTCCATAGCTCGAGGTTGATTCGGTGTTATTGGCGGAATCGCGCGTTTCGTGGGGGAACCTCGGTGACTGCGAGAGTCCGAGGCAAGGACTCACCTTTTTCTCTCCTTCGGGAGGTGGAGGGGGCGGTGGCGCAAAGTCGGAAGGAGAACCGGGCGGTGCTGTCGAAGCTTGCACGTTTCCCATTGTCGATACCTGGAAGTCGCATTATTTCAGGCGTCGAATTTCAGGGAAGTTTGGCTCAGGAGCCTACACGCGTACGCTGGCGCTCCACGGCACGTCCCCAGATCTCGTGCGAATCATTCTGATAGAGCAGCTCGGACCGAATGTCGAGCCGTGACCGCGCGTCGGACCGGAAAATGCGTGACTCCGATAGCGCCATCCCTTCGAAACCGAACGCTCCAGGGACGCGCACCCCGATACACTTGGAAGATCCGAGTCATATTCGGCGTGATTCCCCGGATTGTTTGTCCACCCGGTCGCTGTAGCTACCTGAGATCAATGCTCCGGGCTCCACACAAGAGAGGCAGCTCCAAAATGATATGAAGACCTCAATCAATTGTCGGCTCACCACAACGTGTGTGCTTCAACACGGAGGCCCTAAAGCTCGGAATGCCGTGGATCCCAACGAGCGCAGTCTCCGCCAGATGCGCGCTTTTGACGATACCCGATCCAAACTCGGATAAGAAGGTTCGGGAATCTCCTGTACTGGCGGCTAGAGATACCACGGTGCTCGACGGGCGGCATTCGAGCTGAGTATCCGCCGAACTTCCGGATAAAGCGTTTTTTTCCGAAATTGCTCTCCCTCTCACCGGCGCTAGGCTTCGGAACTGCAACTGTAAAAACAACATGGCGACGCGCTCTCTTGATAGACACCACAACCGACTGTAGGCATTCGATGACGCTCTCGAACGTTATTCGGATGCGGTAAAGAGCGAATCGGAACTTTGTGAGATGTTGTGAGGGCTAATCAGGCGCCTTCGTCCAGGAGGAGAGGAAACCACGGCCATGGTCCGAGGGTCGTAACACGGTAAGCGCATTCGTCGATTCCAATTCCGCCAATTCAGTCGATAGACTGCGCTTTCCGTATTAGGAAACGATGACGGAGGGGTGACTCGGAATGTGCTTCTACTTTCTCTGACTTCGCTGACTGCTCCAATTCTTATCTTGTTTTCGCTACTGATGGGACGAATACAGGGGTAATTGGAATAATCGAATGAGTCTTCGAACTGTAAAGATCCCCAACACCTCAAATTCCCGTCGCCAATAATTATTATGAATGACTGCTTTGATTGCCCCCGACCGCTCAGGGGGAGAATGAAAAACTCCTCTTGGAGATCCTCCGCGCTGCCAACTCGAGATGGAGCTCCCCGGGAAGTCTCGGAGAGGTGTGCGCTGGTCTGAAAGAGATGTTTTTTCCCAGTTAAAAAGTCTGCCGTGTGACGGTGAGATGATTATTTTCAGATGCGACGCTGTGTTCCATACCATCTATCTCTGAGAAGAGGACTCCTGTTGGCCCTTCTTGTGGGTATTGGAACTCTCGTGTACTTCGCCATAATCCTCGATGCCACCGGTACCATCCAAGAGTGAGTTCGATCCTTCAGATACATGCTATAGGTACTCTGGGACCGGGACATATCTCTTAGGGTTCCTGACGTGCCGAGTCCTCCGATGAAACTGGATGGGAAGGTTGAGTTGGCTCGTCATTTGAGAGACTTGGCAGCCCAGGCAGCATATTGCGGCTCAAGGAGGGAGCGGACTTCGAAGGGTAAACATTTCACCGTGATGCGACGAGCTCGGCTGCCTAGGAACGCTCGATTAGCCCAACGGATGAGCTCCCGATCATTGAGAAACGAACTCCATGTCGGAATATCCTTAGGTAGCCTCGAGTGCCGCCCGGATGGAAGCCTGAAACTTGTATGATTCTCGGAGCTCCTATGCCGATGGACGTCGGCTATCGTCGGGAAAGTCTTCCGAAAATTAATAATGCGAATCGCTGATTCCGCAGGTCCTGGGGACTCCAGAGGAGCACACCGCCTCAAGTCACATTTGAATGTCCATCGGACCCAGTTTTCCCTTTTAAACTCGGTAGGTCGCGCGTTGAAGTTCCGTCACGCATGTGGTCGGCTCGGCGGAGCCAGCTAATTCGAGCCAAAAGTGACCGATCCTGATCGAAGGTTCTGGTGTCTCGAGTTGACACGGACACCTGGTAGTCTTTCGCAATGCATAATCGTCATTCGATATAACTATCAATTATATCACGCGGACTTATCGAGCTAAAATTCGCACTCGAAACATGAATAGTAAATAAGGCATATGTCGCTTTCTTTGAGCTCTACGGGGTTCATTTGATCGCGCGAAACCAGAGTCCACTCGAAAACGGGAATATTTTGTCGAGGCCGACGAGCTGCTTCTCTTAAACATTTAGATTCAGATAGCAGAAGATCGTCCGAATTCTCCGGAGTTAGATGGAAGCTCGTTCGGGAAGAGACTCAGCTCATTGATGTTACTTTCTCCTGGGTCGCATAGGAGGATCCAGCTCTATCCTCTCCAACATTCACGGATCTTCGGCACAACTCCGCTTGGATGCTAGGGTGTTGGTGTTCGTGGAAACTCCCTACTCCAAACTCGGCAAACTAATAACTGAAACGCTCGAGGCAGCGCGCATCCGGTGAGTTTCCCAATATCCATCTGAGATTCCATCCGGAATCCTTGTCCTGAAGCGTATATCGCTCGTCCTCCCCGTCAGACCACTGCAATCCCTGAAGACCGCTTCGACATCGGAATTTATTTTGATTCCCACAGGTATCGAAGTGAGGTCTCGACGCGGACTCTGCCAACTTTGACCAATATCGACCGAGGTGAGTTCTCGCTCTCCATGATGTCATTCAGCGTGCCCGTGTCGGTGAGAAATCCTTGGCGAATCAAAGGAAATTGACCGAGGATCGATGAAGGCAATTTTTCGTCTTCGTTCGCAGGTCGTTTCGCCGTGATCGTTTTCGAAAATCTCGACCGCTACCTCTCATTGCACAAATGGAACCGGGAGCTGCTGGACAAATATGCCCGGGAATATTCTGTTGGAATAATCGGGTAAGCATAATTCTGTTCTCTCTCTCTTCAGAAGTTGTTCTGTCTTGAGGTTTTATCTGATCCCGCATCATCCTTCAGGTTTCTGAAACCGACGACGGATCCGCATCCCCGTCTGGTTACTTCCCTGTCTCTGAATCTGCAAGGGAACGTATCGTCAGTTTTCGATCCATTCCTCAACCCATTATCTCCTGTCCTCCGTATGTGTCGGGCTGGGGATCATCTGGGCGAATATCCAGGAGAATGGACTTTGATGTCAAGCAATCATTCAACCTATACTCCCGTAATGCAGGTGAGGGCAAATAAACGAGGGGAGACGAGAAGTCTCGATCGTTGATTCATTTACCCATCGGGGGATCCAATCAGCGAGTGAATACCACGTTCCGAGGATAATTCAGTGAATCCCTTATAGGTCAGGGCGCTCGGCAATGTGAACCCGATGGGTGCGGTTATGCAAGATGAAGGGCTTCGCGATGGAGTTCGCCGGATACTGTTCGGATCAGGGTTTTCATCCTTCTGGTTGTTGAAACTCATATTCCTCGACAGCATTTCTTATTTATCGCACGGTGAGTGCTATGTCCCCGACATGAGGACCTGCTTCAGGCCGTAGGCCTTCATTGGAGCCTGAAGAGCACGAAGGATCTGGACCTACCGCAATGCCAGCAGAAGGGGCGGCGAAAACGTGGGTCAGCTAATATCGAATCTCCGTTTCTTCAGGAAAACTCTCGCTTCCTCTGGAGAGGCATATATTGATTGATGTAGACGACATTTTTGTCTCAGAGAGAGGGACTCGTATGCGTCCGGCGGATGTTGAAGCCCTCAGAGCCGCTCAATCGAGACTACGTGAAATGGTTCCGGGTTTCCAATTCAATTTAGGGTTCTCCGGACGGCACTTCCATCGTGGTTATCCGATAGAGAATCGAGGCGAAGACCTTTTGTTGAGTAAGCATCAAGCTCTCTTACAATTATAATTGACGGAGTTGACTGAATGGGGAGTATTTTTCACTTGAGTTCCGATCGCATGATGTAACGTCGCGTTCTCGATTTCAGCGTACTCGAACGAGTTCTGGTGGTTCTGTCATATGTTCGGTCATACTCAAGCTCATCTTTATGAGAATGAAACGATTCTCGAGAACGAAATGCGTCTGAATCGAGAGTTCGCCCTTCAGAAGGGAATTCCCGCCAACCAACACTATTCGGTCGCTCCGCACCATTCGGGCGTTTATCCGATCCACGAGCCGCTCTATGACGCCTGGCAGAAAGTCTGGGACGTAAAAGTCACCTCGACCGAGGAGTATCCTCACCTGAGACCGCCACGGCTCCGCCGAGGCTTCGTTCATCGTGGAGTAATGGTTCTTCCAAGACAAACCTGTGGGCTTTACACCCACACGAATTTCTACGAGAAATACCCTGGCGGCAAGGAGAAACTGGAGAACAGCATTCATGGCGGCGAGCTGTTCTATCAATTCGTGTTCAATACAATCAACGTGTTCATGACACATTTTTCTAATTATGCCAACGACCGCCTCGCGCTGTACACCTTCGAGACGGCCATTCGGTTCGTCAAGTGTTGGACGAATCTGCACTTGTCAACCATTCCACCTCTTCAGCTAGGCGAGAAGTATTTTGCCATGTACCCGGACGAGGTGATGCCTCTCTGGGGGAACCCTTGTGATGACCCCCGGCACCAGGTGATTTGGAGTCGGAACAAGAGCTGTTCTCAGTTGCCAAACTTCCTGGTCATTGGACCCCAGAAGACGGGCACAACGGCTTTGTATTCTTTTCTGAAGGAGCACCCGGCAATCGAGTCGAATACGAATTCACCTCAGCATTTTGAAGAGGTGCAGTTCTTCAACAACGAAAAAAGTTACCTCAACGGCATCGATTGGTACCGTGGATTCTTCCCGCTGTCTAATGACTCTCAGGTACGCTGAACGAAATCCTTGCGCTGGATCGAACCTCCACTACGCTCGTCATCAGCCCCGACGAGAACTTCTCGCTGTCCTCCCCGATTCTATTTCTCTTCATTCCCAGGTCTTACTCTTCGAGAAGAGCGCTACTTACTTCGACAACGAAATGGCTCCGAAGAGAGTCCATGCTCTGCTGCCGAAGGCGAAACTGGTGGCGATCCTGACGAATCCTGCCAAAAGAGCCTACTCCTGGTATCAGGTAAGCTGGGCCCCATAGGTGATTGATCGCAACACCCGCTCATCACATATTTCACTCCTCAGAAGATTGAGGTTTCACTCCACATCTTGTATCAGCCGAGTTTTTGGAGCCATCCTGTCAGATCCCCGGGGAATGTTTTCCACGGATTTTGAGACATTCATGATTCTCCCTCCAGCACCAGAAAGCCCACGCAGATCCAACGGCGCTTCAATATTCTTTCCTCGAAGTTGTATTGGCGAATGAAACATCGCCGAAAGCTCTCCGAGATCTTCGCAGTAGATGCTTGCAGCCTGGCCTATACGCTGTGCATCTGCAGCGCTGGCTGAGCTTCTTCCCGAACAATCAGGTACGTTCAATTATAGTCTCGTCGAACCGAGGCTCCCCGATTTTCAACTCGAACGAAGATTTTTCCCATATCCGCGCGGAAACTCGAGAATCACTCCTCATGGAACTGGAGATCGAATGCTGAGCGGAATGTTATATTCCAGCTTTTCATCATCGACGGCGACGAACTTCGACACAAACCAGTGGAAGTTATGAACAAGTTGGAGCACTTTCTGCAGGTAAGTTCCCGTTCCGATATTTCTCTAAAGAGTAAGCGGCGGCGCACTCAATCCATCGACCTCGTTCTCTCCCTTCTTTCCCCTATTCCTATGGTGGATAGACACACGATGGTGAAGGTTTCGGATCACATATTGGAGTTTCAACATGGAATGGCCGGCGCCGGCATTGTCTGCCATGTTCAGCGCGATTACTTCATTCACACACCCTTATACCGATACATTCGTTTCGCTAAAAACGCGATCCTTGTCTCAGGTCACACCATACATGGACTACCAATACCACCTGGAATTCGATCCCCGGAAAGGATTTTTCTGCTCGAAAATCGATGGCAAACGCAAGTGTCTCGGATCCAGTAAAGGTCGCAAGTATCCTGAAATGTGTCCGCAGTGTGCGACCGCACTAAAAGAATTCTATCTTCATTACAATGTGCAACTGTCAAAACTCTTAGGCCAGTTGAAGATAGTAGCTCCGAATTGGCTGAGAGAGGAGCTTACCAAAGGCTGAGGAGGTTCCCGGCTCTGACCTCAATGTTGTTGTCTGTTGATTAGACTGAAAATGAGCGTTGTATGTGCAAAACTTAATGCGAAACGACTTAATTTGTGTAAATATAATATACATTGTACGAGACTCTGTGAGAAAATCATGAGTGATTTAGCCTTTGTGTAAATACGCGATGCGTGATACCGCAGTCTTTCCTCGGAGACGATCATTGTAGAAGAGAACTGGGGCGAGCGAGCAAGGATGAGATTCTGAACGACTGTAGTTTCACGGTCCGACAGTAAGCGTGAGGCATTCCTTGCGAGCTGACACTAAATGAGTTTGTGTCGAAGATCTACTCCCCCCACATGGTGGAATAACTTTACCGCGGTCTTTCAACTTTTCAACGCCGAAGTTCTCTCCCACCGGTGAGCTCCCTGCCGACGTCGGCAGCCAGAACGATTCTGAAGCATCGGAGCTCCATCCGGAGCGCAGATTCTTCGGGTCCTCGACTAGCTGTCGCTCATGCTCCACGACTCTCGGGTGCCGTTGAGATTGATTCAGGGTCGAGCTCGCCACTAGGTGCGCTCGGGAGCGAGACGTCTAAATCTGGACAATTATTATTGATGAATACCGACTGCGACTCAACTGTCCAAGTCATATCCGGTGATATCTGGCTATTTCTCCCGAGTTTGCCGAGGCTGTTTACATTGTAGTTTTTCATCGATCAATCAATCAATCTATGAATCAATCAATCAGTCGATTGACGAACTTGTTTACCGGACGATGCTGTCATTTTCCTCGTTTGGTCAAAGATCATCCGAATGAATTTCTCGAGAGAGATCTAATAAAAGCGTGAAAGCCTCTCAGCATAAATTGTGTGATTCCTCTTCGGCATGCTGAAAAGTGTCGTCTCGCTGTGGAATTTTCTCATCTCCGAACAGGAATCTGTGACCCGTTCATTACAGGCTTGGAATATTCTTGACGTGAGGACGTCCAGCGAACAAGAAATCCCGCTTTCACTTATAAATGGCGGGGAATAAGGGATGGCGTGTTGCCGTGGGCAATGTGTGACCCAAAGCTTCAGACCAGAACCTGTAGCCGGCGACGGAACGGAGGGAGAAGCGACCGAAGATCGAACACGTGGATGGAGCGATCCACCGACCGGGGGACGAGTGCCATCTACAGATTTATTCGACCAACTGCAGCGGGTCCAGAGGTGGCTCCAGCGCCGATGACTCTAGTGGCAATCCAGTGGTATGCGCCGCGGCTCGTGTCCCCAATTGGAAGTATGTCGTGCCAAGCAGCGCGCAACAAGCAGTGTATCGTCGCAGACCGTTATCTTCCCAGAAACGCTTCGCAGAAGACGACAACGGCGCAGACGGCGAAGAAGAAGCTGTAAGAAAGCGCCACGAATTATGCCATACAAACAGCTGCGAGCGGAATTACGTCACTAAAGTTCATTCAAACGACGAATGCTGCCGCGATATTTTTCTGGCGACTTCCATCGAGAGGAACTGTCACACTCTGCTCCGATATTTGTCTCGAGCGTGTGATTTCTCGGGAGAGTACAGGAGAAGGCTGAAGAGCAACTTTTCAGCATCGCTGTTCGATCGCCTCTGGGTGATCGATTCCGCGATGTGAAAGATCGCTTGTTCCCTCATGTCACACAGAGTTTGTCCCTAGGGCCGGTCCCATCCCTTCGACGAGGTGACTTTTCAATGATCTGTAATGCTACTAGAATGCCCCATATATCGTGAGTCCGCGAGCAAACTGATGCGAACCCGCACTCCTCCCAGGAAATCAATCCTTCTGCCCGATGGACGACGGAATCGATCCTAGCCGGGAAAATGCTTGACTGGGTCCATGGGATTGGGAAAGTTCCCCGCAGGGAATGGGTCGATCCAAGGACACAATTAGCTCGCGAAGAATCCGTGTTTCCGGCTCCATCGGAGCAACTTCCAATTCTGGCGATAAATCCCGTGTCGTCTCATCGGTATACAGAGTGTGTTCCTATTGCATGGATGATTCCCTCCCTTCATATTCATCGCGTAGCTTTCGGGAGGAATGCAGCGGGGCAGCTGAAGATGAGAATCTTCGGAAGTCGACAACTTGGTGGCTCGGCGGTGGGCGTGATTGACTTCCGACCACTACGCTTCGGGACTAGCTTGGATCTAGGGCCTTATTCGGACTATGTTCTTGTATGCACTAGCCCGGGCCGAGAAAGCTCATGGGTTGGATGTTTGAGAGATTCCCTGGAAGCGTCAGTTCACCAAAAAGTAAGGCGCGATAGCGAGACGGAACGATCTGCTGTAAAATTGAACGAATTGATCCCGGCAGGAAATTGGAGACGGGTTCTATCTGTGTGATTCCTCTTTTTCTCCCAGAAATCTGTCGGGCAGTCGTCGATATGGGGTCTCTCGAGAGATTGGCAAGGAAAAATCCAACGTGATTCGTGAAAAAGTTCCCTTCACTGGTTTCGGCTATCGTCCTCAATGGATTCGGACTTAGGAGGTAAGATCCAGTGAAGCGCAACACAGTGAGAGGGAACTTGGCTATTCATCTTCATTTATCTCACATCAGAAATTCCGTGAGGCGCAGGAATCTCCGCAGAGTTTATGGATTTAATCAAGATTCAGATTCTCATTCCATCCAATTATGGGTAGCAGAAGATCCAACCTGATCCAACCCCATTCACTCCCGATGAGTGGCGTACACTCCAATCCACCTGATTTTGAGCATAGAGCAACCCAGATATTTTGCCGTTGACGTCTGGCGACAGCTCCGCTTCCCCTCCGGTAGATGCTATAGATGTGTACCACTGGGTCACCCAGACCGCTTTTGGTGCCTGTTGACTGTGTTGCATTTCTACAAGCGAACACGAGTGGACGTGTATGTCTCTGAAGACGTTTGTTTCGAGAAAGAGAAGATTCGCCTTCTAATTTGAAGCATTCTCCGCTCCGCGCTCGTGGAACAAATACCACTGGGTGTCACCTTCTGTAGCGATCCCACGGCTTCTTCAGTCCCATCTGCGTCGCGTTTCAAAGATGCTCTAAAGTGCTGTTCGGATCGAAGGACGTAATCGAGTATCGCTTAATAATTTTCTTGACAGAGCCGTCCGCCACCTTCGAACAATACATGGTCTCCGAGTTGGAGCGGAACAATTGCCGGGGGCGCCCCCTTCTCCGCAAATTCTCAGAGCTGTTCTCTTGTCGTTCGGTGTTTGCTCCGACTCGCTCTTCATCCGAATCCAGAGACGGTTGATTAATCGAAACCAGAGGCGGACCGTAACATTAAATTTTGTAAGCATTACGTTGAAAGTCGGTCAATTCCCGCAGGCGATTCGCCTTCCTAGAAGCGCCGTCTCGGATTTCGCTCTCGGAATATCCATTATGTGCGGGAGCGCAGGACGTCACATCGCCAAACGGGATAGGACCGAATCGCGGCAGGTCTCGACATGGTGAGGGGACTCGATCGAAAATGCTTTGCCTCGAAACTCGAGCTTCCATCTGGCTGTGGATTCCAATCAGTGGCCGAACCCACCATGGTCTCTGTCGGGGAACTCGTTGAATTAATTGCTATGCTCGCTTCTCTGTGCGTTTTCTCAGCCGGACTTCGCTCAACCGAAGCTCGTAGATATTCTTTACATAAGGATCTTTACATAAGAATGAAATGTCTATGGAATGACTGTTTGAAGAGCAGGAATACCTTAGAGCCAATAAAATTCCGTCTAGAGCTCTTGGCGCGGAGTGCTGGATCGGGCTGTGTGGAGCGAACAATGGATTACGCAATTCTTCTGTGAAGCTCTTCTGAATTTTAACTCGCGCCCTTTCTACTTGTGGAATTTTTGTAGGAAAAGGGAGCCGTCTGGACTCCGGACCGGTCAGCCGGTCATCGAATCAGAGGGTGAAGGGTCCGAATCAACGCTGCCATCAACTCGATCTCATGCTTGAATGCGGCACCGTCTTCGGGTGGACTTTGGCGCACACGAATATTTCTGACCGCGGTGTGAACCGGGCCTCGTAGACTCCCACAAATACTCGCCTAGTCTGAACGCCGATATTTGCGAACGAAAGAAGGGACTGAGCTATCTCCCTCATTCCCGGAGTGAGATCAGACTTTAACTCGTCAGCTGGTCCCAGTTTCGGTCCGTTATCGTCGAATTAACTATACGAAAGATGACCGTTCCCATGCACGATATCGCCGCTCGATGCGACCTATGAAGACGCGCGAATTCCTTGGAAAATTCCGTCATCGATTATCCTGGAAGATTCTACCGTAGATATGGAATCGGGTGCCTCGCCCCGCCCCGAGTGGTGAGCCAGAGCCGCTGCTCGATCAGAGATCAGCCTTTCAGACCGCACATTTCTTGCCATTACTCTCCCTTCTGCGAAATTTCTCCTTCCTTTCTTTTTTCGTCCTTTCCAAACATGCATCTATACATTCGTCCATCAGTCAGTCAGTCAGCCAGCCAGCCAGTCATTCGCTTCGACTGTCTGTCGGTCCGTCCTCTTGTTCGTTTGTCGGTCGTCATCGTTTTCCCCTTATAGGCTTCTCGAAACGACGGCGCGGCGTCGCATCCCCCTCTCCGAAAAAAGTATCTGGGCCGATCCTCTCGCGGCTCTGGGGCGTTCGCGCGTATTTAGCTGGGCTCCGATTACCTTGACACTCAGTCAGTCGCTGGCAAGCCGTGTCTGTGCGTGAAACTTGGAGTTTTGAACCTTTGGACTACTTCGCCATGAGATCGTTTGTACTTCTCGGTGTCCTCCTGGTCGCCTCTGTGGCCGTTGCCCAGAACCACCAGGTCGTTTACGATCCTAACCTCTACCAAGCGGCTACCGTTAATCGTCAGGGTTTAGGTGTGTACGATGTAGTTTTCCTTGGGTCTCTTTCATTCGACTATAGTAGCGTTTATGCAGAGGATGTCATATATCCAGAGCCATTAGTCCCAGGGGAGATACTTGGGTGGGCTCCACGTCTTCCCGGCACCCGCAGAGACGATTTTTCCTGTATCTTGTCCCATCGGATAATCGCGTCTCATGGAATCGCTGAGGACAGCGGCAAATCTTGAGCATCTTTCCGCGAAATCACTCCTCGTAAGCTCCTGAAACCATCAGGAAAATCTCAACCCGCGTAAGGATGGCATTGTCCGAACGGAAGGCGGGAAAGTTTTCTGTGGACGACAAAGCGCGAGGAAAGCGAGAGCTTCGATGATTTCTCCGATTCCCCTGACCCATATCTTCAGATTAGATCCGTGCGCGGTCTCGCATTCTCGGTCATCTGCGGCACTTTTGGAACAAGGAGCTAATCCGTCGAATGCGTGAATCCGAACCCGAAAGTCCGTCACTCGGTGGTCTGTCTGTCTGTCCTCCATAGCACCATCTGCGGTCGCCGGATGCCCCACAGTCGGGCCCACTCGAGAATATCTGGGTTGAGCGGGATCGCCTCCTCGAGGAACTGGGTCAAGTTGGGTTCAATGACCCGCGTTTTGACGTTTAGTTTTCTGCGACTTGGCGGGGTGGCCACGAGCATCGCGTCTAAAACGCCTTTCGCTCACCGTCGTCGTCGCATTGATTCGTAGATCAACGACTCGTCTGTACCGCTAGACATTCCTTATGGGTCAAATACCTCTTTTTTCGCCGTGCTCCTCCGTCGGCCGCATCCCGAGCTATTTTTTCATGTCCATGGAGATAATGATCATCATCATCTAGTTTCGACGGCTCTGATCGAGGAGGACGCTGGTCACCCAAGATTACCAAAACATTACTTCTGTCGGTTCAGAATTTCATTCCACCGTTTGCGGATATTCGAAATATATTATCGGAAACCGGTCGGAGGAAAAAAGGAAACATCCCCAATTTTGTACAAACACCACCTATTGGGACGAGACGCGAGGCAATACGAGAACAGAGAGTATGCGCTCGCCGAACCAACTTCCAGAAGAAATTTCGGTGAATCATAATTCTCAAAATTCCTTTGTTTTCTCTTCCGCAGCTTCCGGTGGATTCCTGTCGATGTTCAGCAATGGCGCTTCGGGACTCATGAGCACGATAGCCGCTGGTCTACCCAACATGCTCACTAACGCTCTGCCCGCGCTCGCGGTTCTCGGCCTCGGAGGATTGTTGCTTCCTCTTCTCGGGGTGTCTCTGTTCCTCAGGGAAGGACAGAAGAGAACTTTCTCGCTCCCCACAGTCAACCCAGCTCTCTTGGAGGGGATCGCTGATGTTTTGGAACGTGTCTCGAAGGCCATTGAGCAGGGCGAGAAGAAATACGGAGCGAAGAACTGAACCACAAGCCCTAGCTTGAGCAGCTGATCGAGAGCCATTGCCATAGTAGATGCCATCAAGTACATTCAGCAAGTTCATCTTCACGAACTTCCACCATCATAAACGCTCCACCCATCAATTCACAATCAGCGTCCTTCTCCTCTGTGATACATCTTCCTGCCCTGAAAGTTTCTTATTGAACTCTCGCCCGCCACCTCTTCCCACCGAATTCCATCGCCCCTTCATGCCATCGCCTATTTCCTGAGCTTCGAGTTTCCGCCAGGTTCGGAGCTAAAATCTGTCTCTCGGCTGAGCGAGTCCTTCCCGCGTTCCTTTCCGCAACCTCGAAGTGATTCTCCACCACTATCACCTACACTCCATTCATTCCGATCGATCGAGAATCATCATCTATTTATTGACGACTTCTGCGCTCAATTCGTCATGTTTATTTAATAAATGTAGTTACCGAATGTAAAATAAAGAGATTGGAATGATTCTTTCAATGAGACCTTCCGTAGATTCGGGCGGTTTCCATCGTACAAAAATGCGCTCCGGCTCGAGGGAGAGGAGCCGATGTGACTGTCGGCGATCCATTATCCTTGTGTACCTATGGGGTAGCTCGGCTCGACTTTTTTCCCAGGACTCCGCGCCCGAATGAGGTATTTCTCAAATTATCGACGTCTTAAGATCATGCAGAACTTTTCGTTACTTACGCTAGATTTTGGGAATGATGTGACTTTTACACATTGCGTTCAACGTCGTTTCGACGTCCGAATAATAACAAGTTGACATCCATCCCTGTCAAAACTCAACAACCAACAACATTTGGGACGACAAGTCGCTTTAGAATCGACGAATCTCTTCCCTTCACGGAGAATATCGATGCCCCGTCCTTAGAGGTTCGGTCCTCCGAACGTCGTCGAATGCGATGGTGAAAACGCTTTTCTTCTTGAAGTGAGGATTCCTCAGAGTCATGATGGGTCCTCCTCCGATCCCGGAGTCGGAATCGTCTTCGGAGATTTCGGTTCGCTGACGACCGACATCGAAGTTCCTGCTGAAACGGAAGCCTCGAGTGGACTCGGAGGCCGCATCTGAGGTGACGGTCATCTTATCCAGGTCTTCAATGTGATTTTGACGGTCATCGTTGTTCCTCTCGATGTTTCCGGTCGCTCTTGTCGAATTCACCTTCCGCTGCCCCGCGGGTTTCAGCGGGGTCGAAGTCATCGGAGCGCTATTAGCTACCCGGAGCTTGGCATTCACACCTGGAGGGTTCGACGGAATCAAACGCCATTGCAGATGCGATATGTCGCGAAGTCTCGAACCAGCTCTGATTCGCGATTCCACGAGCAGGTATCTTCTCGGAATTCACACAGACCATCGTCGTATACTCACTGTTCAATTGTGTGGTCTGCTGCTCTTGGCTGTCTTCGAAACTAACGGATTTGGGGTCGTTTTCACTGGTACCACTTTGTGCTGATTTTTGATTCCTCACGACGGTCGTGGCTCTCGAACTCTCTTTCCTCCGATCCGCTTCAGTCGCAGCATTTTTTTGATTGATGCGCTGATTCAGCTCCTCGTCGAAATCATCGTTGGCTGAGCAAGGAGATTCGATCCGAGTTAGCCTCTCGCAGTAACACCCGTTCGAAGGGGATGGGTGGTCGAGAGAAGACGCTCACGATAGTAATTCACCGACTTCCCGAAGGTTCGAGTTCGAGCTTATGCACATTAAAATAATTTGCTCTCTCGAGATAGCGGGGCTTCCGTCACACGATACATACCTGGAATGGAGGCATCGAACGAGTCAAGAGACCCAGTCTCTCGCTTGGGAATCGGAGGAGGCGTTTTGATATACAGAATTTCGGTTTTCTTCGGTGCCATGCGGCGCTCCTGGTAGGAGTCGTCGTCCGCGCTATTCCGTCTCTCGTCGGCAGGTTTCACCCTGCGCTGCCTGGCAGGATCCCGTCGAACATTTAGGAATCGAACGTAGAAATGATCGTTGTGCAGAACTTGAGGCTCTAGAATTCGATATCGCATCCTTGGCGACACCTACCTCCTTCTAGGGACGAAATTGCTGCTGAAAGTGGAGGCCAGATCACTGAGAGAGTCCTCACGATCCCTGTATCGTCCGTCGGGCAAAAGTTTCTTGATGAGCACATACGATCCGAGTTTACGAACGTCCTGTTCGGCCCGGGATTTCTTCTGACCTCGTTGTCGTCTCAGCTCTCTGCTCGATGGGAACATGATTTATTTTATGATACATCGATCTCTGGATCAAATCGTGCAAATTGTTTTCCCATATCTCGGGATCGAAGCGACGAGTTTTCCTAATAGCGACTCAGCGTCATATCATGGTCTCTCCGCGGAAAAGCAGGGTGGACAGCGCCGGAATCTTGGCCGTGTCATCAAACGACGTTACGCCTCCTTATTGGGTCTCAGAGCCCAACTTCAGCCCGAATGGCATCATGAGGAATGGCATCTCTCCGGGTTACTGCTCAAGAATGAACTTATTACGAAGTCTTGCTGTGTATATTGGATTCGACCGAGACACGAAAAACGAGTTGAATTCCCGTCGGAGGACTTTGCAAAAAAATTCCTGCCGGGACGACGCAGAGCCGTAAACCTTAGAGCTCCATATTCTGCGTTCTACATGATATGCAGATTCAGAGGCTGAGGGAGGTAGGTGGTTCGAACTTGACAGGAGGCTATTCCTCACAAAATTGAGAGCGGTCTCCATGGTTCCCGCTCTCTTCGATCGCTCGTCGAAGTAGGTAGGTACTCGTCTGAAGGTCATGACCGACCTCGTATTCAATGGCGACCCCGGCCTCATCAACATATGTCCTTCATTAGCCTTTGCACATATTGGGGCAGATGATGGCTCACTTGAGAATGTAGCGATGCCTATTCATGGCATCAGCATCTTCGTCTCCTTCGTCGTCTCCCGATTCTTCGTACAGCGGTATCTCACGGACCTCATTCCGTGTTTGACGGTTCAAGGTGGACCTTCGGAACGTTTAAACCATGAATATTTTGAAGCGAAGCGAGAGACATTTATGCGCCCGACGAATAACGGCCGATCTATTATTATACGGATTCAGCGTTCTGCATCATTTCGGCGACGCGCTTTCTCTTTCGATAAAGATTGAAGAGACCCACCGATACGATCTGTCCATTGTATTGTTGAGATTACTTCTCCTATCGGGATCCGGATCTATGAGGATCGAAGTGTCTTTCGCCTGATCCCTGACATGGGGAAAACGGGATGCGTAATAGTTTTTCTCCTCGGGAGACGGACGAGTAAAACTTCCATGTACGTTCGTCGGTTGGTTGGAAAAGTGGTTTACCTTTGGAGAGAGTTCGTGTTGTAAGCTAGTACGTCCCCGTACGGGTGCTGGGGCGGTCCGACGAGCTCCTGGCGCTCCTTCACCACGGAACTTCTGAAAAAGTTTCTCCAACAACAACACAGGAGACACGCCAGTAGAACAAGGAACGTCATCAGAAAACACACAAGGAGGATCCAAACAATCCGCTCGTCGACGCCGACTCTCATGATGACAGGCTGCAAGGGACGACGTTACCTTCGAACGCTACACTATCTGTTCCTCTCGATGATCTTCCCTCGAGCCGAGAATGAAAGCTCGATTTGATGATTCCAAATTGTTCGGAGCTCGAAGAAAAATTAGAGAATACATTATGGACCCGAGTTTGGCTCATACCTCCTCTTTTTTCTCTCTCCCGTCGAAACTGTCCTGTTGGCTAATGGCCCCGTTGTTTTCTCGAGCTGGATCCTTCGGGGGTTTTGTGGACGTGCTCTCGGGAATCGCTTCCGTCTCTCTCTTAGTGGTTGTCGTGGTGGTGGTGGTCGTCGTCGACGTCGATGATGTCACCTGTCTCTCCGGCTCTTTGGAAGATTCTCTGTCTTCTGCTTGTGTAGCTGGGTCGGGTCTTCTAGGCGGCAGGGTCCCAGTCGGATCTCGTCCGGCAGCCCCGTGGCCACCGCTCCCGGTCGAGCCTTCGGTTTTCCCGCTGAGGGTGTCCTCGCTGAGAATTTTGAAAAACCACAGAGCCTCATTCAAATCAATCCGGCGATGATCGTAGGTTGCTTGCGCGTCGACAACAGATCTGTAATAATTAAGACACCCGTCGATCGAATTGAACTTGGAGAGCGGCCGAGCCTGTGGGGATGGAATCGCTTTTCCTTCAACTCACGAGTTCGGAGTGCTGTCGTTGTATATTCCGACGTTCTGTATAGTCACTTGAGCACCGAACAGATCCGAAAGACCTCTCTCATACTTGCTCTTCTGAGATTGGACTTCAAACGAAGACCGAGGCACTACCACCGAGACCCCTCTGCTCAAATAGTCCTGGGGAAAACAGATTTCTAAGAAAAATGCTACACGAACTATTGGAAAGCACTCCTCCAAGCGCTCTTGTCGCAAACATGTCCGACGCAACTCTGCCGCGCGGCGCACCGGCAACGGTGGCCACGACGGTTGATTTCATCCTGAGGGATGGCCTTTTGCAGAACGGCCAGGTCTACTTATGAAGCAGTAGACTGCACTGTGATCACAGGGATTTATGACCATTAATAATTATGCACATAGACACTAGCGAATTAAGGACGCTGCCGAGCATGCCGAGACGACACAGGCGTTCCTTCGGCTGTGGGCGCGCGGGCGGACAGGCGACCCGTCGGGTTGGTTAGCGGACCCGCAAGGTTGCCCTAGATTGAACGATGCCCCGCAGCACACCTAGACGTACGATGCCAACTAAACGTCTATAACGCAGACTTTGTAGCCTCGATTTCCGGGAGCGTCGCGTGACCCAGGCCACTCGGTCGACTCAGAAGATGGCATCGGCTGTCTCCCCCTTGAATTTCGGGGCTATCTCTATATGAGTTCTTTTATTCCGCCGGCCGGATTTCCACAGCGCTGGAGTACCGGAGTTTCGCGACTCGGTCCCTCCGAGATGGCGCGCGTGTAGAATCGCGATGGTCCGGAGAACAAATTTTTGAAAGAAATCGTGGAAAAAGATTCCGCGAGAGCCCCTGGTTCAACGAGACGCAGGGGGACTGAGCTGGGAAGCGGGGCCACGTCGGCTATAAACTCGGGATGGGAGTGAAACTAAAAATTCGCAGGTTTGCTCTTAGGATTAGCATTCCTGGCCTGGAGCGCGGCAGCTGAACGGCAGCTATCTTTGCTCCTAAGTCTTCGTAGCAAAAATTAAGGCCTGCCTTTGCCGTTTCTCTCGTTTGAACACCGGACTTGGGCGCCGCAGCCGCCGCGGCAGCTGTGAGCGCGTCTTATCACTGAATATATCCAGGCGGCGCGGCGTACCGGAGAGCACCGCACATGCTCATTTTTCCTTCTTTCATTCCGTCCTTTCTCCTGTACCGAGACTTGCTGCTCCGCGTGCCCCTCTATTTGACTTTTTTTGTCTGACTGAGCGAGGTAGCGCTGGCTCTGAGCAACACTGTCGCGGACGGCTACGTAGGACCAACGGCTGCCTTCGTTCCGAATATGATACCAAAACAGCGAGTCTTCTCAAGAAGAGCTCGTGGTATACCTATGTATATCTCGGAGCGCACTACTGCCCAACTACCTCTCGAGGGAACAGAACACTTTCCCGCCAGACACCGATTGGATTTGCGTACCTGGCTATGGATGTAGACAGGAACCGTCGAACTCTGTATGGGTATTCCGGAATCATGAGCGCGGATCGTCATCTTCAGAGTTTTGGAAATCGGCGAGAGAGCGTCCTGCGAAAGAATAATCGATAGTCGAAGTAGCAACAAGAAAGCTCATGGTGCTCGGAGAATATCCTCGATGAATTGAGGAGCTCAAAAATCCAATGATCCAATGATGGTAATTCAAGCATCAATCTCCCCCCTCCCCTCCTCTCCACCCAACTCCTCGGCGGGAGACTTCGTGTCTGCGTCGGAGAATGATGTGTAGACATTGATGATCTTCCACCGTCCTCACCTTCAAGATCAGGAATCCTTGATGACTATCGAGCGAAAACTTGTCTTCGAAATTCCCCGCGATGATTTCGTAGGTGACGTTGCTATTAGGCCCCGGTGCGTCCGCGTCAATCGCCTACGGAACGAGTAAACGTCGACCCGGACGGCATCTTAGCATTTTCCCAGCGTAGGTTTGTATCGAAGCCTTGGGTTTCGAATTCAGGAGGTCGAGGCGATTATTCGCGACTCACCTTGACTATCAAGGGCTGTGTGAAATTCGATCGATCGGAATTGAGCACTGCGTCGTAGCGAGGTTGGAGAAATACTGGCGCATTGTCGTTGGCATCTTCTATGATAATTCTCAGTTGTGCGAGGGCCTGGGAAGCGACAGCTTGTAAGCATCCTAGGATTTTGTAGATTTGTCGTCTCTTCACGAAGAGACCGACTCCTCTCATGCGAAAGAAATTTCTGCGTCGAAGTGAGCGTAGCGAACCTTATGACCGTTGCCGTCTTCGTCACGCGCGTCCACTGCCAACAGATACTCAGGAACTTTTTCCCTATCGATTCCTCGAGTGCTCACAAGAGTAATTCTGCCTGAGTAGGGATCCAAGGAGAAGCTGGAGAACGCCGAGACTCCTTAATATGTTACAAACTTCAATTAGGCTGTCCGCCGCGTTCTCAATGTGTCATTCCAACTTACCTGCTGGCCATCGGTCCCAGCAGCGCCATGTAGCGGACTTTCCCGTATAGGCCGCTGTCCTCGTCAGTCGCCTGGAAAAATCAGCGGAATTTCATCCTCCTTCTTCTAGTTCTTTCATTTTCTACGGGCCTGGGCTCATCGTCGACTGCTCGCCGCGACAAAGGAGTCGAAACGCCGAATTAAATCGCCCCTATCTGTGGTGTCAGGAACTTCTCGACCGCACCACGAGAGTTCGGATCTGACGTACAAACTCCTCGTTGTGTGAGCGCCGATCCGCTAAGCAACCCGCCGATACTCTGCTTTGGAGGGACTCAGACACGTTGAGTTTGCCATTCGCTTGAGCGCGGACTTCGGCGCAGAAACTTCGACTGTGCCTGCGAATGACAGTCGCGCGGTGCGTCGTCGGTTCAAATTGATGAACTATTACTATCTATGCTAATCGGAGCCGCCAGCAGCCTCGCGAGCTCCGGACGCATTTCGTCGACGACGCCGTCCGATTCGCATTCAATGGGAGGAATATAATATACAAAAAAACAAGGCGCGAATTCCAGTCTGAACGCAATACCGTTATGAGGGGAGGGGAACAACATCTCCTCTGTCTCGGAGCGAGTCGCGTACTCGGATCGAGATCAAGTGTCCGATGACGACACTATTGCGCGAAAAGGTCGGAAAAATCATTGGTCGCGAGCTGCCGAAAGAAGCAGCAGCACTTGAATGCTTGCCGACTTGGATCCGCTGTCCGTCAAACTCCGAGGAGAACCTTGAGTGGCCTCGGCGTATCGAACGCATTTTATCGCTCCGGCAGCCGCGGCCGCGAGTGATCGACCCTCTGACTTGGTGGTTCATGAGTCACGATAGAATCTCGGGACTTTTGAATTGAGGCTTCAGCGCTCGAGATTTCGGATAAGTTCTCGGAACGTTCCCAGATCGCCAGTCGCTATAACGTTAAAATTTCATTCATATCCACTTATTATTGTGGCTTACATTGACAGTGATGACGTGCGAGCCTGGCAGGGCGTCCTCTCTCACATAGGCGATGTACGTCTCTTGGGTGAATTGAGGAAAGTGATCGTTAACGTCGAGCAGCTCGACGATCACCTCGATCCACGCGCTCAGTGGTGTAGCCGCCTCGGTTTCTGTGGCGAGTATCTGTAACGCAATCGAATGAATAACACGGAACTCCGCCGCGATATTCCCAACCGGCTGGCGAGCGAAGGTGTTCCTTCGAGCATTGCATTGTTCGTACTGGGGGAGCCGGGGAGCGCTGTGATGGAATAGTCGGCGCCTCAACGGGTGAATTATGGACGAGAAAGGAACAAAACGAACAAATAACTTCGCGCTTCGGCCAGATCCCTATAACTCGGTCCCTATTCGATTCCGCTTGCACGAGCGGTCTCGCTTTCTCGTAGGTTGTGGAGGGCATGCTCGTCTCGCGTCCGAATCGATTCCATGCAACTTGCTTACGTTTTCACGAGCAAGAAAGAATCATTCGACGTTTATTGTCGCCGAGCCATTCTCTCCTTCCGTCTGTTTGCCCGAACTGTTTTTCTCTGAGGGCTCGAGTCTGTTCCCAAAGCTCCGCCATCATGGCGGATCGACATTCGACGCCGCCCCTTTACGGAAACGCTCAATGAGTGGCCCGGAGGGGTCGTCGGTGCATCTGGACTGTGGAATTGATTGAGCAGAGTAGGTACCTTCATCGTGAGATGGGGATCCTTATGCGGATCGAAACGCAGTTTTGAGGCATCCTTGACGACTAGAGCAAACTCCGTCTCCCGAATGACATGCCGAGGAACCACTTCAAAGGCCTCCAGCGCATCGTCCTCCAAATCTAATTTGAATGTTGAATTGATTCCCTAGACGGGACGGTTGTTGTTTTTAGACGGCAAACGACGATCGGGTCGATGTCGGCGACGACGGAAAAAACTCGACAGAGTTCTGAATACAGTGACGAATGATGCTCGTTGAATACTCACGCTGTCTCGGTCGGAGACTTTGTTCGAGTAGCCTGGATTCCATTTTACGGCACTGTTCGTAGGACTCAGTTCCGCGATCTAGACGAAGCCGGACAACAATGGGGGAAGTTATCGACTCTGCGACTTATTGACGAAGTCCGCGATGGACAGATATCGATTTTCTCGTAGAAGCACTCACTTGGCCTAAAATTCTTGGACCCGCCATGAATTCGGGTGGTCGGTCCTCTTCGGACACGATGGCTATGCCGAATTCCGCGCTCGATTCCAGCGCCGGGTACTCGGATGTGCTTTCGATTTCCCTGACCTGCACGAATGGTTCGCATCGGTATCGGGTTCCCCTCGACTAGGGGAGACTAATTTTCTCCTGTGCCAGGGGATTCTCGGGAATATTTCTCCGCCAATATCTAGCTGCGGGATCCCGGTGGCTAGAACAGCCGAATCGAATCGAGACAACGAGAATATTCATATTCCGTGCCGTCGGCGATGGACTCACGGTGACATTGAGGATCGCCACAGGGGTTCCGCAGGATCTCTCGACAAGTTCCCTGGCGTCGCGTAGCGTAACGACTTCGCCGGTATGAGGATCGATGCGGAAAAAGGTCATCCAGTCGTTGTGCGGGTCCGCGATGAACGAAAGATTCCGAGGAGCACCGAAATCTCCATCGACAGCGAGCAGACGATGAATGACGGTGTTCTGCAGCCAGCGATGCCCTCGATCGATCAATTCATTCGTTTGCAAACAGATACATCGCATGCTAATGAAATCGAGCGTCAGACTGACCGCGAGCGTGTTAGCGTTCACCGGGATGAGAGGGGGGATCCCAATGAAATACGGGCTGGTATCAGGCACGTCTTCGACGACAATACACAGCGCGAGGATCACAATATTCCTAGTGTCGACTTCTTGATCCGTGAACGTGTTCTGAAATGATCGAAATTTCGATGAGCGCTTTCTGATGCGAAACATTCCGTCCGAGTGGCGGCTTGACTTTCGTGGCTCTTGTCGAAAAATTATTCGCTTGAATTTTCCCACTCTAGACCGTTCGAAGGAGTCATCGAGTGCGTGCGCTCGAAACACTCGACTGAAACAATTGTCGGACGACCGCGTACGGAGGAGAGTGAGAAAGCGAGTGAGAACTGAAGTTTGATGCCTCTGCGCCGACCTTGCCGGAGCGAAGAGGCGGATGCACAGGCGCTTAGCTCGGGCCGCGCAAGCACAGATGCAAAGTAATTCCCATACACTCACTAGAGCTGCCACATGAATGTAGTACACGTTCTTCCGCTCGTAGTCCAGTGCTTCCTTGAGCTGAAGAGCACCGGCACTCACTCCCCGCGGGCCGAATATGTATTTCATCCAGAACTTTGAAGAGCCCTGGAAGAGTCCACCACCGTCAGCTGGAGATATCTCGCACCAACTCTCTCTCCGTTCTCTCATCTTGGAATCTGAATCTTCAGGGAGTAGTGGCCTGTCTTATGTGGTTGAGAATTGAGAACTCTAAGTGAAAATATAATCGACGAATGGCGGAATACCGGAAAACGGTACTCACTCGAACTTCGAAAACGACCGGCAAATAACTGCTTGGATTATCGCGTGCTCGGATGTATCCGACCGTTGTGTTTAAAGAAGTATTCTGTAAAAAGAATCAGGACGATTATTCCTCTCCCGGCCGCGAACCCTGACCCCGACCTCGGAGCTTCCCCTAATCATCCTCCCTCAGTCGGCTTTGGTCCCATGCAACACGACCTGGTTGGTTCGCAGCGCAACTTGCCGCGTAACGAACGTACTCCTTTCGCGAGCCGGAGTCGCGTGGAGCCCTCGGGAGTGGGAAACTTTTAGTCCATTGGGAAAGCCGACGGTGAGCGTTTGTTTGCTGCTATTTTTGGGGCCTCGAGGTACTCTAGAAAAATTTCCAGCCATAGGAGAATTTTTATCTTCCATACGCACTCGTTCGCCTCTTCCCCACCGTCCAGGCGAGCGAGCGAACGTCTCTCGGTCGTTCCGTCAGTCCTGCCGCTCGTTCGAAGTGTTGCTCGATATCCAAGATTAATGTCCTAGAGGAACATCTTCAGTCATGGCCCATTTGCCGCTCGGAGAGTGCGGAGCCCTCTTGAAGCCAGCCAGTCCGGCAACCCTCTGCCACGCAGCCAGTCAGTCAAGCTCGCGAGGGAGAGCGCGAATCTGGCGGTCGGGCCGGCGGGCAGGCAGGCTGTAGCACAAGGCACCCAACTTTTGATGTACATACGCCTCCTCTAGACCCATTAGCTCCGTCCTTCTCTCCTCCAGTCTTAACTCTTTACTTCTTTTCTCTTTTGACACAACAAGCGACCCAAGGATGAAGCCTAAAGACGAAGTCAGCTACGAAAATCAAGCGCCCATCAACAAGCAGAGTATTAAAACGATGCCTGAACCCCGAGCTGTCTGGCGTCTCGCACCAGGCCGCGGAGCTTCTCTGTTTTATGTCCTCTTGCGACTGAGGACGTCGTGGAGGGACATCTACAGAAACAGAGTTAATACTCGAGTGTCGGTGAGCCGGTGGATTGGAAGTGAGCGAGAACACTGGAAATTGAAGATATGCAGTGCATTCCTTCTCCGTTTTCGCTCACGATCAACGAAACCTGTCGAGCGAGCTCATCCGCCTTGGCAGGAAAGTCGCCTGTCCGCCTCCACGACAGCTTCACAGACGAAGCGGCAGGGCAGGCTGTAAGAGGAGCGCCCGAACCCAAAATCAAATCAAAGTTCCGTCGCCGTGGAAGATAAGGCGGACCTGGAGTTTGTCTGCGTACTTCCCCCCTCTTCTGACTCTCACGGACTCACGCCTCGCGAGGGAAAAGACAGTCCGAGCAGTCCGAGGCTCGGAAGTGACTGAGGGTGGCGTTTTTCCGGCATGAGTTACTCTTCGGTCTGATTTCACCCGGCACGTGTGTCTGCATTTCGCATCGAGTCCACGGCACCTCGCTGCCCCCTGTGCCGCTCCTTTTTTTTTGCAGTTTGCGAATTTTCCCCGCGCACTGTCCGCAGCGGCAGTTGGCGACGGCGCGATGTTTGGAGAATTTTTGTCCCGATCAAAAACAATTTCTCGACAATCGCTCGAAACGATCAGCGCTCGTTCTTCAGGGCCGGGAGCGGGAGTTCAGGGGCGCTAATGTTTCGAGAAGGTCGTCTTCAAACAAATGACGTCGCGATGCGTCCCGTTTCTTTGTCCAAGATTTTTCCCTTGTTACCTTGTTCTCGTCAACAGGATTCTATGTGCTTGAAACAGAAGACACTTTTCTCGAGCCGATCTTCCCATTCTTTTCTCGTGGTCTCGAGTTCGACAAGGCTCGTCGTTCGTCGTGCCGAGGTGACGCTCTTCACCAGGAGGGATATTCGCATGTCTCGAACCCGAAAGGCAACCCGCAAGCACAAGAGCACGCGCATACAATCATTCCGAGTAAGGAGTTACATCACGGGACGCAAATCCTTTCGGTGCATCTGGATTCACCCACGACCGACGCGATTGCGGAAAGACTGATCAATATTCCGCGGCGAAAGCCATCCCCGCCTCGACGATCCAGGCAGCAACCCGTCCGCAGAAAAAGTTCGCTCCTTCCGAATGACAGATCGGCAAGCTTCGGAAAAACAGAATGTTCGCTTTATCAGACCTGACCCGGAGGGCGATGCCGTCGAGTACGATTGGAGCTCAACCCTGTAGCGATCCGAGCGAGATTACGCCCCTGAGCGGGCCAGAGGTCGAGGTCGTTCCCTCAGAGAGGCGCATTTGAGCTGAATCGAATATTATACGCATCTCCTGCGCGACAGATTGTCGGAGAAGGCACAGTCGATTGCACCCGAGGAGCGACTTTGGAGCGTTCCTCAACTCCGCGGTGCAAATCTCCCCCCGAAAGATCGCGACTCCAGAGCGTGCTCTATAGATTCGGGAATCGAGTGGTCTCGAAGGTCGAATCAGCTCGTTATCGGTATACTGATCAAAGGTTGTTCGAATGCACGAATGTTTCCAATTACGAGTTTGTCAGACTTCATGACGGCGCTCCAGACGACCGGCCCTGACCCAATTGATGCCCAGCCCTCAATGTCAGTCGTGTGGACGAGCTCGCGATTTATTGATGCAGCGGAGGATGACATAGTGAGATCTGCTCCACTGAAATCTATTTATAAGAGAATACGGCGATGGGGGAATATGTTATTCATTACAGAGAGTCAAGTGTATTTCCGGGTATACCGCGGACCTACTTCCACGGTGTCACACGCAAACCACATCGAAAACCAACGCTCGCGGTGGAGGTCGGATGGACGCGAGGTCGAATACTGTCCGGCCCGATTGATGAGTTTGCATTCGATTGACGCAGAAGCTTGTAAAGTCACCCGAGCGCGAAAAACGAATCATTTACGAAACTCTATGCCTCGGTCGCGACCTCGGTTTCTGTCGAACGAACAGATATGAAACACGGAATACACATCATGTTTAGCGATGGGGTCACGCCAGAGATCTGGCGATGCATCGGAGAGCTGTCTCCGAAACGAATTCAATATGAACAGACAAGGCAACAGAAGGGTCCCAGATATCGGAAAGCTCAATCGTGCCAGAGGTCGGTGAGAACCAGTCGCTTTCCTAGAATACTTCCGGTGTGTACGACGCCAGAGACCGGCAGACGGAGCACGGGATGCCCCTTCCCCATCTCCGGCCTCGAAGCCTTCATCTCCAGAGGGAGACGACAATTAAACGAGCCTCCATATTAGCCTCAGGAATACCGTCGATCCCGACCCAGACCCTCGCCTCGAATTATTGACGAAGAGGGCCTTCACTAGTCAGATTGCTGAAGAACGCTGAGCGTCTCCATGAGGCCTTATCTTCCGACTTGAAGCGCTATCGGCGAGCCTATTAGGCGAGAAGACATGCTCTCTCTCGGACGATCGGACTCGTGTATAGAGCCCGCGCTCACCATTCGCGTCAGTCCGATTCCCGACAGAGCACGCGGACAAAGAGCTTCTACGAAGAACGTCCATCAATGCTATTGAACCTTTTGACACGAGCCGCGCAAGAGGTTGCTTCTATTCGCAATTAGATTCATTGTCAGAAAGAAACATCGTTGGGAAATTCAGCCCCGAGACTCACTTTCCTTTCTGACTGCTCCAACTCCGATAAATCGATCGATTGTTGACATCCTGAACTCGCCATGGACGAGCGTTATCGACAAGTCAACGACATTAGCGCTGAACGTCGACGACGGCGATGAACGAGAGCGAATGATGGTCGGATGAATGGCCGAGCTCGCGATGTGTGGCAAGTTTTGCACCCCGTCTGGCGATCGATTCCGCTGTCAGTTTCATTGCTCTGACTGTGAATTTTATTTTTTTCATTTCTACTGCACAAATTCGGTGCCTCAATGAATCGCCAGAACTGTCCACTGACACCGTGGATCGAATATTCCGCATTCTGGCCGGAGAGATTCCGAGGGGCGGCCGAGGACGAAAAATCAGGACAGACGTCTCTCGGCGATTTCGTTAACAGGAAGGCGACCAGAGGGACCGTGACCCACAAAGATGCACAACGATGGTTGTCGCATCTCGTGAATCTTCTGAGTGAGAATTCCCCCACTCACCACGACTGCTTCACCGAAAGCTGACTGCGCTCGTCGAATGAGAACCATTCCCTTCCGAATCAGACGTCTTTCATTGTGGCCTCCAAGGTCGCCGGCGTCTCGTCGCCTGTGTGTGATTAGCATGACTGTGTTCGAATGTACATACTCCGCCATTCATGGACTCTTGCACTCGTATCCCGGTCTCCCCCGGGTGCAGGCTCAGGTTAGCCAATCTTAGATGGGCTTTTCGCTCGGAATCATCATGCCACAGTCAGTGCGACAGGGCCCTGGTTCCCGCGATGGAGCCGAGATGTCCATCGTGTTCAAAATGCGGTATATAGTCACGCTGGACTCGGTGCGTCAGATCCCGGCAGAGGCTCTTATGGAACGAGTCGCTGGCTAGATTTCGGAACAAATGCGGCCAATCCGATTCAGCCGCGAATCGGGACTGCGAGCTCTCTTCAATTGGACCGTGCTCCGCTGTGCACATCTCGCTCGAGCCTCGTTCCCGTTCCATAAACGCATTGAATGTGGCTCTGATTATGATTCTTATTCTCATTACGGTCCTCAGGTTGAGATCTGCTCTCCTCGAACATCGATGACAAAGGGGAACTATCGAGCGTACTGTCATGCGCACGATAAGTCGCGGAACAGGAGTTCCCTTGCGCTCTCTTTTTCTCTCGTCCAACACAAAGCCGAATTCGAGACTGAACGCGGATTGCGCGGGCCGCTCAGATCTTCGTCGAATTGGGGAAATCGAATGATGTTTCTCCCCTTCCCCCCGGTTCACTCGGTAACCGCAGCATTGTTGGAATTATCTTGAAGCGTCTCAATGATGTTCCCCATAATTCTCCAGTTTAGAGCTCTAAAGATGAGCCCGTGACATGGGCACATGATACAAACCTATTTGCATCTGTTTTCGATGGACTCCTCTAAAAAATTCGCCACAGTGAAATTTTTTGTTCCTCCCGGCCATCGACCATCAGACTGCCAGAGGGACAAGTGAGCGATTATCCAGCATTCTGGGTCTTCGTGTCGCCAGTGGACAAGAGCCATATTGTAGCTGTAGCGATTGGAATGCTCCTCAAGTCAGTGTCCTCCACCACATCCCTCATCGAGGAAGTATTGACCGAAACTACTACAACATTCGTTGGAGGTCGAAGATCCAAGAACTTACGGATCGTTTGCTTTCAAGTATCGAGGGGAACGAGGAGAGGTCCTACCGGGGAGCATGTGACCCGGAGGGACGGACATCGATTCATTTTTCCGTCCCGACATGAAATCGGATGCCCGCCGCTCGATTCTTCCAACGAAAGCCCCCCACAGGCAACTGGAACCAATAGCCCTGACGAGTGGTTACTTATTGTTTATACGTTTCGCATGATTTATCGGGTAATACGGTAGGATTTACCCAACTCAGACGACAGCTCGTCGTCGCCCAACAAAGAGGAACCGTGCACAGATGCCTCGTTGACGAAGCGCGGATATCCAAGGCCTGCTTTGCCACCGCCGATGCGAAAATTCGGGTCAGGGCCGGTCGGTGAAGTTCACCGCAGCGCTAGTTGACTAGAGTGTGTGAATCGGTCGGTCGGTCCGCATGTGGTGCATTATACACACGCTCTCACGATGTATCTTCGAACAAAGTTCACGGCGATGCACGTACTCGGCTCTGTAGCTTCGCTCGATCGTGAGTCAACTTTACGCCGAAAGCTGCCCGCCAACTTCCCTCGGAACACCTCCATTGATCGCTTGTACAGAGTAAATTCCGGTCCGCGGTGAGTATCCGGGAAAGGCGGCTTCCCTGACCAGAGCCGACCAGAATACTAAGCGTTTCATGTTGTGTTCCTCTCATTTGTAATCACGGGAGCTCCGGCCGACGCATGGAAGGCGTCTGATCCGTTGGCCGGAGTATGCGCGAGCTCGGATAAATTTAGAGAAGGTCACGGTCGGGCGCGTCTCAAGTCGCTGTTTTTAGTCACAACGCGATCTGATCGTTGATGCGGAATAGGCGGTGTTATGCGCGGAATTACGACTACCGTTTTCTTGTGGAGAAACGCTCTAATAAGCGATGAGCTCCGCTTGTTATCAGCAGACGTCCGTAGGGGTTTTGAATAGCCTCGTCCCTGATCGATCGGCTTTTCGATAGATCCGTCGCTGTCTGAATCTCAATGTGGGTGAAGGTTTCCTGTATTTTGAACGCAACGATGATGTACGGAATACAGAAGATCTGTCTCCGGCCCATCGAGCTGGCGATGGAGGGCGGTCTCAGGCCTCGTACTGATTCTGTTGGATGTCTGTTGGAAAATGCAACAAGGCAGACGGGCAACATTCAAACTCCGAGCCGAGGCAGGAGCGTTTCAGTCACGAAATATTTCTGCAATATTCATCCCCGAGATCCGGTGTCAGCGACCTTCCGAAGCTCTTTCGTGAACCTTCTCAGCGAGTCCGGCCGTCCCATTCCCCCGGACCCAATTAGGTCGAGGATTGCCCCTTTCAGCGAGTCCCCGACTCGCGATTTTGCCCCCTACACGGGACGGCGTGAATATCTCCGAGGCTGCTCAAGGGCTCAATATCCCAGCGAGACATTAACTATCAATGAGCGCTAGCACGCTCGATTGATACGGAGGCGGATCAATAATCCAAGCGGTACGGTCCCGAACCAAATCGATAGTCTTCTGTCCCGCTCCAGAGCGGATAGAGAGAAAACTGTACTCACCTCTGGCACTTTCATCACAGATGGCGTATCTACAAACGGATTGGACAATGTCCCATTCGTCACGACTATGCTTGCATCAATTGAGGTTGTCTGGAAGGCAGGACGAGGGTTTATCATAAATGTATCATGTATTCGATCATGAGAGCATCGAGTCAGCGTCGGGTGTAGGGAACTCACCTCCTTCCCGTCGGTAACAAATAAAGTAATGGTATAGTTCTCTCGCTGAAATGAGCGTGTTCATCAGGTCATGGAGCGGATCCGGAGCTTCCCAGATATCGTACGACAACATAAGTTGAATTCTCTTATATGTCCCGGACAGTCGCGAACTAACCTTCAGTGGTTGTTTGAGAATAACGTCTGCTTCATTGAGATTCACGGACTGAAAGTCCAACAATTCTCTACCTTCCTGATTCCTCGCTCCGAATTTCAGAGTCGTTGTGTGAGAGTCTGATCCTGTGGAGGAGCTTTCCCTCGTCTCAGTTGTCCGATAGCGACATTTGCGAATTCGATCGGCGATCGGCTGACTCTGAATTGAGGTATTTCCTAACCTTTCAATCGATAGACGATTGTGCCTATCGGTGTGGACTTCGGTAGGCGCAGGATCCGCATATTATGCGAGTAATCAATATTAGGAGCCAATCCTGCAAATATCACGGGATGCCTTGAGCGGGAGGAAGTCAAATTATCCTCTCAGAGAAGAATTTTTTTTCTCCTCTTGATTTACCATCCTTCGGCCTGGACTGAGCTTTGAGTCGAGGAAGGAAGTCCTGGGGTAGAGACTCACCATGTGAGAGAATGATCTGAGCCGTGATCAGGGCCAGCGTCCCGAGTGCTGCAGACATCTCGTAAAGATCTCATATGACGACTTCATTCAGAAAATGCTGGGTTCTGCAAATCACCACACTCATCGAAGCAATCCTGAGTATGCGAATCTGAGCGAACCCCGAGGAGGCCTCAGGGGCTGCGGGTTCCTCGTCCAGAGCTCGATCAACTACAATCTTAACGAGCGGGAAGTTCGTTGAACCAGTGCCGATTCCACGAGCACCGCGGAATGCGACCTTATCATGAAAAACAGAAGGCGTTTCCGACGCACGCGAGCTGCTATGAGGAACTTCGGGTGAAGGTCACCAACCCTGTTTTCCTATCCGAGGCGCTGTCAAAGAGCCAAGACAGCCTCAACTTCGCGCGGTCCGGCAAGAAGCCTGGAGAGCACCCGACGAAGTCGAAAAACAAAACATGGAGATTCCGAAGCGCACGGAATCGTTGGAAGCCGTGCTGAGTTCGTGTCATCCACAAGGGGAAAGTATGCATTCGATGAGACGTCGGTATGCCCAATCGCTACCCAATCCAACCCAAGACATATTCTCCTCGGCCAGAGTTGAAGACTCTCGCGCTGCCGCAGGGACATGGAGGGAGATACCAGCGAGGAACAGTCCCCGACTTCCACTCGATTCGAAATCGCGCTGACAGTCTGGTCAGCGCGCGTGCTTCATTTTCCCTCAAGAAAGATCCGATGCCTCTCGGGTGTTGACCAGCCGTCGTACTGCCGAGACTTCATGATGTTTTTCTCGGTCTACTCCCGGGAAGGAGCGATCGACTGAAATTTTCGATACTTGTCTAATGAGATGCGTTGCTTACTTGGAGTGGAACCGAGTTGTTCTGCTCGTAAATGCGCTGGGCAGTGCTTCCATGTCAGAGAGACCCTCGAGATCACACCTGAATTCACATGATTTCCGAGAACCTATCACAATACTCCTTCGCGAAATCCCAAGGCATAAGACACAACTTCTCGTAATTCGGGGGAAAACACGAACTGCTTGCTTAAATTGGCCGAGAGCACGCGGTGTTCTAACGGCGTCGACCTCACGTGGAGCTCTCACTCCGTGAGCGACCATCGCGCCCTCACCAGAGAGGGTCTCTCCAAGGTCCCGAAGCCCGCGGCTCACGCTGAATGGCGAATCGATCCCTCCGTGTTTTCGGACCCACGGTGAGTCTCTCTGCGGCGGAAAACGTTTGGAAAGGCGTGTTCCGCAGTCTCAGAGTTGAGTCAATCGAAGGAGACGGATAAGGGGAGAAGAAACATGGAATTCGGGAGATATGGAAGAGGAAAACTGTAGGTCTTGCGCCATGCACCGTTAGCTGTGTCCGGGAACTCGCCACACGCGAACCCGGGGCGGGTGACCGCCCGCGGACACCTTGCTCGCGTGGAATCAGGCAGCTGGACGGGCTCCACGAACATGATTCACACAACATCATCGTGTAGTTTGAACACGATCGATTTGACCGCTCCCGGAGATGGCCCTGGACTTCCCACTCCGAACTTTTAGGGATTCCTGAGCCGCTCGATGCGCTCCTCCCCAATTCGAAGGAAGTGGATGTTTACGAGCAGGACCGAACCCATTCGGGCGCCGACGAAAGTGTACGTGAAACCAACAGCTCGTCGTCGAGTGTCAAGGTTCGTGACCCAGTTCACGCGCAACCTTTAAACTATCTATCCGCCGCCTTGTCCGATCTTTGACTGACTCACTCGATGGCAAATTATCGAATTGAAATAATCTGATTGAGAGCCGAATTCTCGGAAGATGGACGCTGAATGCACATGTGGGGATGAAGCTCGGCTATGGGCCTGTATGGGATCAGTGGTGCCCAATTCCATCCAACAAAACTGGATATTTAGCCTGCCGTCGCCCCGCCAATCTTCCCAAGAGCATGGACAGTTATCCCACACATCCCTCTGTAAGGGACCACTGTGATCGAGCACCCAGAAGAAGGGTCGTCACGCATCGACCAGGAAAAGTCCAAGAATTCCATCGCTGCCGTCTCCGTGTCTAAAGCGAACGACTGCTTCCCGGTATCCGCGACGCCGACGAGGAGCGTCATCTTCACTCTCTTTTCCTGCTGGTTCGGTGTCTCAGAGGCATATTTTCCCGAAAGTTCAATAGCAACGTGTTTCGGTTTGTAAAAGTGATGTGCGATCTCAGCCTCTGAAGATGCATTCGAGGATCGGGAACCTGGAGCGGTGAGTTCCGATTGAGAGTCTCCATTGTTTTCGCTGGAACTTCTGTTGCGAAGATCAGATCGCGGTCTTGGACGAGATGAAGTTCTAGTGAGGGATTCTCGAAGATCACATCCCAGCGCGGCGAATATCTATGAGCGGGATACTCGTTCGGGAATTCACTCAAGTCAAATTCAATATTCGCTGAAGATGCAACGCTGGTCATCGACGATTTCGCTTGTCGCTAGACGGGCCTTCCGATGCATTTGCAATCCTTCCATCGTGAAGCTATGACCTAATCATCGATCGTCCTTCACTTCGAGAAACTTGTTGCTTCCAGAGAAAAGAGAAAGAGAATTATCGGTCCGAAAACCCTCCAGATTTCTGGCGGAGCTTCCCCAAGTCTATTGACTAATGTGAGAGGTGAGTGAGCGAGAGATCCGATGGCTTTCCGGGGTGGACAGAGGTCCTCGACGCTCATCTGGGAGCGGGTTCCGAACGAGTTCTGAGATTGGACTCCCATCCAAATTAACTATAATGAGCGTCTTCCTCCGTTCCATGAGGGCCGTTCAGCGAGGATCGGGCGATTTTTCGGACTCTGCTTGCTAAGGCTCGTCGTCGTGTTGGTAGAACAGGTGTCGCGAGTGATGTCGGCTGCGAACTCGATGAAGCATAAGTTGCTTTTCATGCCGCTCAATTCGGCTGCGCCTACCCAGCAGGTGAGGAAATCAAAATCGACGATCCGCTTAATAATTCCAGCATGTCAGAATTGTAGTCTGCAGCATTCGCAATAGTATCGCCAAGCTCATGATTGGCCTCATCTCTCTCACAGTGGCACCTGATGCGCAATGGTAGCGAAGACCTGAGAAAGGTATTCTTGCTTTTACTATCGGGAGGTAGACCCAGGCTGATTGAAAAATAAGATTGAATCATGACTCATCGAATTCCCAATTTCTAGGTTATGCCAAGACACGTTTGTCTCGCCGTGGTGGAGCGTGGACGCATTAGCTTCGCGGACATTTCAAGAGTTGCAATATGGTGTCACGCTCTCGGTGTGAGACTCATTTCATTCTTCGATACACACGGTGAGGGAATGTCCCGAGTATTCCAGAGTTTTCACAACGACCCAAACACTCTCTCATAACCATCCTTATATGAGAGCAGTCATGAGAATCGATCTTCGAAATCATTCATAGTATGATGTTGAATTCTCAATTGGGTAATCCCGATTTCGCCCATTATACGTAGGGCTGATGATTTTTCGCGGAGAGAAATGGCATAATTCTTTTTTTGGTGTAGCAGCTCGCAAAGGGGTGACCCTATAATTCTCAAAAGGAACTGCGAGTGCGAAAAGGGGGAGGGGGACTGAGTGGAAGGTAGGAGGAAAAGGTGAAAGAGCCATAGGAAAAAATGCATTGACGCACTACCGAGAAGGGTGGAAAATTCAACTGGAGTGTGGGGCTCATGTACATAATACCCACTAAAAAAACTTATGGCTCTTGACTTGGAGGTAGAGAGCGGATAGTGTTGGATCTGAAGACTTTCGGATCGTACGTTGGAGGGAAGACATGAGGAGGAAGGGCATTCCATAGACGGGATGTGCGGGGGAAAAAAGTGGAGGCGAATTGAGCAGTACGATTGGAGGAAAGTTGGACAGAGTAGGGACGCTGCTTGGTACTTTTTCTGCTTACACGGGCGGGGACCAAAATAGGGGGAACGAGGGAAGAGATTTCATCTGAGCATTCTCCATGGAAGTATCGATAAAATGATCCCGAAGATGACAAATACCCTTGGAGTTCCGCCTTCGCGAGATTGTCGTCCTCAAACCACGGTATACTGGAGAAGACGAACTCGGGATCAATTGCGGTGACTCGTGAATAGACGGGATCAAAAACTCGGCAGGCCTTGAAGAATGCAGCTGCTGGCTGACGGAATCGAGCGCTAGACCCTTCCGAGATGTAGCTTCGTAGTCTCTCGTGCGATCTTCGTAACGCCTTCTCCCGCCCAAGTTGGTTTCCGAGGATTCAGATACTCTGAGCCATTGCGCCAGCAAATCGAGGTCTTTCATCACAACGTGCGCCTTGACCTCACTGCTCTCGGATTTCTTGAAAACTCCCGTAAGGTGGGGGCAGCACAGGCGGCAGAGCCACGGAACCCCCCTTTGCTTTCAGATAGTGAGCGAAACGAGCCTTTCGAGACAGGCAGGCCGTGAATCCTATCTTCACTGGAAGTCCCAGCTTGTTCACAGATTTGAAGACTTCTTGCCATAACTCACAAATTAGGTTCAGCAAATGTGCCGTGCACGTTACGTAGACGGCATTCAGGAGAACTGCCCTCAAGCTGTGGCTCCACGCTTTATGCATGTAGGCGGTGTTATCTGTCACGAGCGCGCTGACCTTAGAGAACGAGACGTCATCTTCGTTGAGCTCATTAATCACAGCTTCACTAATCGTCTTGTAATTAGTTGAGACGAGGACGTCAGAATTCAGGAGCGGAGCTCGCAATCTGGTCTTGAATCGGTAGTTCCTGCAGGCGATCTACAGCGAAGATGTTGGAAACATACCGGTCCTCAGCATCTATCGTCTCGTCGCAGACGATCGCCAGCGAGCTCGAATTTTTCAGAATTCCTTTAGGCTCCTTCACATGAGTCTCGAAAACGCTCGGGAGGTATTTCTGTCGCAGGTGACGGGAGCACGGAATCGCCCCGATGTTCTTGAGGTTGCGTTCCAGATAGAGTTTCAAAGATGCTTGCTCGAGTTTATAGAGTGGGATATTCGCGCTGCGAAATTCTTTGACAAGGCTCAAAAGCTCCACCTTGCGCTGCTGTTTCTGGGATGACTGCTTGTCGAACATCTCAGGAACTACCACTTGGAGCTTTCGTTCTTTCACGAGCGAGGCCTCCTTTCCGGTAACCTTCCGCCGATGTGACTTCGAGACAATATGTTTGCTGCAAGAGTCTTTGCGAACATGGTCTACTGGAATGTTACAGCTGCTGCAGAAAAGGAGACTACCGCTCGAGTGCTTGGCGCGCATAGCCGCTGTGATGTTCTTTGCCAAGTTCGTGATTGGTTCAATTTCATGAGGGTCAAACCGCCGGGATTCTTCTCTCGATTTGACTAATCCGACATCAACGCTGAGTGATGCCAGGCTCATCGTTCCTTACCGGAAGCCATTTTGCTGTCCGAGAACACCTGACACGTGGTATGCCGCCGAACCTCGAACATCGACGATGGTGGAGATCGAACATTTGACGTCCGACCGCATCTCGGACGCGCAAACCCGATCTGTTTGGAGCTCACTCTATTACCAGGGATACTGCCTTTCGTAGGTTTCCTGTGAAGCAGATTTCGCCCCGCCGAATCCTGTCGGGATAGAATCACTCCCATCGAAGTGGAAATCCGAAGGAAGGAGAATTTCGGCGTCGAAATATCGCAATACCTGGTTTGTCGCTTGAGATCGTCAGGAATCGCGGATTTCGCGGAAAAATTCCAGAATTCGCGGACAACCTCGGAATTCGCCGATTCCGCGATCGCCGCGAAAAATCTACAACCCTATTTATAAGTCATCGTTCATCTCAATATCGCCTATGAAGGTTGAGAGTCACATCGGTCTCTGCTCGGGACTGCATGTAAGGGTCCCAACGCCCCCATTCGGTATCCCGACGGAAAAATGGGAGAGGGGCATCCTTCGGTGAACCGGAGAACTATACGACGTTTGGAGGCCCGATCAGACTAGCATGTGCTCGATTCCAGGCGTGTTGCTCAACTCTCAGGACGTGCTACGGAAAGAAATCCAGGCAAGGCTATTCGAATGTCGTCAGCCGAAGGACAGCATCGTATTCGTCGGACCGGATGACGACGGTGAGCATTTCTAGTTTTTCAGGAAGCCTGAATAAGACATCCATACAGCTCACGGGACGACCGGGGGGGGGCGCGAGAGTACCTAATCTCGGAAAACACCGAAATATGCAGTATTCTAATTACTTCAATAACACAGCCCGACAGCCAAAATCTGACAGAGAAAAGGATACTCATTTTAGGGTAAATCGGGGTCGCTGATCACGAATCCGGCGTCAGAAAATTCGAAAAGGCTCTAGTTTTCGAGTTTCAACGGATGAACCGAAGAAAAAATTGTAAAAAAATGTAACTCGCGAAAACCAGAGCCTTTCCGAACATTCTGACGCCGGATTTGGAATCAGCGACCTCGATTTACCCTAAAACGGGTATCCAATTTTCTGTTAGATTTTGGCTGTCGGGCTGTGTAATAATTGAAAATACTCTTACAGTTCGGAGCGTGATCATGTCCGGAACGAAGGGAATCGCGCGTGTATTAGATGTGATCGATGGACAGGACAAGGTGTTATTCTAAAAGAGACCCATGAAGAGGCACATGACCGGGGACATAATTTATTCCTTGAATTGTTATGATTCGCTTCGCCACGATTCAATCACGCTTGCGATCGATGGCTCTGTTCTCCGGAGCAGCAGTAAACTTCCGAAGTGACCGATCTTGATCACTTTGCAGGTTGGAGTTGTTGTTGGCAAAATATTGAATGAGGCCGTCAAGGCGAAGGAGAACTCGCTCCAGATCGCAGATATCAATTACAACGTCAAAGCAATCGAAGCTCAACTCAGTGGTAAATTGAGGGACGGGGAAGGGAAATGAGTCGACGTCGACGTGAAACATTGATTCAGCATGCATTGATATGCTAAGCGGTCTCGTCTGTCGGAGCGTCTACCCATCGCTTTTTCCAGTGGCTCATCCGGGTGTCCCAGACCCCGAGTGTGTTCTATGCTTCGGACCCGCATGCATAAGCGTGGGACTCATCCCATGGCAACTAAATCACTCCGAGATCATGTGAGTTTCTCCAAGAGCAGGCGAAAGAATTCGTCCCACTCGATCACCGATTCGCTCTCTCGAGCATGAGCATTCGTCGATCACTCTGCTCGACTTTCTTCCTTCAAATCACTCATTGGCGCTGTTTCAGCGAACTCGACTCTCACCACAACATACTCCCGTCACAATTCCTCCAAGCTTTGGAAAGATACGCGAAGATAGAGAAACGATTTGGGAAATAGCTTTTCTGTCTATCTTGTTCCCCCGCTCATTCGATTGCTTTCCGTGGAGACGTCGGAGAAGCTGACAGAAATCGTATTAGCTGAAAATTTGGAACAATCTCGATATGCTCCGCGGGTCTCTGCCGTAAACCCCCAGCGCTGAAACAGATGAAGCGGTCGAAACTTCCAAAGACCGAGCGCTCATTGGCTTGGACGTCGTTTAGCTCAGGTAGAAATCCCTCGGCGGGCTTGTTTAAGGGACCGTCGATCTCGAAGAGTGTCCCCGCCGAGATGCACAATTCGGACTCGATTGATATCTCACATGAACGATTATAGGTATCTCTGCCATTCATGGGCGGCGTTCTACGCCACAAACCACGATGCGTGTTCACATATTTATAAATGTTTTGATGAGAATACGTGAACGAGGATGCTCTGTCCTTGGCCCTGTTTCGAGCGGCGCCTCAGGAGAGGATCGAGCCGCCCCCTCTGGGTAATTGAAACTGTGGTACCGCTCCTGGCGGCCTCCGGGGAAAATACTTCAATAGAAATGAAAGATGTAAAGTGCCGGCATGTGGAGAAGAATCGACTATCTATCTTTATCGGCTGAGAGACTCTTTCTCTGGAATGGCCTGAGGGGGGGGACGTCTGAAAATCGCCACCGACGAGCTTGGAGGAATCTCCGAATACACATCCTCGATACTGCCGTATTTTGGCGGAGCTGGAGCACGAGATCCATGATGCTTATTCAATGGAATTTTTCGCGCGAGTCGGCGACGCAAGTCGAACGGAACCGGTCATTTCAGAATACTCAGGGCGAATGTCGAGAAATTCAAGTTCGGGTTGGAGGGATGGCTGTCTGCCAGGCACAGAGCCTGTCGCTCTAAGGACTCGGGCGGAGCGCCGACGCATCGACTTTCGCAGTTCTAAGTCACTGTTGCACCTACGCGGAATCTTCATCAGCTCACAGGACAGGGTCCACGGGACGACTTGGATCAGTTTCTACCAGTATTCGGGGTTGCTGGCAAAATTTTGCGCATCTCGGAAGACTGGGGAAAGGCATGCTGACACGGCAAAAAGGTGCCCCACGATGAGGGGAATTCGAGCCATTTGAACTTTCCTTCTTCATCTCGGAGAGCAGCGGCAGGAACGAAGAGGTAATCAAAAAGTCATCCGAAAGATTCTTCGCAGGGAAAACGAGCCCGCTGACGACCCTCTAATGACTGAGCAGGATGAGTGAAACCGCATTCACAAAAGTCGCATCACGTGTTGGTGAGCCGTGACCTCCAAGGGCAGATGTATTACCGTTGCCTGTAGGTAATATGTTCCTGAGAGGAGGACTTCCGAATAGCCATCTGACCTTGCGACCGCGTGATCTTTGCATTCCGCGATCGAACAAAATCGATGAATCACAACGGCCCATTCACGCGAACGCCTCTTCGATACAGGCAGCGATCGATTTGTAGCCGACGCATGTTCCTCGATTGCTGCTCTGAGGTTTTCTTCTTGCCCTATATGGACTTTTCCGAAGTGAAGGGCTCTCCATATGTACGTGTATGCTGAAATCCATGTCGGCCTGCGGACCGGCTGCCAAGGAACATACTTGAGCTCGCCGACCCGCGGAACCTACTGGGGAACCGAAGCTCGGAATGAAACCTGGGGATCGAGAAGAGGAATACGGAGCTTCTCGCTGATCCGGTGATCGAGATTCCTGAACGACGGCCCGTATTGAAAACATCCGTCTTCGGGCTGTGCAGATTCTCCCGAAACGAGAAAATTTCGAGACTTCATATCAAGGTTCTATTCTCGACGCCGAGTGGAGCCTCGTGCATGGAATGCATAGCTGACGCCGTTCATGCTGGACGGAATCCTCAGAGATTCTAGCCCCTTACGGTCCGCTTCGTTCCCGGAATTCCCATGCACTTTAGATCTGATTTGCAGAGCTGAGGAGCTTCTCCGATGATTATGATGGACGAATTTTATCTGCTCCAGGAGAAAGACGGATGTATTCATGGGGTTTCCGGGGGATCAGGTGAATTCAACCGCTCCATCTCTCGGCTGCTCGTGGAGAGCTCAACGAAATCGGGCTTGGCTCGTTAGCAAAGCGTGATGAGATTATCGAATAATCATCCCTTCTCGGCCAGGCCACGAGAGGACGAGCGACGTCGGCAATCAGCGGGTATTCGTATTCGAGGAGCGCATGATCTTATGGCTTCAATGCTTCCCATCGGTGAGACGGAAAACATAGGATGGAAGCGGCGCGCCGTCTTCCTCGAGAGGAGCCCAGGCTCAGCCAGGTTTCGAGAGTTCGGTCTCACGAATCGGGGCGGACGAGGAGATTACGGGAGCGTTGAGGGGACGATGAGAGGAGATCCAACAAGGGGAATTCCACTGTCGGGGTCGGAGCTATGGATGGAGCCCGGAGGCGGGTCTGGCGAGCGAGCTACGAGAGCGATCAATGGAAACAAGCACGCCAGACGGAAAATCGACCGACCGCCTGATTCCCAGGTAAAAGTAAGTAATTGCGCTGAGAATCTCTGATTGCTACAAGACGGCTCGAATGAATCTCGACGATGAAGCTCATCATCATACGCATCCTCGCTGAGTTTTTCCCTGTGGATCCATGGGAAACTCATCAAGCTCGTCTGCTCAATCGGATACCCGAATGAGCTGACAGCGCCGCTACGACTTCACCTCTCAGTCAGGATTTCTGGAACGATGAGCGTAATCTTCTAACATCGGTGTACAACGCTGCTTCGGGATACGTTGCTTTTCCATCGAATGCTGCGTCCGGATATCTGGTAGCCAATCGTGCCGCTGCGGTATGCTACGCATGTCGTTTGTACTTCCGCGTCGGCCTTTGTCTACTGCGAAATTTTCTCACTTTTATTCCGAAACCCCGAGAGTCTGAATCATTCAATCATGAGCTATTGCTGTTGTGATTCTAATCGATTTTCACTTCGGTGCGCATTTCCAACCTACGGCACTTTTTTGACGTTCGAGAATACCCCGCTCGAACGCTTCCTTCTCTTGGAATTTTTTCTGCGACGTGATCGTTCAATCTATGACACCTACCCTTTCCGGGCGAATCTTCAGCCAAGGCAACAACAGCCTCGACAAGGTATCGATGATTCTCCATCGGATTTTTATAACGGCATGGTGGCCCCAGTCGGAGAACAGTTAGTCGATTGCGTCAGACGTATCTTCGAGGCTCACGGTCTCTTCAGGTCTGGTTTCCGCATCGCTCAACGCGTCGTCTGCCGCACACCCTCGCGGACAAACGTTCAGATAGATGAGATCCTCGAGGAATTCCAAGCAGAATGCTTAATCAACGGCATGAACCTCTCGAATCACTTTCTACAGGTCATCGTTCGCCAGATCCGCTTCATAATTATTCATCGTTCAACATCCAGATGGAATTACGTAGTGAAATAGTTGAATAGTCTCTGAATCGGTCGCGCGCTGGATTCAAGACGACCTACAATTAAGTCTGCCGTCTCTCTGCATTCGCATTCGTTGTACGAACCTACCGGTTTAGGGACGGGGGCACCCTATGTATTTTAGTTTCAATTGCTCGGGATCCCGGAGAGTTAGAAGTTGGACTGTTCAGCTCCAGTTCTGAATCGTAGAGCACCGCGGGATTTCTCGGCAGTAGGTAGTAGTGAAGTAGTGCCTGGAATGAGTCTTCCATATTCCAGACGACAACGATGGGAAATTTCGCAGCTAAAGAAGAATCCAGTGAACCAAAAGTTTTGAGCTCCAGAAAGACGGACGGGAATTCACAAATATCGAAATGGAAGAACTTCATCAGAGAGGCTAAAGATGGCAAGGCTCAAGGGAGCGAGAAAAAAGCATCCCCATGCCCCGCTAACTCCAAATGTCTGCAATATGACGCCGGCGCGAGGAAGAAACAAGGGAACGGCTGGGTGTATGAAGGTGCTCTCAAAGTCCTAAAATCAGATCAGTGCAATCTCAAGAAGTAAGAAGCCCCCATCCCGACATGCTTCGTAAAATCCGAGCTCGAGTCCACGAGCCCCGTCCGTAGAGGAGAGGGAAAAAACGTGAGCGCATGAAAATTGTGCATTGAGTTTTCTTTCTTGCTTTTACATTTGTGATAGAGATTCCACTTGGAAGTCGTCAACATTAGGACTAGCTCCGTCGTGCCGACTCCTGACTGCGCCTCGGTAAGCGAGCCCACAGGAACTCCTGTCAGGCGAGACACGAGACTGGTCGTCGAGAGGTCTGCGTCTTGTTTGAGCAGGCGATTTCATGCATCCGTGCGGTAGCGGAGGGCTCCGAGTGCTGTCCTCGATTCTTGTGAGATCTCGTGCTCGTTATAGGTACTAGGAGCTCAATAGAGCAAAAGCTCCCGGCACTTCCAGCTTGTCAGGGAAACGGTTGAATCTGAGGGGGAATTCATCGGTGCGCTCGTTTTTCGCCGCTTGAGACTGAGATGACGCAGCTTGAGACTTGAGACACCGGCTCGAGGGGAACTCGAAGACCAACACACCACTCACTCTTGTTGCACGCTCATTCTAATGATATCATATTAATCATACGATCCCCCCCCCCCGGAGAGGGCGATTCCTATCCAGTGGAGTGCAATCGTACCGCACCTCTGCATCGGAGTCCGAGCGTTACCCAATGGAATCGAGATGTTGACGATTTATTTACATCGAATCGATGCAGGTCTTTATTTTCACACAACAATCGAGGCTGATGCTACTCGCGGATCAATCAGCCAGGGACGTAAATTCATTCACTGTACAATTAGGGGAGACACGACGCGAGTTCACCGAGGCGTCATGATTAGACTAGCTCTTCTCTTCTAATGATGAAGTCCGAGGTTCCCCGTGCGGCGCATGTGTCCAATATCAAACTCGTATTCCCACGTTCGCGATCGCGCCTTTGATCCCACCATTCGGCTCAACACGGTGCCTCTGTGTAAATTCGTCGATCCGTATGTACGTGTGTGTGTATGGATGTCTATGATGTTTGCTGTATGTCCTATGTCTGTACGTATGTACACGACAGGGCGAACGAACAATCCGACTAAGGGTTCCAGTTCGTGCTTCTGTTTGGCTCTGTCGAACAATTGGCACTTGCACGTCGACTCTTCGCTCTTCGAAGCCTTCGTCAACCGGAGTCCATGGCGCAATGGTCTGTCAACAAATCGATTTGAATGACAAAGAGCGGGAAAAAAACCGATCCGAACTTGGCAAGAGCTGGCAGTAGACGAACGTTGACGACTTCGCGAACTGTTCGCCAGCGGGAAACTCCTCCTGTATAAATTGGGATATTTCGGGAAAAAATACATTTTTGATGAAAAAAATTATCGGCGTTGAGAGTTCGAGCCCCTCCCGCCTCGGAACGAGTGGGATCCTTATTGTTCTCCAAGACCGGAGAGTTGGTCAGATGTTGTCGATGGATTTCAGAACACAGGGGGTTTGAGTGAGATCCTGGTGAGACCCGTTGATATATTATTAGTGCTGGACTCCAGGGAGTATGATAATGAGAAGCCTTTCGCGTTCATGTTATCATCTGTCTTGAAGCGCAGTAGTAACGCTGGTCCCGTTGAGACGACATCTGATGGAACCTATGGGAAACGAGAAGATCAGTGCTCGAAATCATCATCGGTTGCGTCCGGCCTTCGGACATGGAATAATTCTTACCTTGTTCCCACAATAAACCTGAACAGGAGGATTCGAATCGTCATATCCATCAAACACCGTCAACGAATCGTATCCGCAATCGATGGGGCTGTCACCTGCAAGACCTATTATTTGAGACGACTCCCTCATTCCAAAGATAGCTGAGCTCGGCCGCAGGTCGGAGCTCGTGGCATATAACCTTCGACTTGCGCAGGACGAGGTGAAATCATCGATACCCGCGTAATGGCCGTGAGTTGAGGGCGGGAAAGTCCCGGTTCGATTCCCGAGGCCCTCGCACATTCTATATACTGTGATAAAATATTCTGTATGTACACTTCGGTGGTAGCGAGAAGAAAAATTATTGATCGATGAAATGCTCAAAGACTTCCGTTCTTTGGTGGAGTCGAAGTCTCGACTTCTGAAGCACGGAAAGTACGCTCAGAGAGCAGCGGAACCGAGGGCTCTTACTTCTCATTCACTCTTTTCGGAGCAGCCGAGACGCGTGCTTCTCGCCGAGGGAAGGCGGACAGCACGCGAAACCCGATGCTGAACACAGCCATGACGGCCGCGCTAGCCGATAGGACTTGGGTAAGAGGGTTTCACGCGAGAAGAGAGAAACGCAATTTGGAATGAAAAGAGCTTTTCTATCGAAACGCCGCGGGCGTCTCTAGTTATTGTTGTTGCTGTCGCTATTGTCAGGGGAGGCGCGACAAAAGCAAGTGTCGAATTCCTCTCTTGTTCTACAAATATCGAGATGGCGAAGACGGCGGCATACTGGCACCATTCCCTTCCCGAGAGCGGGAAGACTCCACCGCAATCTGATTGTGGAACGTCTCTATTTGTCGGAGATACACGGAAACTCAAAACACTCCTGCAGAGCTCCTTTCGCACCTTCAGGGATGTGCCTCCACTGTCCCAACCTCTGAGATGATCGGGAATCACAACGGATTTCGGACCTCCCGTTCGGATATGATTCTGAATTGAACATCTTCATAGTTTTTCTTACCTTCGAGCTCGAACGCGACGAATTGCAGGTGCACGAGTCCTTGACTCCCCTCCGCCTCTATAAGCCAGTCGCATTCGGCTCCATTGCCGTAATTCGCGTCGCCGTATTTTGTGTGAGAATAGATATGTTGGATGACTGATTTCGCTGACAAGCGCCCTCCGCACACTGCGAACAAATAGAAACGATTTCCGATTATTGTGAGATATTTGCATGGATCTGATGTACGACGGTCTCTCGTATGTCGCACTTCGATGCGGGCCGCGTGAAATCGGAGCGATGTCGACTGAAACACTGAGTTCCGCCCTGGAACTCATAGGTACGCGCTCCGGAGGAGCGAAGATATCTCCTCCCTGGCGGGTACCATGTGAATTTGTTCAGCTGGACACCTATGGAGCGCAGATGTTCGAAGCGCCCGCGCATCGACTCCATCCGACGGACTCCAATCGGTGTCCACGATCGGGAACATTAGAGACGCCCGCTCGGAGTCTCCGATGAGATACTTGGCCGTGGAAACCTGCCTTCTGCTGCACCGCAAACCTCGCTGAATTCCGAGACGCCCGTTCCATGGAATAGGTTACCTACTTGTTTGCTCCCTCGTTGTCTCCGCCGCCTACTATCATCCACGACGCCTCTCCTCGAGTTTCCCTCCCAGCTCCTCTTTTCCTCAGGAGTGTGCGATCACCCCGGCCGTCGTCTTTCAGACGGGCGCTCATCCGAGGAGCACAGAAAGGAACTTCGAAACGCTTTCTCGCTTGCTGCAAGCTAACCTCGGTTCGTTGAACGCCTCCGGTTCTTCTGTCTGCGGAGAAGAGTTTTCCAGCGCGATACTCGACCTCTAGAATTCGGGAGTCCCGACAGTGGTGAAGATAGAGACAAATCTGTGAGCGCTGGTCGAGTTCGGTGGAGCACCTCCTCTTACTACAAAATGTCGCGAATCTCATAACTTGGATCCGAGGTAAACAGCTCCGAACGTCTAGTCAGTCAGTAGCCCCTCGCAACAACGGGAACGCCGCGACAAGCATCAGAACGGCAACCACAACAACAACTGGAGGATAGCCGGTGGGGGAGCAAACGAATGGATAAGCGTGCTCCCCGTGACGTTGCCAGAGAGCAAAGGAAAAACAGATGTTGGAACTCTGAGGGGTTTCGAAATACTTTTTTGACTGGTCCCGCCATTCCTCCCCTGTCGCTTATTTTTCCTCTCGACCCACTCCCATTCCCTCCCGCTCAGCCCATTCATCCCTTTTCCCCAACCCGCTGTAGTCGTGACTGGCTCGGTGGACCCCGGGATGTGGTTGAAGTGAAAAGAGGAAAATCCACAGAGGGGACGCAGAACCATTGGAGCAAGGAGTATTTCCTGGCGTTTCGCGCGAGACCAAGCGAGCAAATCTACCAGCGCGGTCCCGCGTACCATACCGCGCGAGGGCTGTTTCCCCGGCACCGTGTGTTCCCGTCGATGCTTGTTGCGAGTCCTCTAGCGACTCTCCGTAGTAGATGCCTCGTCATTCGAGACAGCAACGAAGGTAGATACACTTTCACGATCAGTACCACCGACCCCTGGGTTCGAGGCGATTTCCGGGAACGGGATCGCGAAATCGATCAAATCGAATTGTCGTGACGAGCAGTGCCGCTCGAATATCCGCCGGATTCTGCCGTCCAATCGATATTTTCGAAGCTTTTCCCCTCGTCGTTAGGAGAATCCTGTGAGTAGCTCCCATTGATGTTCAGGCTTCTGCTCATGTTCCGGCGTGAGCCATTAGAATCTCCCAAAGTCAATTGGGACGCTTCGTTGGGGAAGCCAAAGTGTTCCGCTAACAAGGGACGGAACTCCGGTCCGAAGACGACAGGTCGTCGTTCGGTGCGTTAACAACGTTAGTTTTCGTCAGGCGAGAGTGTGCTCATAAAAATTGTATGGGGTCGAATAGAATTTGGCGCGTCGTAGCGAAGAAAATCCTCTGCCGAGATTTTTCGTCGTCAACTCGGGAAATCAGTATGTATATTAGTCTCACGCCCAGCTGATCATTTCCCACGCAATGCCTGTGGATCGACGAGGGTGCCGAAAGTCTTGGAAACTGTGTGTAGTTGTACAGCCCTACCGAATCTCTCTCACAGTCCGATATGTGCACTGATGACGGTGAACGCTGATTGATACACAAGTAGACCTACTTATCTGGTCTCGTTCGCTCCCTCACTATCGACTGAATTCGGGATGAGGCACCGAGGTCGAACCTCGTTGGAAGGTTCGCTGTTCCGTGCTCGGGGCTCCGTCGGAAGACTGACAAAAGCAGGTTAAGCTCGGAGCCCCTCTCATCCATCCTATCCATTGGTATTTCTAAAATCCATGAATCCATGCATCAATCCACTATCAATCTCAATTTGTCGGTAGCTGCCCGGCTTGCTTCGGTAGCTTGCTTAAGCCCCTTAGGAGGCGAACGATTTATTCAGCTCATCGAGCGGTCTAAGCGAGAAAAAATGAGCCCGGAATTATTAAGCTCGGGACCGTAATACGAATCCGCTGCGGCGACTGCCGACGTAAAACCTCCGGCTGTTCGCCGATGCCGTATTATTGCTCAATATCCGAGTGGGGCAACGTCTCCGCTCGTGTTCCTTCCCGACGTGCTCTGTCCGCGCCTTCCTCGAGCGACGGATTCGAGATGCAAGTTTTCTTCATCGCGCGATTCACTTTGTCCTGACTCGCTCCTCAGGTCCGTCGAAGCTCCTCCTCGACCCTTTCGGGACCGCCAACAAGACAACGGTGTGCAGCATACATTGGCCGAAATCCCAAGGAAATATTCCCAAACAGGAAAAGAACGTCTCCGGGGAGCACGCTTGATTATGAGCTTAAAATTCACAAGATAGGGATTCCGCCGACGGCTCCGGTCCAAGAGAGTCGATCGGATCGTAGGAATTCTCCTGCCCACGAAGGACGCGGGTGCTGAGAACGCATTCGGTCGCTGTCTCCTCCAGTTCTTGCGCGGGACTAGGAAGTTCTGACTCAGGGACCTGCTCGCTGGCTAGATGTCTCGCATCCGCGGTCTCCTTTTCGGGGCGGCGTTCTCGAAGCGGGGTGGGCTCGTCGGTTCGCTTCGACTCTTACAAAAAACTGTGCAACCAGCCCCGTCGCTCAAAAGAGAACGGCGCAGTGTTCGCCAACGATCGCTAGTCAGCCTGCTGCTCGTTCGACCTCCTGGCTGGCGGCTGGTCGGACGAACATACATAGGTACCATTGAGCGCAGCGGTGCACGTGGGGCACTCGGATTACTTCGGAGGGAATGAGCCCATGGTCAAGTTAGGCTTCCGATCGATTTGCCAAATACCCCCATGCGCTGTTCCGGAGGACTCGGGAACCCGGGGAGCGGGAAGTCTTCGACGATAGGCGAGTTCGCGAGAAGCGTTTGTCAAATACGGAATCTGGAGAGCTGAGAGTGAGTGGGATAACTCAACAGCCGAGCATACAAATGCATATTTCGTTTCATTTGCCCTCTTTCGCTCGTACGCTTGGACAAGCTGCTGACGCGTGTCGAAACAAAGGAACAACGATGGAGCACCGCGCGGAGCAAGGAACCGACCGACAACATGAACACACTCCTCTCTGATAAGCATTCCATGTTTTCTTGTAGGAAACCAGCTCTTCTGCTCTAATCACAAACTGTTGTTATCATATGTTGCAGAGGTTCGCAAGTCGTCGAGAGCCCGGTCGCCGCGTGAAGAGCCCCGGGACCGTCTTTTCTTCCTGCTCTCGGTTCCCCACTTCCTTGTCTGGCTGGCTTATTTGCTCCTGCTTGCGCTTTCGGTACAACGTCTAATTGAATTAGAGTAATCGCTCGCCTTTTTGCAACCACCCAAAGGCTACCAGGCAACTCACTTCGGAGCCGTCCTTGTCTCCGAGAAGAGCAGACCCTTGAGGACAAAAGGACGAAGTAAGTCGATGGGGAAAGATTCGGAGCTTTCGAGCGAAATTCGCCTCCACTCTCCGCCGTCCCCGTAGGACTGCGTGCTCTGACATGGAGTCACATCGAGTTTCGCCTCTCCCCATCAGCTAGAAGAAGAATGCGTTTCGGCAAGGTATAAGAAAACTTTCGCTCCGTGTCGAAGCTCTCCGAAGTTGGATATGCACCCGGTCTCGAGCCCGCTCTCGAGACTCGCTTTGTTGCGTTGTGGATTGGAAGTGTTTTCTCATCCTCGAAACTAGCTCTTTGTTTGTTCGCTCGCATGTGTTACTTCGCTGGGTGTTCCCGAGCTCGAGTCTCCCCGGAGCGTGTCTCCTTCGCCGTTCGCTCTCATCCGCAATGACGTGAATATTCAGATTTCCGTCGACCGAGGCATGGTGATTGCGGCTCACTTGAGGCAAAGCTCTCATTAAGCTGATCCGTACAGACCTATTCCCCTCTTTGAAATCCCTTCTCTCTCCCTTTTCCCCTCGTTCCACTCCCCCATCTCTCCTCGGCTGTGTTCATGATCCAAGACGGAACATTCTCAAATATGGGTATGCAAATGTCCCCGCGAGCGGAGAACACAAAAACCTGCGTGAGGGAACTCAACGTCGGAAGTATCCTCCCGACGGAAAACTATGAGGAAATTCAGCGGAGCTTTTATTTTCGGTAGTGAGGAGCCGTGGGAGCACACGACCGACCGACCGAGTGAGTGAGTGATAGAGTGAGTGGAAGAGAGGGCGTGCTAACAGACTCCATTCAAGTTGCGTCGCCTCGAGGCCAACGGACTATTAAACCGGAGCTGCTGCCACCGCCGCCACCGCTTGTGCGGCAGCACTGTGGACAGAGGAGAAAGTGGTATTGAGCTAAAAGCCAAGCGGCCAGTCCACCGAACACTTCGCTTGGAAGAAAAGGGTGACGTAGCAGATGTGGTCAATTGGTACCGCCGTCTTGGCGGATTGAGAGGAGCGGATGAGCTGTTAACAGGTACACGGCGAATGGCAGCAAAAACGAACAGACTGGCACACCTGGCCTCTGGATTCCGAGCTGTCGATCGCTTGATCGTCAGACCGCGGGCCGATTGTGGTCCCTGGGTTGTGGTCCCTGAGATTGTACCCCAAGAAAGCCCGGAAGCCTCGCGAACTATTTGATCATCATCAGGCCGGAGAGCTCCGAAGTCGTCGACAAGGCGTAAGCCCATCGATCAGATGATGTCGCTTCTTCCCTCTCGGAGATTTTCAGTGATGAATCGAGTAGGTTTCTCTTTCTCGCGGGAATGCTGTTTGTGGAACACTGGTACGCCGCCTGCGCGACGTGGGATCTGAGTTCGTGCATACCTGTTGAGTGACGCGCTCTGAAGCCTTTTCTGCTGACGGTTCCATCTGACTTGAATACGAGGTACATTTTGTTGCTTGACGACAGCAGTGGATGCGGAGCTCTAGCTCCGCAAAATATTCCCAAGGAAGAGGAATCTGTGTTTTCTCCATCGAACACCGACAAGCTGTCATACGAGCATTCTTGATGCGCCTCCAATTCGAAGTCGTCGAACTCCTACGACAAGAAAATGGGAGATTCTGTGTAAGGGAGTCCAGGGTGTCTTGTTGGCGGCAGGAAACTTTTTTCGAAGGTACAAACCAATTTCAATCGATGTCCTGGCGTAGTAGAGAAGAGCCACGCACACTCTTTCTTTGTTGGGTATTCCTGGAACAATTTCCGAAAGTCAGAACCGGTTATGCTAATTCGTTTTTCTCGAATCGTAGGAGTGCCGATCGGAAGGAGTTCTTAAAAGTCACCGCCGAGTGAGCTCGACGGGATCTTTCGACGATCGCGACTCACCAACGGGTAATTCGGGGAGATGACTTCACCGCCTTGTTGAGACAGGACGTGATGCATGCAGGTGCCTTCCTTGCAGTCGTGACCGTTGGCGTGGAGAACGAAGCCGTTGAAACACGCACACTGATACGAACCAATTGTGTTCCGACAGATGTGTTGACAACCACCGTTGTTGGTCGAGCACTCGTCTTTGTCTTCAGGGGGGGGGGAAAGAATAGGAAAATGTCAATCAAAAAATATCAGGAAGCCGGGGCGACCATCTCCTGCCTCAGATGGCCGGAGTCCATTACTCGTCAGGCTCATGAACAACTCTGGATGGGACGAACGGCGGCAGCGTCGTCGTCATGAACAGCGTCATAAACTGCGAGACTCCATCGAAGCCTGGCGGAGTGAAGGACGCGGACAGCACATCTATAATAACGAGACATTATAATGAAGCCGAAGGCCAGAGTGACGCGAACGACGACGGCCTAAAAAACGGCGTTCGCCGTCGATTCTGTACGGGCGGCATTCGCACGAGACCGATGACTCACGGATGCGGGAGGATGCCCGTAGCCTTCCGCAATATTCTGCAGTCGAAGGAGAAGCCCTCAGCGATGCGATTCGATCGTCGTTATTTCCAATGCGCTTCTGATCACCGGCGGTGAATTCACCAGGGTCTGTGATCGTGCCTTTTCCGCTTCTCCTCTGGTCGGAGGGAACTTCCCATCCGTTTCGTTCTTGCTCGAGAACGACGGAACCCACATTTTTGATGCACGCTCTCCCTGCCTTAACGTTTTCCAAATCCCTCACCGCGATCTCGATTTTTTCTTGTTCCCAGAGCCCCAGTCGTTCCTCCAGTTGCCCCCATCCTCAAACCCCCTGCCCCTCCTGCTCCGCTCCTCGTTTTCTTGCCATGTTATCTGACGTCGTCGCTGTGGTGATTACGAGCATCCGATGATGCCACGGCCCTTCTGCGGTGGATCGAACAACCTGGTAATGGGACATCTCCATCTGAATGAGTGTTCTTGCCGCCATCCAGTCAGCAAACCACCCTGGTTGCCTCCATTCGCTCGGTGACTAGAGTGCAGATGGCTCCCCAGTCCAACTGGGTCGCTCGATCTTCTCGTCGACGCTCTTCCGCTGCCTCGCCCTTCTAACCACCCCGACATTATCTACCGCTTCTGATTCCTTACGATCCCCTTCCTTGTCGCCGACAGACTTTCGGGGGAAGCTGATCAGTTTTCGGCAGCATCCGCCAGACATTCCGAAGGGGAAATCGGTCGGTATGAAGCCGCGCCCGCCCCACGCACCGCGAGACCTAGCGAAAGCCCGGCTGGGGTAGGAGCGGGGGGGGGGGGAATGGAGAATCGGGAAAATGTATACGCGATCCGCCGCGGAATTCCGCCCCGACCCAGTGAGAGCGAGATGATCTCAGGAGACGCGATCCGCCGGTGGGTTTCCGCTCAGGTTTTTACGAGTCTCACCTCGGCAGGCTTTTTCCCTCTCTGAATAGCACGCTCCTCTCTACAACAGAACATACGACACAAGTGTGAGCGGCTAAGGAAACTTGCGGAGACATCATACATAACGGCCGTCGACGAGGAGTGCGTGTATATGGAGAGCCGCTCGTTGCCTGTTCGAGCCGCTAGGGTTGCTGGCTGGCTTGCGGGGGGACGGTTGGGCACGCCGACGTAAGACATGAGATATATATGCTTAGGAAGCACGCCATACGTCACACGGCGATGGCGCTCGTAGTACTGGCAAGGCGGCGGCGGCCTGACGATCTCTTTGCGGCTTCGAGAGAGCCCCGCAAAGACAGGGCGAACGTACGTCCCAATGACGATGGTCGTATCCAAGCCCGCTGGTCGTCAGAAGACCAGGGTCGCGGTCCTGCTTTAGGGTCCTGATTCGGAGCCGCCGAGCAACAGCCTCCAAGCCCCCCGCATGTCCGGTGGCGGTATGGCCGTTTCTTTAATAAAGGCTGCGCAGGCGTGCATAGATGTATTTATGCCGAATGTGTAGGCCTTGCCTCTAAATCTGTGTGTCAACTCATGACTCTACATATCTGAGGTCGGGTGGGTCGATCGAATAGAAGGGTGACGTCCTGCATATATGTATGTGACTGCGTATATATTCCGGCGGCGGAACCCTCGGGACGATTCGGCCCGTGGAACGCGTGGGAAGAACGACGTCGGTGAAAGCAGCAGCTACAGGGCAAGGTTTCACCAATGTCGCTCTGCCCCGAACAAAACGCCGCGTCAGCTCGACGGAGACCCGCCGCCTGTGAGTGAGTGAGGGTCCCTACCGTCGGCGACGTCACGCGCGAGCTTAAACAGCGGGGCCCGAATTTCGCAGCAAATCCAATCACTAGTACTCGAGTCCTCGGTCGCTCGTCCTGTCTCGGTCGCTCGGTCCGCCGGTCGGTAGATCAGTTGGCTGGTCGCTCGGTCGCTCGCTGGCTGGCTTGCTTGGAATATCCAGGACGTGAAGTGGAGGAGCCGACGCGACAACGACGACGGTGGAAGTCATCCGAGTGGAAGGTTTTGGGTCGTCGGCGGGACAAGCAGATTCAGACGTACATCCACGCAAGGCACAGGCGTTTTTTTCTTCTCCGCCGCGGTGGTGTTGAACTCACTCGAGAAATGAGGGATCGTCTCTCGGCAAGCAGAAACACCACAAGTGGGACGAAGCGTGGACTTCGGCGGTGAGGGGCTCCCCGGGCTGGGATAAGGAGACGGATGGAACAGTGACTGATTGACTGATGACTCGTGGTTCGGGAAGGCCGTGGGAATCTGCCTCATCGACTTGGACGCAAGCCAGTCCGGCCAAAAGATTGCTCACCGAGGACTCGGCGGCTTCGAGCAACTTCTCAGAGTCCCGGGAAACATGGGTTTCTCCTGCACTGTGGTTTAGTCTCGAAGTCTCAAAGAAGCGCTCTGGGGTCTAGCAAGTCGGATGATTGCAATCAATTATAAATTAGGGTCGGAGAATTCGCTAATCTTCGTTGATCTGTAACGACTTGCGGAGCAAAGGACTGGCGATGGATTCGAAACTCTAATGACTTGGCTGGGAGTGTCGCTCAAAACGGCAAGGGTTCGGGCCGATTTGTTCCTTCGGGAGGGCAAAAATAATCCCGTTCCACGTCCCTCTTCTTCTCATGAACTCCAGTGTAATAAATGTTGTGCGAGCGCGGATCTTGGATTCTCTGTTCCGCTTTCAAGCCCTTCATTAGGGCTTGTTGCTTCCCTCCCTCTTCCCCAACCCAGGCGTGTTGCTGCTGCTGCTGCTGCCGCCGCTCTGATCGTTGTGACCCCGGACCCCGCCTCTCGTTCTGTGCCGTTCGTCTGCGTGGGTCCGAGAGGTCAGGAAAGCAAAAACTTCCTGAATCAAAAGGTAACGAGATCTGAATGACGCCGTTGATTCCGTCCGACCCGTCTCGTCACGCCAGGCTCTGCTGAGCTTTCGAGACTCGTGTCCCATGTGAGGGAGCTTCATCCGAAAGCATGTACCGGAAAAAGGTTGGAGATCCTCCTTGTCTCGTCAGGCCTTCCGGAGCCGGGAGAAATCCAGAACATGATTTTCTCGGAGCAGAAATTCTGAGTATCCCGATCCCTGCGCAGGAACGAAATCTCTAAAGAGAAACTCCCAAAACGACTCGCAGCTGCCCAGGCACGACGCGACCCAACGCTTTCAAATATTGTGAACGAAAGCATCATCATCAGCAGAGAAAACGAGTCACAAGGACGGATTTCGTCACTTTTGATGCTTCAAGTCGCAAGAGCATTCAAGATAAACACAAACGCTAAATGACAGTAGAGCGAATCCCCTCTGCCGTCCTTTCTGTCACGGAAGCCGCAGAAAGACCGGAAGACCCTCCGGAAATGCGTCGACGCTAACTTCGTACCGCGTTGGGGAGGAGTTTCGGCTCGCTACCCTTTTGGCCGCTCCGTCTCTGCCGCCCCTTTCGATAGAGCTCGCGGTCGAGCCGATGACGCTTTCGCTTCTGATTCCGCCTTCGTCGTTAGCGACATCCTCTCACGTCGAATGGCTCTACTCACCAGTGAAGAAAACCGCTGCGAAACCGCTCTTCTGCACCGAGTTGTCCGAATTGAACTCGACCTGTCAGAGAGGGAAGCAGACGTTTATCCGGAATTCCGGGTGTCTGAGGAATTACGTTCGTTGAGGCAGCGCTCGACAACCGTTTTACCGTGAGCTCTGTGGCCGAATAACGCTAATGCTCTAGTTATGGAGACTACTGGGAACATATAATGGTCCAAGCGTCCGGTTTAGAGGATTTCGGTGTCGAGCGGCCGACCAGCTAAACGAACGAACGACTGAGCTCTTCACGAGTGCCGAGCATCAGGAAGATGGAATGTCAAACTCACCCGAAGCACGTTGCCTTCCGAGGTTATTGAAGGAGGTTTCTGAGGTCCACAGAACATCCCGTGTTTCTTAACCGTGACATCTCGCGACCTCGAACTCACGTCGACGCTATCATATTCACATTCTTGCTGCAATCAGACACGGAAGAAGATGCGTTCGAATCAGCAACACTCGACATCACGAGGATTTTTCGAGTCCGACAGCTTTTGTCCTGGACGGTAGCGACGATGTGAAAGACTTACGTTGGTTCCTTCGAGTTCGAAATGTGTGAAGTTCAGGGTGATTCGGTGCTGCGGAGGCGCCACGATTTCCCAGATGCAGTTTTTGTTCGGCGGGTACAGGTCGGGGAAGGATGGCGATGTCACGGTACCGTTGATCCCTTCGAGAACTCCACCACAGGCATCTGTCGAGCGAGGCGAGAGCGAATGAATGACTCTCCGAAGAGTTTTCCGTTCGTGCTCCGCAGAGTTCAGAGTCCGACGCGAGGAACGCTAGCCGTCTGGAAGGATCGGGAGGTTTGGTTCGAACTTACCTTCGCATTTTTTCCCATCGGAATTTAGTTCATAACCGATTTTGCATTCGCAACGGAAGCCGCCCAATGTGTTGATGCAAATGTGGTCGCATCCGTGATCGGTATTCACACACTCATCAAATTCCTGGGGGACGGATACCATGTGTTAGAAATCGAACGTCCTCGAGGTGAGCTGTTCGAGCAAGTTTTATTCCGGAATCTCGTCTATCTACTCATTGTTTTCGAACTCATCAGAAATTAACGCGCGAGAGAGCTCCATAGCACGCCAGGAGCCTCGGAGAACTCCTGCGACCCATTGAGATTAGGCTTCGATGGAACTTCAGAGGCGGAGCTCAAGCCAGCTTTAACCAACCGTTGAAGCAGCTTCAACGTTTGATGGGCGACTCACTTTGAACAACGTGGCGGAAAAACCTCCCTTCTGTACCGTAGAGTCCGAGACAAATTTGAGCATGAGTTTGTTGTCTGAAGAGCGGATATCCTCGGGAAGCTTGAAGCCGCAATACTTGCCTGCAATCATGACCGGAATATTCTCAATCTTACACCGCGGGGATGAGCCTTTTTTCCCATCCCGAGGGGACTCGATATCGATGCTCCGAATTCGCTCAACGACATCACTCGTTGTCTCCGCGGACTGCACGAAGTGGAGTGCTGAGATACTCATTCCACGAAAAAAAAACTCAGTCCTCGAACACCCCGAGGAATCCGACTCGAGTCAGGGTAATCGAGTCAAGGGAGCATCGACTCGCATCTTGGGAACCATCAGAGCTGCGTATTCAGAGACGCTTATCAAACGACGTTTTTTGTTCGCCTGCGTCGTGGTCTCACCGATAACGGGGCTATCGTTATCGTGTCCGTCGACAACTTCGACATAGTCGTACACACAGTTATCGTGATTCTCCACCTGGAAGGAGTGAAACAAATCAGACGCTATCTCAGGACGGCTGTTGATCAAGTGCCGAAGATAGGGCACGTCTAAGCGCCGACTCCTCAAGATCGGCCGTGTATCCATCTGCCAGTTGCCTGTCGGTCGCTCCGTCGGATGTTTTCCCGCCCTCCCCCGGTCTATCTATCTGCCTTATCTCCCGGGCTTCGAGCTCCAGGGAGTTGATAGCGTGCCGAAATGACATTTCGGCTAGCGTCCTGTTCGTTCGTTCGCTTGCCTGCCTTTCGGTGGCTCTCTGTGGAAGGAAAAGGCTTCCAACAGAGACCACAGAAACTGCTTCTTTCCCTTCCTCGGGGGACCAGAGAGCAATTGATTCGCACGACGTGGCTGGCCTGCTTGAAATGCCCGCTCCGAGCTGCTTGAATCAACGCTGAGAGAAGGCATGCTCCTTGCCTTCATCGAGCCCCTGTCTCGCTCTCTACCGGCCCCCGGGTCGACACCGCATCGTTCGCCATCCCGCGTGGATGTTTTCGAAGGCTTCGATTGGAATTCATCAGAATCCTAGCGGATTTCTCGGTCAATAATGGACTGGATGCGTTCATTCCTCCGTCCGGTCGGTCGGTCGGTCAAGTTTGCAACCCTGCCTGCTCTGACCCCCGCGCTCTCTCTTTCTCTTTCAGGCTTCGGACATTCTCACTTCTTCGTGGAAACTGTCAGAGGCCGCAAAGTTTCCTAGACCTCGACGCTGAGCTACAACAGCGAGTCCTACATCCGCTGACATTCCCAGCATATTTCATTTCGTGCTGCCAATTCTCGGCGAAACTCTCACTACTCCCTTTACGAGTTTTCCAACTCTCTTGAATCTCTCCGGACCGACTCTTGCTCTCGGAGGCATTCCCCAGGCCGACCGACCTCCTGAGTGCTTGAATAACACAAAAACGTGTTCCAGACTGCGAGAGTGCTGTGTCGTGGAGGACGAGGGGGGCTTGTCAAAAAAATGCTCCTAACGCTGCAGCCAAGGTGTGCGCACCTTTTCCTCCGAGGTCTGACGGGAGCCGCGGCACTCGCTCGGCCGAGGGTAACAAAAGGTAGGTATAAAAATTCGGCGAGACCACGTCAACGGAGGTGCCCCATACGCTCGGCGAACCGAGTGTTTCTCGATAGGGCTTGCCGCGGGACTGTCTAATTGCGAACGTAGGCTCGCCTAAGCGCTGTGCCGCAGGGAATCCTGAACGTCGAAACAATCGCTTGTTCGTGAGGTCTTTACCGACGGCGAACCGAAGGGACTCAGCTGAGCGTTGCTTCACCTATCGTCGAGCTCACGTTCCGCTCGAAGCATTAAAAGTTTGTCAACGAACTTAATTTCACTTCAAGTGAATACCCGTTTGTGCGTAAGGCAGTGTGCGGCAACCAAAAAGAGACTCCCCAAGCCGCTTTCCTGTGAGAGCGACGGGTTCTAGCAACGGTGACTACGGAAAAACATGTCTGTAAGACAGCTCAAAAATTGAGACGACTTGAAGCCTTTCGAACGAAGTCCGGGTTTTATTTCCCCGAGGGTGGGGGCGTGCCGAGGGATACGGAATCCTCTCCTGGTTATTCGATTGCACGTGGAGCTAATCAGAGTGTAGACACCTCACAACTTACCTCGAAAGCCTGAAACTTGAGAGCTACTTGATATTTCTCTTCAGTGGATATTTTCCACACGCACTCTTTCGCGGGACGGTATTCGTCGGGGTAGTTTGGGCTCTGCAGTACCAAGGTGTCCTCCAAGCTCAGTTCACCTCCACAAATGGCTGCGGAAATATTTCGTTATTTCGTTTTGCTGTCGTTCTCCCGAAAATGCATCAGTCCGGATCTCAAATGTCGAACCGCATACGACCAGACGGCTTTCTAGATTGTAATTTTAATTCATTTCTGAGTGGTTCCACTCGAAGAAATCACGGTAGAGACAGGAAACGATATCGCGGAGACGAAAGGGGAGACTGAGTTTGAAGCGATACGCAACCGCATACTTGAGGTCTCGACGTTTCATTCAACCCCTCCTCTGTCCTTCTCTTTCAGCAGGACTGAGAGGATTGATAGTCTCCATTATTGAAGTTCTGAGAGTCCGCACGCAAACATCTCATCGAGTAGCGGGAAAGACTCCAATCCTGCACGCTGTCCCACGATCGTTCTGTGAGGGGTGCTAATTCTTCAAACCAGACGGAGTTCCGCATCTATCTCGTCCGCGCTCCGTTTCTCCCGCAACTCGAAGATTGTTATCGGGTCCGTAGATCTCGATCGACGCAACTGCTAAGCAACGAGTTCTTGGAAACCCTCTCCTCCTCGATACATCGATAGAACAGCTTCGTCGGGCCCACTCGCGGGATCGCTTCCCATGTGTTGAGTCTCACCTTCGTAAGTTGCATCGAATCCTGAGTGCTTTTTGGCGTTGCTGGATGTGCGGTAGATCACCGTCATCCGGTATCCACTGCTCAGGAGCGTGTCAGGTAGCGTCCCGGTGCCACAGTATCGACCTGAGACGCATGGGGAATCTTATTCAGAGCGCATGAGGCAAAAAAAAAGACTACCATAAGGGACGTAGATTTCTCGCATATCGCGAGAACTTCAGTGAGCGTCAAAAGAACCCAATCGCCTGCTCTCTTTTTTCGGACTAGCGAAGTGATTCCATGGCGGGAGAAGAGTGAGACTCACCAATTAGATCGCTCTGATGCCAATAACCGTCGCGCACCTCAACGTAGTCGGTTTCGCAGTTCTCGGTCTCGAAGATGTCCATCTGCGTGATGTTTAGCTGTATTCGCTCGCCATGAGTAGCTGTGATTCGCCACTCGCACAGCCCGTCGATTTCGAACTCTGCCGCTGAAAGACGACCTATGGGACCTTGGAGCGTACGGCCGCATCCTGGAATAAATCAGGTGGACCCGTAAGAGATGCACTAGCTCAAAGCGCAGCGACAGAATTTCGATCGAGGATCCCCACTCGATCCTCTCGAAGAAGATTTTCCCGAGGTAAACGAATATTACTAAGCGAATCAACCCAATCACTCTGATTCGCGCCATGGCGATGAAAACCTAGTTTCTAATTTTGCTACCGTCCCTCCAATTCCAGAGGTTCGTTTTAGCGAGGTGCTAAGCTCATCCGCATTTCTAGATATCACTCCGTGACGGACGAGCTCTTCCCCTAATTCGTTTGGACGAGTATTTACCGGCTCGCGTGCTGGCATCGGGAGAGTGCACGAAACGACTGGGCCGTCAAGTGAGTGGATGACCCAAAGTTGCGAAGAATGTCATTTTGTAGACGACGCGAGCCCTTCCCCGTTCGGGTCATATATTGGCGCGAACTTACAAGCATCCAAAGCACCACGAAGGAATTCGAGCAAAGAGACACCAGCAACGGCAGTGGAAAGATCTCGAAGAAAAAGAGATTCACTCGAAGAATACGTAAGTAAGCAAGAGACTGATTGACGGCCAGACCAAGTGTTAGCGTAGTCGTCCGTTCATCCGATGGCTTTGCGCCTTGACGACAAAGACGACATCATCAGGACGAGCTGAGCAACGCAAGCAAAAAAACTCCCTCCAAGGTAGGGCAACGGCAGTCAAGCGAACGACCGAACGAACGAACCAACCAACTTGTGAGACCACCGAAAGTAGAACGCAACCAACGGATCAGGGATTCTGCCCGCCCAAGATAAGACTGAAGGAAGATTGGAGAAAAATCACAACGAGAGGCGTTCCCTCCATCGACACATTGCAGTTTTTACAAAAAGCTGCCGAAAGCCCCAGGGACGGCATCGGTACCCGTCGAAAGATCTAGAAGAATACGGCGGCGGCGCTGCGTCGCAACGATGCGTCATTTCTTAAGCCGGTGAGGCAGCTTGCCAAAACGAAAAAACCTCGGACCGGCAGGAAATATATACATCGCGGATAACATCGAACAAGTGGCCTTGTCTAAAAATGTCAGTCGGCTGTCCCCATTTGGTTCGACAATAAGTTTAGCGAGCTTGAGGACTTCATTCGACCACATCCAGAGAACAACAATGCATGGAGCATTCCGATACCGCCTCGCAATTCGGAAGAATGTCGTCGCCACTGCGCTGATGTCGTCGACTGAAACGCTCTGTCTCGAGGGACGCGAGAACCACGCGAGACCCGGAGTCGAGCGAGCTGGGGTCTGGTGGTCGCTCTGAGGGTCGGGCTTTCCCCCGTAGCGGGAAACCTTTACAAGTCGTAAAGCTTTTAATGGGCGTCTAGGGACAGAATACTTCTGATAGCCGCACGAGCTCTCGTGTTTCCCTCGACACTCCGGAGTTTAACTCTCGAACACCTCCGAACGACCTCTGAATGATGAGAAGACGCGGAAATACGGATTTCGACTGGATTAAATCGATCCCGCGATAATATAATGAAGCGGTTTAGGTTCACATCCGCTGGGAAGAGTCCGTGGAAATTCATCCCGAACTCTAGTCTATCGTTACTCCGGAGTCTGACCGAGGTTTTCTCACTCTCAGTGACGATTCGTTCCCCCAATTACGATATGACTGACGCGGTGGTGGCATGGAGGAACATGGCGACTCGCCCCTGATTTCTAGGGGCTCCCGAAGCTCGGACCGGATCGACAATACGATTGCGCGTCATTGACTGAGAGTGCGCAGGGAAACTCCGGAGCTGTATCCGTTCATGTGCCATGGATGGCGAAAAATATAGGAAAAGTCTCCCCACTCTTCCAGCTGCAGGTCGAGGTGTACCGTCTGAGAGGCATAGTATGTACTATGTACTTCGGTCACTATTGAGCCTTGAGCTGAGAGCAAATTCGGGTGCCAAGACCGGATTCCATGATCGTCACCCGGGTAATGGAAAGGTGGAATTCCGAGGAGATAAATGTCTTACGGTATCGCAATGACCCGAAGACCGGGACGGTTGGTCCAGAGAGTCCACGGTGGACAACGGTTGCGTCGCTGTGCAAATTGGATTGAGTGTTCCGTTGTGCTTCCACGTCCAGCGGGAATTGAACACGACCGAAAGCGGGAGCAAAGGTTCGGGAGAGACTTCATGTAGGAGAAGATGTTCCATCCGCTTAGGCTGGCCACTAGCACTCCCGACTGTTCCTGGCCTTCAATGCGCGCGTGAGTTATCTAAATTGGAGAAACGATGGACCGCCCCAGGCTACAATCGACCCCGCTCCGCGCCAATGTTCGCCGCGCGCCACTTTATTCTACGGAACGGAGAGACTGGACGAGAGCTCGCGAGAGAGAGACTGTTTGACAACTGACACACAAGCAGGCTCGTCGGGCTGACTTGACCGTAGAAGAAATGGTCCGCCAGGTGACCAAGAATGCATTGTCGATCGGAGCTCCCTTGTGTGCGACACTCATCAATATTTCGAGTCCTTCGAAGCTTTCGAGATGCCGGAACTCCGATGACTGATTCCTCCAAACTTCCTCCAAGAGGTCGGAGCGTCCTCCCAGCGCTCCCCGAGCTGTTCAGCAACAGTCGCCTTTCTCGGGTGGAGCGCGACCGAGTTCTCCCGATCGGATACTGTTCGGAGCGCAACAAACAGCTCGAAGTTGTCGGTCCCTGCATGTGTCAATGATTTCGAGTGGAGCGTTCGCGATAGGTCGGCCGACGGCGAGAGAGCTGGCAGAGCTCAACTGCCGAACGCAGACAGCCTTGAGATCGTCAACTGAGCTTCATTATTCCTGATTAGTGTTCCCATCCCTCCAGCACTATTCTGCCTCTCTGCAACGAGTCGAGTTCCCTGTTGCAGGTGTAAGCGCGGGGAAGCGAGCACGCAGTCGGGCGGGAGGCTGACTGGAGCGCTCTCTCTGTTTTGACCCTTATTTTCTCCTCTCCGGAGTAGCAACAGCAGGTGCGAATCAAACGTCGAGCTCCGTCAGTTAACACGGCAGCTACCTGGAACCGCTGGCTGGTGGGCATCGGGTGAGCCGACAAACTTTACGAGCGACTGAAACTTTGCGCCAAGATCGAGCGGGCTCGAATTACTTCAAGTCGCGAGGGCCCCTCGACGCCAGGAATGTCGTGCGCCGAGTGAACCATGACTCCAACTTTGATCTGATGTCGATATCCGACTAGCGGAGTGAAAGAGGTTAGGTATCGAGAAACCTATGATGACAAAGTCGGATATATACGCCAACGCTTCTCGAGCGAAATACTGGGGACGAGAATCGAGGATACTCAGAGGGATGGAGCGAGAGGAAAAATGAAGCCGACGTCACTCCAAAGACTGGAACACAGACTGCTGCAAGGACGATAAATGCGACCAATAAACGCTTAAAGCTCGGAAGGACTGAAAGACCATAAGCAGAGAGCAGTACACTCAAGAGTTGTCGAAACCCTCGGGAAGCGTTGCACGCTTTTCGAGCTCTGCCAATGCACGTCAGCTCCGACGCACCGACCGGAGATGGCAGCGTTGAGGAGCCGGGGGAAAATAGACGCAGACGTGCTTTTTCGGCCAAATGTCCAAGTTGGAAGGGCGGCTGGGCTGTCGGCGGTGCACTTCGTTCCAATGATGCAGTCGGTTAGACACGCACACGCTGCATTCAAACAGATGACGACTGGCAGAGCGTATTCTGACAACCTTCGGCGAGTCTTACACGTTCAGCGGAGCAAAATGCTCACGAGTACAGTATCGTAATATCAATAGTGTGTCCATGCCTCAATTCGAGGGTCCAGTTATTCCGATGAGCGGCCCTACTATCATCGTTATCAGCACGAAATTCCTCGATTCGTAGGGGACCTCCATTCCGCTATTATCATCACCGAGCCGGTCCGGAAAAATTCTCGACATCACATGTTCCAGGAACATGGCATTCCGGACCGAGACAGCGATCTCGAGAGTTTGTGTTTTTCGTGAGCCCGGTCTTTCCGCTTATGCTGTCTGAGCGGAAGATCGGGTGGAGCTTTGGAGCGTAGCTTAACGAGATCCAAGAAGTCGGACTGTTCACTTAAGGATGAGATCATGGAGTTGAAATGATTCATATTCAAATGCAGCTTTTGTCTCGCCTAATGACGCGGACTGTGCTTGATGGGAGCAAAATGAAACGGGAACCCCATATGCCACACACTAATACATATTGTTTCCGCTTTGAAGCTTCTTTTGACGCCATCCTGCTCAAAAAGGACGCGTGAAATCCCCACTATCATAGCGGGAAATCATCACAGAGACTTTCGCACCAATGATACAGAGCAAGAAAATTCAGTGAACCCGTTGTGCATGTGTTGCCCAAGGAGAATGAAACCGTGCAACGCAGCCTCGGCTTCCGCAAACCCCTAAATAGGGACGGAAAAAAAGAGCTTCATAGTCGCAGAAAAATAGGAACTCCTCCAGATTCTGACGTTTTAAAGCCGGACATCCAGCTCCAGATATGATGTCTCTGCTTGATGATTTTTGGGCCAAGACTTGACGGCCCGCGTCGATCGATGTCGAGCATCAGAGCCGGGGGTTTCCGCAGGTTCCATTCCATTGGAAGACGTTCCAACAAAACTTCCCGAAGTCATATGGCGTAGGGCAATCTAGGTGAACGCCGCCTCGTGTGAATGAAATGCCGGGCAGTCCGATCGAGAGCGCCTCAAGATCCGACCCGGGGCTCTCCGAACCAAAATCAGGCAGGAGGCACCAACTTCGCAAGGCATGCGGCGAGGAAGTTCGGGAGAAGATGTCATTGAATCATTTCGTCGAAGGAACTTCGCAGAATTTCCCTCGTTTTCCTGTTCGCCGATGCGACGTCGCTCGTTTCGCCTGTTGATTTGCAGAATCGAGAATGGCCGAGGCTCATTCAAGGGGCTGACGACCGTGTTCAGCCAGACCGATCTGATCGCGAACGGCGGTACCGATGGTGCTCCCTGTACACGAATGAGAGCACGGATACTTGGTACGAAGAACGACCGTCGGGCTCCACTGGCGTAACGCTACGCCAGTGGGGAAGGGACATTCCATACGGGGGGAAGAAATCGGGGCGCAGCGCTTTTAGCCCGAAACAAAAGCAGATCGTGTGAACGATTTCCCGGTCGGCCGACAAATCGAGAAGGCCGAATACCTCCCGTGCACCTCAAAGGAGAATGGCCGTGCTAATAGTTTCCATCAAACGTTTCACAACAAACACGAGCGGAACGGAGCGACCCGAAAGGCGTTGCGCACCTTTGCGCCCAAACGACCGGACTTTCGAGTTTCGTTCCTGCTCATTCTCGTCGCTTGTCCTGCTTGTTCTCTGATTGCCGCAAACGTCGCATTGTACGTCCTCGTCGACGGCAATGACGACAGGAGCAGCGTCACCACCGCTACCGGGACGACGATGACGGGGGCGTTTTCTCCGAAGAACATTAGAGCCCTTTGTTTCAAATCTTTGCAATCATCGCAATTGCGACAGAATACAATCAGGAGCAACAGCACCGTGAGCCGCCAGTGGAACGGAATGACGATGTCCGTAGGCGGTTGCTTGCGCTAGCATCGAGGAACTCATGCGAGAGAGCTTTTGTGAATGAACAGCGACTTGTAGACAAGAGCGGTGACCTCGACTGCTGCGAATTTTATCTCCGCATTTTCCGCGCCGTGTAATTAGGTATATCAGCCGAGGCCAAGCAGAACGACGGCAGCGGAAAGGAGCAAAACACGCGAATCGCTCGTGATTTGCTAATGAGCGAGGTCGGGACAACGGAAGTTCGTTACAAGCCTTCCGGAGTGCTGCGTTTCGGAATTCCTCCTCATTGAATCCAAATGTATGAGACATCCGCTCGAAAAGCTATTTGGTGTAGCATCGGAGCTGCACCGGCTCCAGATTGGCATCGAAATTCCAAAATGTTGGATGGAGGAAAAGTTTACGCTTGTTGTGGCTCGATTCCTCTCACGCTGTAATGCATATATCAGCCTTTATCTGAAGATCGAGAACTTCATTCGATATCACAATAAAAAGGAATCCGATCTCTGCGCTCACGCATTCATGCGATCAGGCGTGAGTCATAATTCATTGTCGTCGATCTGGCAGCGGTAATGAGGATACCTACCTATATGACTCAACCCGGTTCGGGATTGGCGTGACCGTCGACATCAGCCGTTAACTACGGAAGATAGCGCTGATTGTTATGACGCTTATCCCAGGACTAGTCCTTCGGGTGGTTGAGGTCGACCATTATCGTCTTGCCAGCCCCGTCCTCGGTGCGGCGGAAGCGGCCGCGTGTTGTCCGCGAGCTCGACACTTCGAATATTTCGATACGAGACGTTTGTTGTTGAGCCAGCTCCACCGAGAGCTCTGTGGACCGCATTCGGAAACGGATGGGAAGTGCTCCGACGATTCCTCGGGACAAGTGATTCTATCTCTCTGTAAGTTCCTTCCGGAACTGCCTCGATCGTCTGGAGACTCAGTGTTCGTATCATAGATATCTTCTCACCCGCTCTCATGAAACTATGGAAGCACTCTCGTGTAGAGAGAATCGCAGCGAGTCGCACCGAGGGTGCGAATCTGAGCCATCCGAGCTCGTTTCACGATGCTGAGAAGGCTGAGGAATCTTAACCGCTTTCTCTATTCTCAACTTTGGGTGCATTGGACACTTCATTGAGAATCGGCAGTTCAAGACTGGCTCGATATCGTGGAAGTTCATCGAATCCCGAGGTTTTATCTCGGCCTGACGGAACTATGGGGCTTCGACGTTTCTTTCTAGATCGTGTAATCCCCTGCACTCATCGCCGAATGGTGGACTTTACTTCCAGATTTCTCTTGATGAGGGTTTTCCCGCCCTTCACCGAGCTCCGGGAGTCCTTGAATCTGGGATTCCTAGACTTAGCCGCCTCCTGCGCGTCATGTCCGAGAGCTGATGAACAGCAGGATTCGGAGATGGTCATGACAACGAATCAATGGAGCCCTGGGAAATATAGGATCTTTGATCCACTGCACCTGATTTAGGAATTTTCCCTCTCGAGCGGCGCTCACGACTGGCGAATGCTGAGACTTACGGCATGGCCGCCTCGATCCGATCTAGTTCATCCCCATAAGGCGGGAACCACGGAACAAGCCCTCCGAATCATGTAGGAAAGATACGTTGCTGATGCTACTCACTTGGACAGTTGTAGAGCTTGTTGGTTTGGGCGATGTCACCGGCACTGAGCCGAACCCGTTGACCGATCTCCGGTCGTTTCCTCGGTGTGGGTCCCTAGAATGGATCCGTGCGTATGCGACCAGAGATCGATGGATTCGACTTGACGCGCGAATCTTACTCGATGCGAAGCGGGACCTGTCTACGGGAGTCCGAGCGCTCCACTTCCATACGTCTTCTCACCGAAATCACTTCGGCGGATGTGAAATACTCACCTGTAGTGCCAGGAGAGCTGGCGAGTCGTCCCGAGGCAGTATGGTGTCTAGCTGCGTGCTCCTTGGGAAGAGAAATCGTTTTGGAAACACTCGACGGCCATGCGTTCAAATGATACCACTCAATGCATCAGTTCGGTCCCGACTCACTTCGAAAAGGTGTTTCTTGCATAATGCATAATGGAATCGAAGTCGTACGGCATCCCAAGCGAGCCGACTTCTTCCTCGGTGAGCTTATTGAAGTTATACTCCTGACCTGAAACGCATCACGAAAAGCTTTTCAAACGGATCGGGAGCGCCCGTTCTCGTCTCACTGGATGAGACGCGCGGGAATTTCGATGAGAAAAATCGGCTCCCGATCGGATTTGAATTCGAGAAGGAATTCCCCCGCACAATCGGAGAACTTGCAAATAGCAGAGGTGCCGCGAAAGCACAAGATTTCTATGGAACTGATTTTTCTAAGAGGGGTTCGCTCGGCTTGCCGGAAGAGCATTTTTGTCCTCTGCTACTACTGTGAGATCTCCGGAGCGGCGGAGGCATTGAGCGTATTCGAAGGTCCCATCAGCTAAATTGGCTCCGAGCCTTTTGCTTCACTGGTTCATATAGTGGAATTGTGTGAGTGTTCTGCTTAGCCGCTGCTGCGGTAGCAGTGGCGGCAATAGGAGTCCCGCCAGGAGCGACGCCACCTTGGCAGCCGAAAGCACCTCGGTTTACTCCGACCTATCAAAGCCTAAAGGTAATGCCTTCCTCTCCCATAACTCATTGCATATTAAGACATTGCAAGATAAATGAACGCCTCTTTTATTCATCGTCGCCCAGTGGAGCGAGCTCGGGGAGGACTAGCCAAAACTCTCTTTCTGACACATTTCCTCAACCGCGAGCGTGAGTGGGGCCGGAGACCCTCGATGCTTGATGCCTCTCGTGCTCGCCGCCGGCTCCCTGCTTCCATGCATAGGGGACGAGCTGTCAACTGAACAACATTTTCAGCGGACCCAGCGCATATTTAATGTCATCGTCGGTTAGCCGTCCTGGCGACAGATCGCAAAAGATACGCGCAGCAGATACCGCACTGTCGCAGGGAGAGCGTTTGAACACAGTCGTGAACGTTTGAGCCTCTCTCCGGTATGCATGCATCATCTACCCTCACGCCCACTGGCCCGTCGTCTCTCTTGGTCGGATGGAACGTTTTTCATCTACTCGTCGCCCTGTTCTTGATCTGCTATGCGAGGACCTAAGAATGTGGATAAATATCGAGGTTGGGGCTGTCGACAAACTTCGGCCAATTTTGAATGAGATGCGATCCAGCAGGAGCTCTCTCACTGACTAGACCGTCGAAGCACCATACGAACTTTTCACTGAGTTCCGAGTTGATATTTCTAGTGATTGCCACACGGTAAGCCCCCTTGTTTCTGGGGACCCGAATAGCTGATTTGACAGCATCCGCTCCAAAGATCCCTCTGAATAATATATGAAGATCTTGTAGACGACGCCGACGCAAATTACGGGAGTTGCTGCGCTTATTTGGTCAAACGCTGAGGAAACAGGAGGAGTGATGCAGGACTCCCTCTTTTCATGAGAGAGTCCGCGAGTTTCCTTCGCTGAGCGTCAAGCCGTCGCTAGACGAACGGTCGTGCCCAAACAACCCTCGGCAGACCACCGAGCGAGCGAGCCAGCGAATCGACGGACAAAGGCCTTTTTGGGGGCGGGTAGAGTGAGCAGCAAACTTCCCGCTCCGATCCTGAGGAACAGCGCCACTTCCCTCGGAACTGCAAAGGGTGGAAGTGCTCGAGGTACGAAAGTTGACCGACTGCCATTTGTCATAGACGACTGCAGCTTCTTATGTTACAGACTCTCGTTCTTTCTCGCTACCTTCAACAAGCTTCACACCTCATCTCATCCGCCTGATTAAGAGGAGATGACTCCAAGAACAGGTTGCGTTCGTCGGCGGGAAAGTTTTTCGAGGCAGCCTCTGTATCGGATCACAACGCGATGTTTCCCGACGCTTTCCAAGTTTCTTCGGAAAGGAGATTTTTCTCCCCCTCCTGGGATCCCCCTCGCTGCCCTGGACGCGAACACCTCTCAAGCCCGACTCCTTCAACCTGGCTACTTCGAAATGGACCTCCTCTCACCTTGCATGATATTCCTATCGATGATATGCACATGATTGTCGCGGTCTGGTCGAGTGTGTTCGTGCCAGAACCCCACGACGTGTCCGAGCTCGTGGACAACGATGCCAAACTTATCGCAGTTTTTACCTGGAAATCAGACTCGTGTATATCCTCTTCCAGAGTCCAGAGGACCGCGGGACTCTCCCACGAGCAGAGCAGGGCATTCGCCGATTTGCATAGAAGATCTTGTTGCCGCTCACCGATAGAAATTGCTTGGCCCCCGTTTCCTCTCTTGCCAACGAAGGAACAGCATCCACAAGGCCTTTCCGTGAAGGTAATGTAGTGCTGATGACGAGGTTCGCGCTCCACGAACTTGACGCAGGTGTAATTTTCCCAGTGGAGCATCGCTTGGCGGAAGAGCGCCCGATGAACTCCTGCAACGGTAAATGTGTTTATTTCGTTTTCCGGGGAATCGCGACCCCAAATCTAGAAGTGAGGAAAATGAACGGGGCTTCATCCGGGACTCGCTCGTCACGTTGATCTCGATGTCCCTCGCCTTCTCGGTGCTGTTGCTGCTCCCCATGATTTTGTACATGACGCCGATGTATTTCCGAGTGATAATCATTAGAGCAAGTGATCCTGTGCCCAGCGGAGGGAAGGAAAGGACGACGGAATAAACTAACAGATTCGCGCACACACATTCGGGGATAGAGCCGGAGAGCCCACCTAACGGCTGCCGTTACGCTAATTGGATCCGAACAAGTGCTGTCGGCGCAGACCCCCAGATTGATGACTTTTCTCATGGCGCTGAGCCTAATTATCGAGACAGATTCGGACACTCGCTACTGCGACGACTATTGTGCACAGGATAGACATTAATTCAGCCAGTCAGTCGCTCTGTCGGTCGGTCGTTCGCTCGTTCGCTTGATCAGAGGCTCGATCGGTCCCTCGGACAGGCATTCCTCGGGCATCCCGTCGGTGGCTCAACAAATCGAGAACGTCATCTATCAGGTGAGCTTGAGCAGAGGACAGAAAACGGACCTTGATGGGGAAGAGATCCCACCGAGCGTGCGGGGAAAAGAAGTTCACTCACCCGAGAAGTTGGCATCAATCTCGTAAGGAATTATCGCAAAATCCCACAAGCGATCCGCACGCGCTGTGGCCGCCCTATGCGACCGCTTTCGCTCCAAACGTTTGTGGTGGAAATTCCGTGTTCTGAAACGGAGAGCAGTCTTTTCGGAATGCGCTATCGAGTGCATGCGAGAGGGTCGTTCAATTTGAACCAGTCGGAACCTCAAGGTGCTGGGCACCCTTTTCTCCAGTCCCTCATTTTTCTGAAAAGAAACATCGTGAATCTCGGGTTACCCCTCCGATTCTGAGAAGCTTGAGAGTTCTCAGAAACTTATTGAGCCAGGATATCACGTGGACGAGAGATCTACTGTCGCCACAAAAACAATGAGATCGACCTTGGAAACGACGGCAGGGCACGAAGATGAAGTTTTTTCGAAAGAAATCTCATGAGATCGTGTTCCCCGCATGGAAGTGGACGAAGGGCGGTCTCGACGAACAAACATCGTCCGCAGATCGGATATCGTGGAAAACAAGGGGCGGTGGACGAGATAAGTTCTTTTCTCTGACGACGACAGCAAGATCCGCACGTCTCGAATGGCTCCCCGAACAGCATCTTCTACAAAATATCGCTTCCTTCACCGATTGTCCAGTGATTCATGGTCGTTCTCACACCCCTCGATATTTCAAATGCCACGCACAGTAACCCTTCGGAAACGAATGCTGAATACCTGCCGGTTCCTAGAACAAATTCGCAAGAGACTTTCTCCCGAGCACTCGAGCTGCTTGCGAGGCGGTCCTCATCTCCATCTTCGAGGGTTGGTGCCCTGTATATTCTTCCCCGCTACCGACGCGCGCGGACGTGCGTGCGAGGGAGCAGACCAGCGTGTGTATATTTTTCCTCACGCCCGCACTCCCGTCCGAGCGAGTCAATCAGTCAGAAAGTGTCTGACTGAAAAAGAATTCTCCCCCCAAAGCAGAAGAATCCTCTTTCATTTTGCAGTCGCCGACCAGCGAAGCGCTCGTCTCGTCGCGTCGCCGCCCAGAGCCCGAACACGAGCGTCGCAAGCAAAACAGCGAGAACCAACAATGCCTGAAAAGTCTGTTCGGGTGGGCGCGAGGCTATGCTGGCTGTGGACTGGCTGTACGCTTCTCGCTGGGAGAAGCGCTGGCGAGCGACCGAGCCTTCTCTCTTATTTGAATTTTCCTTTCGGATTCTGCGTAAGACTTGCTTCGGCTGTCGTGGTCGTCGTCGGCCGGTAGGGTCTTTTCCGCGAGCTCTCCTTGCCGCCGAACACTTGTACGCCCTCGGTTTTAGCGAATCTCGACTCGTTCTCGTATAGCTCTTTTCCGAAGCAGTACCGCCAAAGCGAGTACGCGAGACGATGGGCTTAGGAATCCATCTGAGATTAGCATATAATCATAATAATAGAAGAAAACACGGGTACTAGAAGTGCGCTGTCCACCCGAATATCTATCCGTCGGCCCGGGAAACCGTTCGACCGCTGCTTCATTCGCTGAGATACCCCGAGCAAGGCTCAAGAACACCTGGGGCCGTCTCGGACAGTCAGTTACGCCCGGCCGGCTGCGGAAGAATTAGTTTCTTAGCATACATCAGGAGTCTGAGGAGAGACACGCGGCTCGTGAGGATGATCCGTCTCGAAAGGAATTTATTGAAGAGTTCCGCCTCCTCGGAAGCACATCGAGCGGTCGAAGCTCGTGGAATCGCGGCGCTAGTCGACTTCAGACTCGACAAATTGTCTTTCCGCTGTTATCTAACTATTTTGTTGGTCATGAGACGCTGCTGCGAATAGCCGGAGATTGTACGGGGCTTGAGTGGCCATCGAATTGTGACGTGGAATCACACATCCTCGTTACCACGTTGCTAGACCCTGCGTGGAGTCGCTCCCACCCACATCGTCAGTTCCGACGTTTCGGGTCAGAAGCATCGCATCATAGACAAACGCGATTCAAGCTAGAGCGTGCTGATGTGTACGCATCGATAGCTCTCTCGCGTGCAATCGATTGCAGCTTATGAGCGATTTCGCGTCGTGGCGAGCGTGTCAGGCGGAAGCAGTGCTTACGAACGACATTCATTTCTTTCACTTATCCCTTCACTTCCTCCCTCGCTCCGGGGTGCGGTAAGTCCGACGAGCAGCAACAAGGGAACGACCGACGTGCAGCGAGAGCGGCGCGGCTCATTGCCGGCCGGACGAACGTGCGGTCAGAATCCTCAGGGAAGTGCCGCGCAATAAAAGCCTTCGGAACGAATAGATAGTGAAGCAGATTTGAATAATCAGCATAGCAAGGAAAAGAAGCCATGCCGAAAATAGGGAGAGGCGGAAATATGAACACGCAATGAGAGTGCCGTCGCCTGCGCTGCAAGGGACTCGTGCAGACGGTGGGAAAAAGATCCGGAATGGGCGAAGATACCTCTGGAGAGTAAAATGTGTCAAGCGAATGCACTCTCCTTGTCGGGAAGTGCTCTGTCGAATGGACTGTTGTGGGGGAATGAATATGAATATCGCGTGGGAGACGCTGCGAAATGATTCAGAGAAATTTTTCAGATTTGGAACGGCTCACTTAAGGTCTTGGGACGACATCGCGGAGTGTAATCGATGCTCCAAAGAACTGTTCGATAATTCAAAGCCGCTGTCTTGTCAGGCCGAGAATTCCTGACTCCCATCTCGGATGAATCAATTGAGGTGGCAAGTGTCTAATATTTGCGAATCATAACTGCGGTTGCATGCTTGTTCGTACGGCCGTCGACTCGATGCAAAGCGTGAAGCGGAGAATAAAGCCAGGGGGCTTGTCGCACTCGCCACCCGAGTGCCCTCTTTTGACTGCATAATCTGTCAGTGACATAGAATAGCGGCAAGGACGGCAGTCCGCATAATTTCCAGTTGTCGGCCTTATCGATCCTTTTCCCATGCTCCTGATTTCCCCTTCCACTCATCTGTAATTGATTTGCTTCTGCGATTCGCGAGAGCGGAGGCGCGACGATGGCGGAATCAATGAGCGGTCTGTGTCCCCAGCACGCCGCATCAATTCTTCTCATAGCGTCAAGGAGGGGCGGGGGGGCGCGCTAAGTATGCAGAGTTCTCGGAGCAGCGAACCGCAGAGATTGCAGGAGCAGCGAACACCGGCTGGGCTGATGTCTTATAAATATTTTAATCAGAGCTGTCGTTAGGTTTTCTAATTAGGAGAGCATCGTTCATACAAAATTTGCCCCACCAAAAATCATCATAAACACTCCCTAAAAATCGCTGACACCGCCTTTGTCGGTGTCGCCATGAGCTAATTCCTCCGTGCCAGCCGTCATACTCGAGCGATGATCGCACGAGAATCGAGCTTTAACCAAGAGCACAATCCAACAGGATACCGATGACGGGGGCTAACTCTAGAAGAGAAGAATCTTGGGGTCCTAGTTCCGAGGATTCACAGCAGCGAAGCTCCCAGGTAGTCACAACGTGTTATTAAGAACAAATGGCTCACCTTCGATTTTTTCTATGTCCTCGACTCATTGTTGGGTCGTGATCTTCACTTCTCAGCGTCGTCTCTCCGTGTGGAGGTTTACCGAGAGGCCAATGCGGAGGCCATCCCACAATATCCGAGTCTGGCAAGCCTGAAATACGGAATGACCCACTCAACGTTAGAAGGTGGTTTACCCACGATTCATCGTTCTCCGCCCCTCAACCCATCGTTCGTTCCTAGACGGATCCTGGCTTAAGTTTCACGTCTCGGAGCATTCTCTCGCAACTGCGAGCGGAGCGAGTGGCGGCAGTAAGAGTGACAAGTGAATAAACTCCCTACAAAAAGCCGCAGCTGGCTCTCCGAGACATTAGTGAGGCACTTCGCGCAGAGAACGCTGAATTTCCCGCCGTCCTACATCCGAACGCGCTCTGGCTCTCCCGGCTCTGACGGAGAGTCCAGCAGTTCTGCAATGAGAAACGTCGTCATTGCTGCTGCTGCCGCCGCCGTCGTCGTCTTCTTGCCGACAAAGAATTGTGGCCTGTTGCCCTGTTTTCCTCGGCAAAAAGGAGTGGGAAACGGAAGGAGTTCTCATTCAAATGATTTCCACTTCCGTAGTCGTCTCTTTCCGCCGATAGCCGCCGCTCCTGCTGCTTCAGTGGTCGCGGAGCCATTCTCCTAAATCCTCGAGCTCACAGTCAAAAAGTAGGGAACCAATCTGGAGCTCTCCGTTCTTTTATTTGTTCCTCCCAGGAACTCGCTCAAAATCTCTGATTCGAATGCGCCGTCGAATTTTTCTGCCTCGGTTCTCCGCTCGGAAAATCCCGCGCGGAACCAGCGGAAAAACAAAATGAATAGATTTTGTGCAGAAGTCGATGCGACGAGGGACTACCTAGTCCAGGCTGATCGTGATCCTGCGATCTAGCGATTTTTATCCGGGAGCTGCTCAGAGCCGCAATTGTTTTTAACTCGGAACCGCGCCAGCTCAAAAGTCCCAGACGCCAAAGACATCGACTATTTCACCGATTGGCCAAATCCGATCTGGGGCCTTGCGCCAAGCCTCCAGACCTAATACAGTTAGTGTTATTTGATTTGAGGCACCCTTATTGTTTCCCGCTCCAGTCAAGCTCGCCCAATCGTCCAGCAAGCGACCCGCATTTGAAATGCATCTCATCAGCTCGAATCTCCGCGACCAGGCGCCGCCTAATCTTGAGAAAACGTGCGAGATGGCGTCGGAGGCGACCGTGCGACGACAACGAGCGTTTAAAAATGATTATTCACGCAGCTGCCGGTCGCTTCCTCGAGATTTCTATGAAGGCTTTTCGACGAATCCAATACCGTTGGATCCGACCGAGTGCGATGAAGCGTCAGCTGTGGAATTCCTCTCGGTCTTTTGTTGAATCCACTGGATTTCGATCAAGTAGGTTTGAGCCAAGTCCCGGAATAAGCGCTCGACTCGAAATTCATGAATAGCCCATTTTCATCATTACCTCAGTCGGGCCCTTGCCCTCCTCTATCTCCTTTGTCCATTCGATCTCGATTGGAGGAGGAAGAGAGATTACGTCAAGGAATCCGTACCAATCTGATTCGAGAATTCGAGTCCTCGAAGCCCCGTGGATATTCTGATTCGGAAATG